ATTATTTTTTTAGTTTTTATCGCATATCTGACACAAACGCTTATGAAGCAGAGATTGTCAAAACCCTGACCACTTTTAAGGAATGTCTTGGCACAGTCGAGGTCACGCATGAGATACCTGTGGACAGCGCTATTCACTTCCTTGACACCAGATTTTTATTTCTCGACGACCACATCTGTTGATGCGAATAAGCGAAAAAATGTGCGAATAAGCCGTTACTTTCGTTTCATTCAGCCCACTTCAAGCTAGTCAAAAGAAGTAAACCTGTGTTTCACAAATGCACTAAAAAAGTCCTATGAGCATTTGCTCTCCAGTAGTTTTGATCAGCAAGTTTTGCGCTTGCTAGCAGCTGGGTACCCCAACCACATTCTTGTTGCGGTTCCGGAAGGCCTTCTAAGAAGGCACTGTCTCGTAAAAAACTATGGGAGCCAGCTGGCAAGGCAAAAAGGAAAAGTTGTTGCGATACCGTATATTCACCGAGTGTCGCACAATTCGAAGAAAGACCGCAATGCGATCAAATGTAAAGGTAGTGTTTTCTGCGCCCAATAATTAAGCTGTGCAAACCTGTGCAAACTGTCAAAGCCTGGCGCGCGTGCCAAACACGGATGTGAAAAAAGAGCTCAGAACGAAATTTGTCGACTGTACAGATGGTGTGGTCGATCGTATTCTGTTGTCCTGTGGCAGGCACTACGTCGGGCAGACGGGGCGCTGCCTAAATGATCGGCTTCGCGAGCACAATAACAATGCGCAAAAACAGAACGGTGGCTATCTTGACTTGCATTGCAGGACTTGCGGTTGTACCCCACTGTTGGATCGATGCGTAAAATTGGTAAATGCACGTCAATGTTAACACGAGAAATCGTAGAAGCCGAGTACATTGATTATTTAGGAGACACGTGTGTTGCTATGCCGTCGATTGCGTTATCGGAGAAAGAACTGGTTTTCTGAGAACGAGATAGCGTTATTTCCCAATTATGCTCTGTGATGGTCGTTTCCTTTGCTTGTGTCGTTTTGTTTGTTGTCATTGTGACGATGGTTCAGACTATAAATATCGGAACACGTATTCAATAAAAATCAGTTGAAATTTGCGCCTTGTTGTGTCCTGTTCTCTTCTTTTGTCCTCGCCCTTGCTGCGCACAAGATTGCATAAGATGTCAAACCAACTCGCCCAAACAACCACTCTTCATGACGTCAAGACCGCGCCGGATCGGCCGGATCTCCCGAGATGCATCGCGCTCTTCGACGGCTGATTTTGAAGCGCACGCCAAAATACGGGCATTTAGAACGAAAAATATAGCCATCCGCTTAAAATATGCATTTGCGATTATCAATTACAGGTTTATCTGATCCTATTTATCTCTAGATGTTTTCTGTATATTTTAAGTTTCGATTCAGTATCCCTTTAAAGGAATACTACAACCGAACTTCGGCGCTTATTTTTTGGTATATATGTGTTCAAAGGAGCAGTATGATATCGAACACACCAATATCTAGTTAAAAAAGTCACGAAAGGGAATTTTAAAAGGAATTAAACGATTAGCAAAGAGCACCTGGTGGATGTCGCTAACGCCTCGTTTGTAATGCCCGTCTAGGAACCTTGAGAGGTAGTGACGGTAACTGTCTCTCCTCCGGCCACGACGAGATAAGGGGGGAAGGAGGAACTCCCCTCTTCCCGAGAATCCCTTTTGTGTGTCCCAGAAGTCGCTATTGTCCCTCTACAAGGTCAGAGAAGATTAACCCGTCACTCAAAATTCGTACAAAAAGCAGCCGCCTCGGTGGCTGGAACGCCTAGGCCATCCCCTCGACGTCAGCCTCGCCGTAGTTTTGCTCGTCCCGAGACGAATTACGTCACGATTGCGTTGGATGTCACGTGCTCTCGCTGGCTGTTCTCCGAGCGCTTGCCAGAGTGGTCCGTTTATAACGAAAAATACAGCCACCAGGCTCAAAATAGAAAGGTGCGATTGTCATTTATGGATATTGTGGATTATATTTAGGGCTGGGCAGGGATACTCCAAAAAGTATTCGGGAATACAAATACTGAGATACATGTATTATGAGGCCCAAATAGAAACACTGAGCTACATTTGTCTATTATGCAACGGGATATCCCTGACATACTTCTGCACAAACGGCGAAAAAGTATTCTGGAATGCAGATACAGATACTTATAGAAATGCATTTGATCCCGAACGGTGCCACGTGGTGAGGGTGTAGTTTGTTGTGAATGCGAATGGTAATTTATGCTTGTGCTCCTCTTTTTGCGCCATTGTATGCACTACCCCTTATCTCGAACTTTTTATTTATCATTAACGCCGCTAAAAAAAAACATGTCACCTCTGTTGAGCCACGTCGTTACAGAACGTTAAAGACTGCGTGCCATGCTTGACATGGTACGCAGTCTTTAACGCAGTCTCCTCGAAATTAACCCTGTTTTGCCTTAGATGCGCATCTCAAATTGTCGTCTTACATGCTTCTGAGTCACACATAGTGTGAGGAGATTGGACAACAGTGCCGTACTTTTCTCCACTCAACTTGTTTACAGCTTTCGCTGTGCTAAATCGGAAAGAGTGGAAGACTTTCTGAAAGGAGCTGATTTTGTTATTCTTTCCCGTAACCTTTTTTTTTTTTAAACCGCAGTTTTTCTTTTATGTTGGTGAATGAGTTGGATCATGTTACAGAGCAGGTTCATATTATAAATTCTGAAGCAACTCGCACCGAAGAAATGTTTTTATCCTTTAAATTTATCAGTAAAACGGCGACAAATGTAACGAGATAATTCAGGCAAAGTATCGCGATACAAGCGATACATTGTAAATAAATTTCACAACTGAGATAGAAATACATTTTCAATTGTATCTCGATAGAGATACAGATACTCGAAAGTATCTTTAAAATACTATCGCGATACATTTGTATCGCGATACTGCCCAGCCCTGATTATATTCAACATATTTTTTTAACACGACGGGTATATTTCATATTTCGTTGAAGTATCATAGCCGTCCAAGTTTCATGATGGGACTCAAACGATAGACACGCACCGGCTTCGAAACTTCTTGCGCAAAACTGGTTTGGGCAAAGTATATAAAGCAAAAAACAACTACTTATCTGAAGTAATTTTTCGTAAGTGAAATTATATGGTTTTCTTCATTCGAAACTCCGAACAGAACTATAACAAAAACCAACATTTCCGGGAGCGAGAACCAGGACCAATTATTTGGGTGGTTTAGGCCCCCGCGTCAGATATATGCTGTCTCAAGCACAGACACAAGCCCACCTAAAGAAACTGCCTGCCAACGGCTCGCAAACTCGCAGGTACTTTTTCATGCGCCTCGTTTGTGCGCTGTCTTCCCATCGTCCTCGTCTTTGCTGTGCACGCGCAAGTTCTGTGAAATGACCAACTACCACAAACAGCCACCCTTCTTAAGTACCTTCAACGCACACACTCAAACATACGAAACGTTACGCACGACGGTAATACACAAACACATACACAGAAAACACACACAGACAGAACCGAGCACACTCCCAACACACACATACACGTACATACAACTCACGATCCCAATACATGCACGGGCACACGTGCACGCACATACAAATATTGCGCGTACGCGCCCAAAACACACGCGTATACACGAACACTGACAGCACAGACGAATACATTCGCTGCCGCACACGCATATGCGCTTACGAAAACGCATTGTCAACACGGATCAAACAACACACACCAACAAACGCACATACCCGTTCGCGCGGGAAAGCCAGCTAACCAAAACAAACAAACACGTCTGAATCACACAACACTTCCTTGAGCGTGGTAGATATACAAACAGACCGACCGCCTGCCTGCCAAGGTCGCGCAAACTTGCAGGTACTTGCGCACGAGTGCACAGCTATTCGCAGAAACGAGGCTTGTTACGCGAGCCCCGCTGGGACCAGCTGAGAACAAAAGCGTTAAAGGAATCCACAAATATAAAGAAATATACGCAAGCATCAAGAATTTTCATCGGAGCGGAGATGCCATGGGCGCCAGCTATCAAGCCATTCCGTCGCCCGAAAATGGGGGTGGAAGGGGGCTGATGAGCGCATTCTTTTGTGCCTGGCCAAAGAAAAGTAGCTTCGTTTGATGTCTGCGTGTGTGTAGACGCGTGCCTATTTTTTTTTTTTTTTTTTATCAAACCAAGAAGAAAACGCAACGAAAGAAGATAAAGAAGAACGGGGCTACGCATGGTCGTGCGTACATAACTAAACCGGATGCCGTCTGCTTTGCTGCAGCCGCTGCTGCCGCCATTTTCAGCCTGACCGTTGTCCGCCTTGGAATTTCTAAGTTCATCGCTTGGCAACGTGCCGTGTCTGGATATGAAGACAGCCACGGCAACACCTATATGCAAATAGCTTTCTTTCCCTAACTTCACTTGCCGTTCATGTGTCAGACGGAAGAGCTACACCCACAGAACAACTTCTCGTTGTCAAGGAAAGAAATATCACACTCTAGTCATCTAAATTAAAACAAACTGAGAACCATTTTCGTGGTAATTTATTCTTCTCTTGTTTCATGAGTTTCAAGCGTAAGTGTTTGAGCAACAACATGTTGCGGAAGTGTCTACTGGCACAGATACATCGGATTTCAATTCGTTGGCAATGTCCCCAGTTCACAACATTCAGCGGGGAATAATTCCCCTGAAAAGGTTTCCTGCAGAGGACGACGAGTGCATACTTTGTGTATTCGAAACAAAATTAACGGAAACGGCGGAGGCGCGGCTCAAACCGAAACCAGCCCGTCGAACTCTAGGCTTAGCGCAGCAGTGCGGCGTGCATTCTGTTCCCTGGAGAGGGCAATGGCTCCTCGTATGCTACTAACCTAATTCGAAGGCGAAACCGGACGCCGCCGAGGCGTTCTTTTTTTCTTTCTTGCAATCTGGAACGGATGTAAAAGATCCAGAACCGGCGCACTTTTTTTCTCTTATGATATAACGGGCTCAAGGACGGTCAAGGCTGCAGAACAGTTGCGAGCTCCCTCGCTAGCAGACGACCGCTCCTCGTCCGAGCAGCAGACGACGCGGACGCTTCGAGAAAAGTTCGTCTGCCCACGGAGAAAAGTTCGTCTGCTTCGGAAAACACTTGGATATTAAGGCCTTCTTGGATTATCCGCCAAGGTAAGAGCTCCGTGTTGTTTACGTTTGACACGCTCCTCATACGCATGAAACCGATCTTGAGGTAGTACGTACGCAACTGTATTTATTTGCTCACCTTGGGGGCCGGCCCGTTGTAGAGTGGATACAAACTACGTAAATTAATTGTCATCCTTTGAATGGAAACTGAAGTCAGGATCGAGTTAGCGGCACTTGACTGGCCTTGGTTAAATACAATAACAAGATTAAGCGTGAGGTTACTACCTCTGAAGGTAAAACTTTAGCGACATTGAAGATAACCAGGCGCAGTCTTTCAGTTTGAAATGCAACCGTCTGCATAATGTTTTTTCGGAAACACAATTTAGCTTGTGAACAAACTCAAGCCTAGCAATCATATAAGATGCTAGCAACTTATAAATAATGCGTAATTTCTTTAAACGTGGGTCCTCTACCCGATATTTTAACAGAAAAGCTGCAAAATTGTGCAAAGAAGGGCTAAAATTATGAAAAAGAAAGAGAGAGAAATGATGCCTTGAAAATGCAATGTTCACAGGTAAGAGTATCTCCTGTTGGATTAACTTTGTTGAGTTCATTAGTGAACGCGTTACATGAACAGAGCTGTGTCCTCGTGCTCTCGGGATAACAATAAACATAAACACACAATCACCCCAGTAGAGCGGATGTGGGCAATGCAAAGCATTTCCCCAAGACTAGGCGCGTTGGCGTTTAACTTTTGTGCACGCTATCTCATATTCCGAACGGCATTTTTCTCGCTTTGTTAGGATCACACGGAATCAGCTAACTGTCTCGTTCATGCTCCGTTTCGCGAACCAATATTTTGTCGGGACAAACCCTTGTTGGGGTATCAACCACTTCCTTGTAGCAAGGGTTACCTATATCCACTTAATATTTAAGTACAAAAATAAAATATCAGTCATGTTTTTGTTTAACAAGCACATGTAATGCGTGGAACAAAAAGCAAAAGAAGGCGTTTTTTTTTTTTTTTTCAGCATCAAGGCGTTGTTCTACGGTAGGCTTCTGCATTATAGGCTCTGATGTGTCCGGATGAATTTCTCGCCTGGCCGTTTCCGGTCCCCCGGAACAGGTCGGTGGGATTTTCGTCCGTTTACGTCAGGCCTACAACAACCGTTAGCAGACGTCTTAGCGACAATGACGTCACCAGCCAAGAAGACTTCCGGTTTCTGGTTCGTTGCTCATTTGTTTGGCATCTTTTTTTTTCTCTCTCTTTTTCTCTTTTTTTAACCTCGTCTCCTGCTCCCATTCCAGACGCCTCTCTCCTTTCCCGAGGGGAATGCTTGACCTTGAATGACCTTGTACCCATTCGTTTCCTCTTGGAATGTCTGTTCGTATTACAACATACTACTTCTGCATCTGACGGCATTAGCTTGACACGAATCGGGGGCTTAAAGTGAACAAGTGGATTGCGACGCTTCCTCGCGTCACGGGTAGTGTTTTAGAACCACACTTAATGCCCAGATTCGTCTAAATAAGTGACGCTCAGAGATAGACATTGAATGTCCAGACTAATAAAAACAAACTATAATTGGTCTTTTGCCCCTCTCCTCTCAATGCCTCCGGAGCCCGAGTGTATTGAAATAAATTATTTGTTAAATACGCAAATAAATAAAGAAATCCCTTTATCGGCTACTAAAACGTTATTCGTTGTTTAACAAAGTGGTGTAACACCATTTGTCACAAAGCGGTTCCACATTTTTATGGAACATGATATGGTTTTCCAGATGCAGCACTGTCCCGCTTCTTCGAGCCTCAGCTCGCAAAATTTGTAAACATGTCCAAATAAGTGAGACGTTACACCCGCTACGGTCGATAAAATGGTTTCTATATGTCTAATCTTTTTTTTTTTTTTTTTTTCCTTGAACAAACTGAAAGCCACAGTCACTACACATCATACAAGAGACTGTTTGCAGACTCTGTCTGAGGTACCTTCTCCTTGTTTAACGGTCACAATACAACACTGTCTGCAGGCATGTATGAAGCAAATATGCTTCGATCATGCTTCAGGCGTCTTCGCAGATAATTATGTACTCATGACTAAAGTGAGCACAAAGTCTTTGGCAAGGGTAAATCCAGAGGAGCCCCTAAAAGGTAACCCCATGATTGAAAAAAAAAAAGGGGGAAGACTGTTAGCATGTTCATTTAACCGTGAAACCCCGCTGCACACCTCATTGGGTGTTGAATATTTGTTAAAACGCACGTATAAATAGTAGAAAGAGAAGTCTATCCCTCAGCGACACGAAGTCGATTGCGATGTCTCCCGCTTAGAAGCGGGAGATGTGTGTGTTAGAAAGACCCCCCCCCCCCCCCCTCCCTTTTTTTTTTTTTTTTTTGGATTGTGCACCAATGGTTTAATGGTCTTTGGTATGATATGTATAGGCAGTAGCGACTGCGGCTTTATTTTTTTGTAGATAATTTGATTATTGCCTTTGCTCGTTCCATTGGTGCTCTTCTGATACTTCTAGTTCATGACGTCATGATTTTATTTATAAACGATGCTTGTACCAACGCCTTGGTGTAACATTAACTACACCCCATACTTTTCTTAGATGTCACCCATAGTCAATTGCACTAAGGAGTGAATTATTAAAAGTAAACAAACGAATTGCTGGTACTTCAGGAAGTCGGGCAATGATCAGTTCTCATAAACCGATTGCATGTCTATTTGCTAACACAAGCAAATACCTGTTTGCATCCATGGCAGGATTTTAACGTGTATACAAATATAGTAGCGTCGTCAGTGGCGTACCAACATGTCTTTTAGTGTGTGTGTGTGTGTGGGGGGGGGGGGGGGGGGCAAACCAGACCCCCCCCCCTCCCCGGTCCGGGGGGCGGTGCCCTTGGTATCCCTTGGGCGCCGCCAGCCAGTGTTTGCCCTGCCCAGTGACGGCTGTTTCAAGCGGGGCAAAACACATGCTTTGCCCCCCCCCCCCCGCCCCCATTTTGAGAATTGGGGGGGGGGGGGAGTGCACCCCCTTGCCCCCCCCCCCACTCCCCCCCGGTTGGTACCCCCATAAGCGCCGTTATTTTTTTTTTCATTTTTTTCATGCAGGTCACGTTCTTATTACGTACAATCCAAGATGCTCCTATCTATCACAAACAAAATAAATAGCAGAAAAATAAAGAGAAAAAAAAAAAGGGACCGCGGCAACCAGAATTTAAACTTGCAGCTACATAGATAATATAGTAAGGGTGCAGTGGAGCTAGTGAATGTGAACCATGTTAAATAAACATGAGACTGGACAGACGGAAATGAACACATAAGTGGAAGGAACAGAAAAGAACAGGACGACGTCTCAATCGAAGGAACAGAAAATAAGAGGACGACGTCTCAACCGAAGGAGCAGAAAAGGACAGGACGACGTCGTCCTGTCCTTTTCTGTTCCTTCGACTTGTGTGTTCATTTCTGCCCCAGTCTCAAGTTTATTCAACATGGTTGCAGCTACATACTTTGAAAGAAAACAAAAGGAATAAGAATCTGGTTCAACAGGATTCGTGGAATCTTGTCCGGCCTCCAACTAGGATATCATCTAATTGCTACTTCTTTTGGTGTGGCATTATCTCGGCGTTCAAAAATCTCGAGTAGCCTGTTTGTTCGTTTGTATTTCCTTTTAGCCGCCGTCTCGAGCATTTTCGAGCAGACAGGCCAGCCACTGTAGGCCAGCAAACAGCAGAGTCTGCTCCAGTTTTGCTCGGAGCGAGCCAAGCCAAGCCGAACGTTCCCGATTTTAGGAAACGTTTTTCTCACCCGGGTAGTTCTCCCGATGGCCACGAGGGGAACGTCAGGCGTCACCGATTCTTCGGATTCTTCCGCTGTTTTTGTTTGTTTGTGTGTTTCTTTCGTGAAGCGCCCATGGAAGTGTCCTAACTGGAGATGCTACGTGATGCTACGCCGGTGACAATCCACAAGCTTGCGACTGATTTTCTCGAGGCACCAGATCGGATGCAATGATCGACGACCACCCCCTTAGCCCACGCTCGGGAACCTAAAAAATTGGAAACATGTCGTCTGAAAAGTTGAAGGCGACGCTGCAGGAGGAATACCCGCTTCACTGGCTGGCTTGGCACAACGACTATGACGCCCTCAAAATCTTGTTGGAGCAGAATGCGGTAAGTGTGTGCGTGCTTTCCGGTCGTTTCTCTATTTCCCCGAAGCGGCGTCGCCAACTGTACAAACCTTTCTACGCTACCGTGACTCCCGGCAGCGGTTATTGTTTGTTATCATTCGGAAAGCGCCGTCAGGATTACCGAAACATCAGACACAATTACGACGCTTGGAAGTTTCGAATGCTTCGCGTTGGCGCGGTGTTTTATCGAGCAGCGAATTCAGACCCCGACAAAGTGCCCGAATTTTTTTAATTGGTCTGTACTGTCGCGACGTCTAAAAATAAGGTAGGTCTTGTCAATCGGACGCTAGACGAAGCGTCGAAGGCTGTCAAGGTATTACTGCAGTATGTGCGGCAGCTGGCCATTAATAATTAAACTAGCGGCAGTGTAATTTGTTTTTGCTTGTACTCCGCGTCATGGATCCGTATGAACGCGCTCGACTGCGTACGTGCCCGGCTTCTCTATTTGCTAACTCGATTAGCAAATTTCTCCCTCTCCCACTTCCTCTTTCTTTGCTGTGAGGCTGCTTTGGAACACTCAAACATTTTCCTCGTTTTTCTTCGTTTGTTCCCAAGAAAAACTAGCATTGTCAAATGCAAACTTTTTTTTTTTTCCGGAAGTAAATGTTAATGCTTTTAGTAATCTGTTCTACAGCATGTAAACTAATGCTGTTACAAGGACGCTGGCAGGGTATTTATAATTTGCGGCCCTAAATTTGTTTTTTGTTTTTCTGCCCAAATACAGCTGGTCGAGAACTGGCCGGTTTCAGTGGTGCCCACTCTTTTTTCATGTGACGTTTAAACTATGTGTACCAAATATAGACCAGTGTCAATGTTACTAGATTACCTCAGTTGTGGAACTCCCGTGGAAAAGGTACCCCCCTCGCTCACTTCAATCCCTATCACGTCGTTTGAAACTGTGTTCCACAGGGTATGGTGGAACACCATCTAGACGTGGCGCTTCAAAACGTAAGTGTGCCGTAGGATACACTGCTGTTAGCGTAGCAGCCGTCCGGTGCGTTGAACAACGGGAGGCGAGTCAGAGGTGCGGAGGGATGAACTGCTCGTGCAAGCAACATCTATGAGCAGTTCCGTAACTGAGCTAACCTAATAACGTTGACCAATGTCTGCTCTGTTCCGTGGGCACCGCCATGTTTGTTTATGCTGATGCCACGACACAGTAGGGGGCTGCGGTTTTTGCAAGACTCCATTTTTTTTTTTTTGGGGGAACTTTCGCACATATTGTAGTGCAAGAACGTCAGAAATGCATTGTCAATAAGCTCCAAGAACAACATCAATGCCAAGGGAGCTCTAAAAGCAAAAATCTTGTTTAATGCGCAGCCCCTCTCTTCTCAAGAGCCTGCGTTTAAGATTATTATTTTCCATTTTTATCGCTGGGGGCTAGGATTTCGGACACTGGTATTAAAAGTCACACACTCAATATTAAAAATAGAAACAAATACAAACCCCATTTTTGTGGCGTCCAAAAAGCTGCAAATATGTCCAGCCCACGGGCATACCATGAGCTGGACGATGCAATGGCGGCGTATGCGTACCTGTGTTGCGACGGACGTGGGGCCGCTACTTCGGAACTGTCGTTCGTGGTACCGGCCAATCGATTTTCAAGTGCAGAACATCGAGCGGAAGGGATAGAAGTGCAAAAGAATTGCACGACAAACGGTGCACGAAACTTCGTCGTCTGCTTCACACTTTGGAGAAGCGGAGAAAAAAATAATTGCGGTTGGATGTAACCACGCGACTTCTGGCCATGAGCTTCTGTGCTCGTGTTTCCGTTTCGGTTGCAAGTAGTTGAGCTTTTGGCTTTATTAAAAATATATTCGACTGTAGCAAAATATTGATTGGGTAGTCTCCTGACATCATATTAAATCATCTGTCAAAAAAATTAAAAAAATGTTGACAACTGTCTCTTTAGCCCCTTCCCTACTCATTTTTCTCTTCAAGGAACTTACAGCAATTTTTTATTTTGAACGTGCAATTTGCATTGAAACGAGACAAAAATATTTCCTCGACTTCCAGGTGTCATATCTTGCTCTAAATAAGGACTTCCGGTCCGAGTCCCACTGACGAGCAGACGCCAAAGTTGATGGAATGCTTCCAGGATTCGCATAGTTTGATCACTCCTGTCACTGCCCATCAAAGTATCGTACAATTCCTAAAAACTGAAAAGGCCGAAGTGTTCATCGTCGCATACGCCTGAGCGTGAATCTCATTTAAAAAGAAGGGGACCTTCGCGCCAAACCCATGTTGTTTTAGCGTGAACGATTGCAAGCGACTGTTTTTCTTTTTCTTTTTTTGCTAAATGGAGCACTTTTTTTTTTTTTGTCAAACAGCAAGACAAACATTTGGTAAATGGAGCAACAGGGGTGGTTTAGCCATCTGCCAGAGGGCACGCTAAACAAGCTCCGAAACCGAAACGCAAGTCAAACTCGTGGTCCGGCTTTATGGTCCGATACAGGACTCTTCCTGCTCTCCTCAGACTTCACAGGAACCGTCCACTGGGTCACCTGTCTGGCTCTATGCAGGGCCACTGGATCCTGCAACAAGCTTGCATATGCCCTCTTGATTTCCCCTTACACCACCCCCAAAAGTCTCTTCCGGACAGCCTTCGATGCACCCCACTCCCTGCCCACATGACCCCGGGCTTGCATGCTGGACGCCGTCAAGCCCAGGTCTTGTACCACGACCCTTTCCCACCTGATGCTACCACATGCTACGTGGACGCTTCCCATTCCCCTCCTCTCGGCGCCACAGAATGTGTCATCATGGCGAGCCCCGCCACTGCCCCATTACGTCCACCGCTGGCCCCTACACCAACCCAACTGCTCCGCTTGCTCTTGAGATTGCTGCCATAGTGCATGCGACTCTGAACTTACCTCTTTTCCGCCTGCTCCTCAGTACAACGTTTGCACTAATTCCGTGAAAGCGATTTAGGCAATTTGCGCATGCCGACTTCTCCGAGGATTTGCGCGGCAACCTCTCCTCCGCCCTTTTACAACTTTCCCCTGCCTTGGTCGTGGTGGTGTGGGTGCCAAACCACACGGGGACTGCCGGTAATGAGTTGGCTCATCAACTTGCCTGCGAGACTCTTATCCGGGGGCTGGAAGTCCCGTGACCTTTCCTGGCCATGGCGGACGAGGCACATTTTTACGAGAAGGCCCTGAAATAACACTACGCAAACTCTGACACTCAATGCAGACAATGAGTACACCACACCCCCAGCTTACTACTTCACAAACAAACACACTGAGAGCCATCTAGCTTAAGGGGGCACACTACCTTGAATTGCACCTTTTTTTCCAAAAATTGCATATTCAGAACTGCAAAGTTTTTGCATGTACGGATAACAAGGAACACTCTCACAAAGTCTTGTCCATGTGCACTGACAGACAATTTCAAAAATAATTATTCTTTATATGTTGGCGAGGTGTGCTGCACTGCATAGCACTCGTCCTCCACAAGTGAAAATAGCTGAAAGCAATGTCATGATATCAGAAGAAGTTTGAGGAAGTCATCACCTACAGTGCTGGAAAGAATTTCTGACATTTAAGACGGAAAAAGAAATTTTTAAAACGTCATCTTGAAACTTCCAAGTGCATTTATCTCAGCTTCACTTTTCGGCATAAATCCCACCTTAATAAAACTGTCGTTTCAGTATGAACCTACCGAGAGACTTAATATTTGTGGCTTATATGCCAGAATTTTATCGAGCCGGTTACTATGAACTTAGATTTTGAATTTTCATGTTCCTTTATTATGAAAAATCGTAACTTGCAAAACTTGCCAAATAAAAAAGAAGAAATCACAATTTTTTTTTTTTTTTTTTTTGAAAAATGCATATTTTTTTAAATTTATTTTTATACTAACCGGCAACAAGTATTCCAGTGTGCATTCCACCAGAAGAATATATGGTTATCAACACCAGTTCTCAACGATTGATTCATTGAGCATATTCCATGCAAAGCTATGCTTTACTTTGTTCGGGGAGGGGGGGGGGGGGGGGGGGGTACTGGTGAGTGGGTGGCGGTGGTGGTGTGGTGATATAGAAGCTCATAAATTTGGTTCACAGGGCTAAAACTTTGCATGCCCTCCTTCTATATGGCTACAAACTCCACCCGCACATTTCACGCTGATTGAGTGAGCGGTTCAAAAGTAGACGTGCCCAGGTGGTGCCCCCCCCCCCCCCCCCCCCCCCCTAAAAAGACAATGACACCCCTAAATTTTTTTTTATGTGATTTATTATGGTGTTAGAAGACTACTCAATATTTTGCTACAGTGTCACGTAAATTGTTAATAAAGTAAAAAAACACAACTGTGAAACTGAAACTGGACTCGGGAGGAAGAAGAAATATGGAGGAGGAGAAAGATACCGGAAGTCACGTAAACAACGTATTGGCAGCTTTTTAGACACCACAAAAAAAGGGTGTCATATTCTTGTCCATTTCTAGTATTGAATGTGTGTCTTCGATGACCCACCACTTTGATTCACATGACCACTGAGAAGAGAGTGAGCGAGACTCAAACCGGCCAGTTCTCAATCGGTGGTTCTTGGGTGGAAAGAAAACGAATGTCGAGCCGCAAATTGTGTTCTGGGCAGTTGGCCTCTCATATGTCATGTACAAATAAGAACCTTGGTGGGCATAAATACCCGTCAGTGTCCCTTTAACACACCCCATCACCCCTGACCGACTTTTCCTCTGTCGCTGCGGATCAGATCCGTCCTGGCCCAGTTTCCCCTGCCCCTACGCGAATGTTGAGCATCTCCTGTCCGCTTGCCTTACAGCCATCTGATCTCCCCATTACCCCAACCCCCCTCCCCGACACTGGTGGGCGTGACTGGCCTCGGTGGCTCACCTCGATCAGCTGGCTCTGATCCGCTTAGTGGGAGAGCAGCTCTAGGGTCTTTGTTTGACCCAGAAAGTCATTTCTCTTTCGCTCCTTTTGCATCATGTTTTAAATCCCCGGAACCCCTAAGCCCTTTCCTCTTTCCGTCACTAGGTTCTTTCAGTGCACTCGCTAGGTGTCAAGTCACCTTTTCATCAGGCATACTTACGGCGGTCGCCGAGCTACTGGCAACGTCCATTTTTCTGGTTTCGCTTTCTTTGGATTTGGCTTGGCTACGGTATCGGTGCAGACTCCCAACAGCTCGCTCTCCCACAAGTCACCTGAACGCGTTTTCTTAACGGCCTTTGGCGGTGTTCTTAAAGGTGATTGACAGCACTCGAACAAGTTTCAGCAGAATCTCTCTCCAGAAGCAAGGAGCGTGCTCGACCTTTCGACCTTTTTTGGTGGCATTCACCGCAGGGCATCTGTTTCCCAAAACCTAGTTTTGCAACGTGAGATTCACCAGCAAGATGCATCCTGAAAATAGACCTTTAATGTAGTGAGTTCTTCAAATGGGTGTTCTGTACTAGATCAAAGTGGCAATGAAGGCGAGTTGGTTCATGATACAACTGGAAACAGAACAAAATAGAAAAGACGAGAAAGTTGTAGGAACAAACAAGGAGTTTGGGCACAAACGAGCTGGTGAAGGTTTAACATAATTTTAGACAAACGTTTGAGACTGGGCAAGAGACGCAGGACAACAGAATTTACAAAATCTCTTTGAGACTCTGTGTGTTGTGTTGTCTTTCGTCTTTTGCCTAGTCTCAAACTATGTAAAAAAACTATGTAAAAAAAAAAGATGTAGACAGGACAAGTGCTGGATTGGTTAAAAAATATCTCTCAATGTTGCGCTGGATTGGCCATAGACATTTCAACAACCAAAACCCTAAAGTATTAGTGTACTAGAGACCTTCCTTTAAGATTTGCCTTTTTGCATCTTCTAAAAATACCAGTCGAGTTGGAGCAAACAGCTGACATTGCAAGTTTGCATTGCTCAACCTTGACTCTTCATATATTTATTTATTTATTATACTTAGACGGGATACAATATGAATGAGGATTCCATGTTTTCCGAGGTTATTTTTCGTTAAATTCGGAGGGGGTTTTTTGGGGGTTTATTTTTCGCTGAAAATTCAGGGTTTATCAGAGTTTATTTTTATAGATTTTATATGCCTCAAAATTCTGAGATAACTTTACTTTTTTCAAATTTTTTGTATTAAAAAAAAAATATATATATATATATATATATATATATATATATATATATATATATATATATAACATCCAGACATGCACTGAATTTTTAAGAACTCGCCTGTATCGACTGATATGTCTGCAGCTGCATTTCCCATTGGCGCTCTTGACATTGGCAATACCCCTACGACAAATCTTGCAAAAAAATTGTTTGAAATAATTAAACACCTGGACATAGCTGCTGGGAAGCAAGGGAGCTCCAGCTGCCCTGCCCAGAATCCTTATCTGCTTCTCCCCAGAATCCTTATCTGCCAAAGTCGTGGAACACGACCACAAGTATTGCAATGTGTTGGCAAATGTAAGCCATATTAATTTTTTTACCGATAGTGCGTCTTCCCGTGCTTGATCTTTCATGCATTGCTCCGTCCAGCCGATGTAGACCTTCCCACAACTCGGGGGAATTTCATACACTGCACCCACTGTGCAGTCCATGGGGACTGCATCACCTGTGGTTATGTTCCACGACTTCAGCAGATAACAATTCCGTGGAGAAGCCGTAAGACTTGCTCGTGAACTTTTGGAGACGTTTTTTTATTTAAAAGAATGTGGGACAGCATGCAGCATCTGTCAAAAACACGTCAATTTTGTTTTACAGAAATCGATTCCAGTTTTTGCATGATCGGATACCGACTTGATAGCTGTATGTATTGCCACTTTGTGCAGCTATATATGCTTTTTAGCATATAAGACATTTCAACACTATTTACTCGGGAAAAAGTTGCTTTTTCCCGAGTAAATATTGCTGAAAGTTAGCGCTTGTCCTGTTTACTTCATGCTCCCTTCTTTCTTTCACTATTTTATATGTGTAAGATGAACCAACTAGCCCGTAAGCATACCTTACAAGATAAATGGTGAACTTCCTTTTGTCAATTGTCTGATACCAAAATGAAAAAGAAGTGGCCTCTCCTCGGGCCCACCGACCCTTTGCTCTCCCGTAATTTATTAGAAAATACCCTAATTTTTGCTTTCTACTGCCTTCTGTTTTGCCCTCGTGATCTTGAAATTCATAGTTTTTTTTGATAAATACGAATTCACAAAAATCTTATTAGCAAGTGTTTTTCGGAGTTTTTGGATTCATCCGAAAGCCCAGAACTCTAAATATGCAAGGCACTTTAATATCAGTAAAAACCGAGTGAATGTACGAAGTCACCTACGATGCGTTGTGAAAAGCACTGGGTCACGTTACGTGCGCAGTCAAATCTCAAAGGTGAAAACACGGCACCGAAGCTGAACGAATATGAGTGGCAGTTACGTATCAGCAACAAAACAAAAACAAAAAGCACCAAGTGATTTTGACAACTGTCTTTAAAAGCTAATCCAAAAACAACAAAAAAAAAAATCAATTTCTTTTTTTTTGCGCGACACGGCATTGCGCAGGACGGCATTGAGCAGCGGGACTGCAGGGGCCGATCGGCGCTCATGCTGGCGGTCACCCTGGGACACCTGGAAGCGTCCAAGATACTCCTCAACCACGGAGCCAACGTCAACGTAGAGAACAACGACGGCTACACGGGTACACTTCCTCACTCCGGCCTCGAGCAGTTCTTTGCTTGCGGTTCTGTCGGTGGCCTAGTTCCCTGTGCAGTGATTTTGCTTTCAAGGTTTTTACTAACGTGGTAATTTTGGAAAACCTGCAATTCCCAGTGAATTTTGAAACCTCCAGAAAAACGTGGCCATTGTCCAGGAAATGGTCAAAAGGTCAATTGAGTCAGGGGAAATGGTCACCGTGGATGATAAGCAATGGAGCCGTGGCATGCTGTGGTGTGGATAACCTTTGCCTTGAGCTATGGTTGCCTGGGTGTAAGCCGCCACCCAATTCACCGTATCAAACAAGGACAGCCTGAACAATGGCTGCAACCCCATCCTATGCATTTTCTTCTTTTGAAAGGGTCGAGCAATTTCATAGAAGCATTCGGGGAAAGCCTGCAGAAGTCGGGGAATTTGAAAGGAGCAATCTTGTGGGGTTTCCTCCAAGACCTTATTTTATTGCGAAACCTTGGCACAGTGGAGTATGCTTTTGGTATGAGTATGAGTATGCCTTTGGGGAACATGTTTTTGTGAGTCTCTTTGATCTGCAAAAAATTGCTACTTTTATGTGTGCATGCAGTTTACTGGCGGGCTGAGTTGGCCCTGTCAGACTTTACGGCGGTATCAATTGTACAAATAATAAGACAAGATACAAGCACAGATTTTGTTTTCTTCTTGGGATCACGTGAGGTCACAATGTAGAAATTGAGTGCTATTGCCATCACCAAAAATAACCTTTAACATCTTTCGTCAAAAAAAAAAAAGTTGAGAAAACTTTTTTTTTATGATTGCCGTTTTTTGCAATGTTTACACGGTGGCGTGCTGTGCCCAAGCTTGATCTTTCTTGGAATAAAAGACGCTGCAGAGCGCTACTGGAGTATTGCACCCTCAGCTAGGGCTTGATACAGAGTTGTCCGATCGGCTACTCATAACCATGTTTGAGCCATCCGAACTGACCGGGTTAAAATTGGGCACATTACGAATGGCTGACTGCCCTGTACAAACGAAATGCGCCAACTCATTGGCCACATGTCGAAGCTTTCCCTGCCAGCTTTGCTGGCTTTGCGGAGCAGACTTCTAGCTCTTTAGAGCCTACATCTGGCCAACGCACTCCGAATAGTGGTACTACAAGCTTGTGTGCCGCAACTCTATTCTTGTGCCAGGTCTGTTCCTAGCATCCTCGGGCATCTGGGAGCAAAACTGAGCGATGGTACTCTGAGAGATTCCCAGAGGATTGCTTTGACTGTCGATCATTGTGTGGGACCTTAACCCCTCTTGTCTCGATTCCTCCATGTGAGCTCCAGCTTGTGAAAGGACTGTGAGAACTGGCTATCAACTAGGCAACAAATGTGGTGTGATTGTTTTCTGTCAACAACTGGAAACAAGGACTAGCTAGCCCGGCGAAGGTCGGCGCAAGATAAAGCGTAGCAAGGGCTGCTTCGGTATCTCTTAGTCAGTCCCGGTGTTGGCTTTGTTTTGCTCCCATAAAAGGGCGATAAAGGCTCTGCTGAACAGGGCACTAAACTTGGACAACTATGCCGCAGAACAGAATAGTGATTTTGCTTTTGTTTTACAGTCAGGCAAGTAAAAGACATGCAGCTGTCGATTAAACCTGAGTGGATCCCTTCTCTTTACATTAGGGTCACGGAAGGTCCATAATTGTTTTCACTAACCTTACCTCCACCAGGCATTGTTCAGCTCCCTCAAACACTACGACTTGCTGGACACATATCTGAGCAAGTGATCCCCTTTGTTATCGTTAGAAATTTCTTGGAACCCGTGCCAACGTACGACTCTTGGAATGACCGACGTGCTGTCTTCTCCTGGCAGAGGCCTCATTGTTGGTTGCAGACAATGGAAGTTATCGGAACAAAAATGTATGCTCTGTGCCATTAGGTTGGGAAGAATTCATTAATTGAGCATGATAAATCTGTTGTATTCTAAAGGTATCCATTCCTTGCCCCTTTCTGCCAGTATCGGCCCATAAGCACATATTAATTTGAGGAGTTGAAGGGAACTTCACGAAGTTTCTCTGCCTTGTTCATAGGCCAGTCCAGTTCCTGCAAGAGATAGGTTTGACCACCCTGCACTCTATTAAGTGGCAGGCAGGGTGTTGCAGTCTACACGAAAAAGTAAAAAACGAGTCAGAATAAGGAAATACTAAATAAATATACCTAATTAGGCATTTAAATACAAAAGTAAAAGCTAGTGTGACAAGTTTAGAAAAAAACTAAGGTGGATGAATGCATGTACTTTATCTTGAAATTCAATATTAAGCTAGTTATGACATTGCACAATAATTGGAGCTCATAAAATTCAACCAAGCATTAAACGAAGGGCAATGAAACTTTGGCATACTCGCGCAGAGCAGAAGTAATGAGATTCAGAATAATGGTTGATATGACACTATGTGCAATAGTTACAACACGGGACACTGAGCACAATGCACTGAGAATGCAAAGGAATTTTCTGGTACATAGTTAGATATAAAACGGGACTAAGAACGGTAGTGATGAAAATGTCAAAGTATTTATATGGTGAGAGCACCCGCATTACAATAGGCAGTTTTCTTGTTCTTTCTGGTATCTTGGTTTGCGTGGTTGGTGCCCGTTGCTGCACCATTTCCTTGCACGCGCCTATTTTTGCCTCAGTAGCAGTGAGCCGCTGGCTGGGGTTCGTTGGAAGGACCATGACAACCCATGGGCCAATCAGAAGGGCCAGGGTTTGGAGACTTCTGATCTAGAGGGTACCGAATGTGGGAGGGACGGGGCAAGGTTCCCCCAAAAGACCTTGAGGCTGCACATGGTGTTTTGCTCAGCTTGCTGAAAAATACGCTTGGAACTTAGCTTGGAACTTAGCTTGGATTCCCGACCTTGAACCGGTTTTCAAGTCTCATTTTAGACATTGAGAGTCACGGCGGCCATTGCGATTCCAGTGGTGCACGAAGCGGTGAGCACTGGTGATCCGGAGCTCCTGGCGGAGGTGCTGACTCACCGCGACCTCCAACGTTACAGCACATCAGTCGGCGGTATCCCTGATCTTCTCAAACGCATCCGGGACGTAAGTGACACCGTCTCCGTCGCGTGACAAACAATGGGAAAGCTCCTGTAATTGTCGCAGCATTTAATATGTTTAGACTACCGCATATTCTGCACCTTGCACTAGCTCCACTTTCCTATAAACGGCCATTTTCTCAAAAAGAGTTGGTAGGTAAGTCTCATCCTTGTACGAGTCACACTTATTAGTACAGTCGACGTAGTGAAACTGTATTGATAAGCCCGCATATGGGGTATTGTGATCGCTAGATATGTGCAAGCGGGAGCCAGTTTCTTTATTCTGACCAATGGATCGAAGGAGAAATATAACCACTGTGGCAAATTCGTGCAGTACCTTGGATTCCCAATTTTTTTAACCGCTGGCTCAATCGCCGTGAAATGTGCGGGAGATGTTTGTAGCCGTATAGAAGGAGGGCATGCAAAGTTTCAGCCCTGTGAACCTATTGTATTGGGTACTATACCCCCAGAACCAAGTAAAGTGTAGCTTGTTATCATTGAGGAATGGCATTCACAAACACATTTTTGTTTCTGGTGGGATGCATACTGGAATACCTGTTGCCGGTTGCTATGAAAAGAAATTTCACAAAATATCAATTTTTCAACTAAAAACTTTTTTTTTTGTTTCCCTACGTTTTCCATGATAACAATTTTTCATAATAAAGGAACATGAAAATGCAAGATCTACCGTAACATACCGCGGAAGTGACCACTTGGTTCAAGCACCCACTATTAACATTTCCCGGGAATTGTACAAATTATTCGTTAAAGGGGCGGTGCAACAATTTGCAGACTTTGGCTAATTAATTGCGGGAATTGATCCCGGCCACATATAAAACGAAGGACCGAAAACTATTCTTTCCTGCTTGCCCTAGTTTTCATTAAAAAAATTAAAAGAAATTGGTATCTCTGGCACCCCTCAACTCAACATTGAAGTGGCACCAGCTTCGCCTGTGACGTCATTCGGAGTGGCGTTGGTTTCCGGTTGGGTTCTTCTCGTTTCCGTTTCCCCAGCGCTCGCCGGCTCGCCAGGCTCGCCGCTCTCCCGCCGATTCCCGACCAACATGGCGGCATGGGCAGACGGCCTGAGCGACGTCGAGCACAAGATGCTTGCATATAGTAAATCAGTTGGACTCGTGCGGCGGGCGTCGACGGATGACGGCAACGGCAGGTTTTTTTTACTTGCGGTAGATGGCACCACAAATAATTCATACCCTTTTAGCGGCGATATTAGGCTCTTGAAGCGTTTCTGCATGCCTAAACAACAAGATTTTTTAAACTTAACCTTAAATCAAGCTTACAATTGCCTAACACTATCACTTACAGAAACCACTCCGAATGACGTCACACCGCAGGTTCCATTTGCGGCCACCATGTGGCCGGAGGTTGGGAAAAAAAGTGTTTTTTATTTTGCGATTACGCAGCGAAATAGAGGTATTTTGGGGTATGGTGGCACTTTTTCTCTTACTTATGCCGAAGTAAACAATATAAAAAATACAAGCTGCACATTCGTTCAGTGTTGAAATCATTGCACCGCCCCTTTAAGTGCCCTATTCGACCAGAGAAGCGCCCATGTCTAGATTAACCTAGTCTTCAGTGGAAGTGGGGTGGGCACTTCTCCGGTATTTTACAGGAAGCTCATAGTAACCGGCTCCATAAAATTTCGGCATATAAGTCCTCAAAAATTGAAGCTCTCCATAGCTTCGTACCGAAACAATAGATTTATTAAGTGAAATTTATGCCAAAAAGTGGAACGGAGAAAAACGCGTTCAAAGCACTCAATCCTCTCCCATTTCTTTAGCATTGGTGGACTGAAATTTATATATAAAAAAAATAACTATGCAGCATAAATAAAGGAAACTTTCTGGGAGTACTCTCTATGCTCCATTCACCCCTAAGCTGAGACTGCAGAAAAAGCTATGTCCTCGTTGGACCTTTCTTACCGCTCATTCACACTGGAAGCGGATCCGCGTTCGCAAAGCGGTTGCGAATGCGGTAGTATAAAGATCCAGTGCTATTGCACGCGCACTCGATGACATCAAGTGCGCGTGCAATTGTACTGGATCCTTATACAACCGCGTTTGCAACCGCTTTGCGAACGCGGATCCGCTTCCAGTGTGAATGAGCGGTTAGACCTCACTCTTGCCATGTCATTGCGCTCCCGGCCGTACCCACGCCTGGGGGACTGGGTCGGGTCAAAAGAAGGAGGCGGCCGATGGGCCCGGCACACACGTTGCTCCCACCGTAAGCTCAGCTTAAAGGGGTACTCCGCCGATTTTTTCATGGTCCCCGATTTGCTTGAAATTTTGCTAAACTCGCCAAACAACATTGCCAAAATAGTATCCCAAATATTAAGCTCATAATAAATTTTTTCACGAAGTTATTGAATTTACAATTTCGGTCCTCACCGTGTTTTTCAAACTGAAAGTCTCTACTGGCAACAATGAAAAAGTGACGTCAGTGGAAGTGCAGGGGTTCACTCTTTGGACTGTAGAATTTGTCCCCAACTGATTCGAAGCAGTTTCATGGCGTCAAATGAATGCTTTGGAAGCTCGCTCCAGTCCCCGTGCTCCAGCACGGAACAAATGATTGGCATATTCTATTGTTTAGACTGCTCGCCCGATTGGCAAGCTAACCTTCCACTGACGTCGCGGCCCTGAAAAGGGCGGGTATATTTGAATGTTGGTTTTTGCATCATTTTCATTTACCGATTTCGCAATAACTATTATGAATTTCACGATATTAAATAGCATACCAGAAAGGGTAAAGGCCGGGGAGTCAGAAAATATAGTTAGTTGAGGTAGCTCAAAAATCGGCGGAGTACCCCTTTAAGGGTGACCGGAGTACAGATATTGGCGGATGAAAATATGGCAGTTTTCAAGATCAACTGTTTTTGCAGAAATATTTTGTTCTGGGAAGTGTGTGGGGACATGGCCTCGCCGTAAGCACAGCCAGTTAGCTATGGCGGGACATAAACAAACATTGCTGACCGGGAAGTACAGTCACCTTTGCTTCACTGCCCCTCGCCGCAATAACAAGCTATGACCTAAATAGAGCACTCTTTAACTTTTCTCGATTGCACTCCGAAAGTTAGCCCGCTCTTCATTCTCATGACACTTGTTCTCGATTTTAGGTGGGCTATCTCTCGGGATATTATGGTGCTTCATTAAATTCATATTGATGTAGAAATTATTTTTCTGGACCCCTGCATTACTTTTAATGATTATCTGATTCACATACACTTTTGAGCGTTTGCATTTAGCGGAGCTTCCCCAAGACAGGATTTGCATTAACCCCTTAACTGGGTTGCACTTCTTTAGACGCTCAACAGTTATGACAGCAGTTGGGGTGCTCTTCATAGACGCGCCGCACTTCAGTTGGTTTGGGGAGTGCGTCTGTAAACGCTCTCCCTTTTTTATCGCGCGGAAAGCAGCGCTATCTATCCCCAAACATCGGGAATAATTTTGCTTTGGAAACCAGTGCATAGTACATAGCTGCACAAAAAAGTTTGACAAGGTGTGTGGGGTACCAAAAAATGTAGGCAAAATGATAACAAAAAAAGTCTCTATTTTGCCAATATTTTTTCTTCATGGAAGTGCCGAGTTAAGAACGAGCGAGTTGAAGCTGACGTCGTGACATAAGCGTGGAACCTGAAGCGTGCCAATTGGTTGTTTACGTTGACCTTCAATGCTCCTTTCTCTGTCAGGGTGCTTGTCAGGGTGCTCAGTACTACTTTTGATCTCTGGGCACCAATTGATTCAATTGTTTACATATGCTGCAGACCCCTGACTTCTATGTGGAAATGAAGTGGGAGTTCACGAGCTGGGGTGAGTACAAGTTGATTTGAATTATCCTGAGCGCTTAATTTCCTTAAAAAACACATGCAAAGAAAAAAAATTTTTTTTTTTTAAACAGGCGAGATGGAAAAAGAATATTATAAAACCAATTTACAACGAATAAAAAAAATTTAGAGCTATATTTACGGCGCAAAACGAATTTGTAGTTGGCACACGTGGGAGCCGCCACTGGTCACGTGGTAGGCCTGTGCGCCACCGCGCTGCATCACCGCCGCTGCAAAGTCACTCCACTGTCGCACGCTGAGCCTTGTGCGCGCTTCAACGCGTTTCTCCACGTCGCCACCGCCGCACAAGTTCGTCTGCTTCGGGGCGCCGCCGCCGTCCTCTGACAGGCGCACAGGTCTCTCACGTCTGCTTGCGCTTTTTCAGGAGTTCCTTTTGGGCTCTAAAAGCTATTTATTAATCTTAGTTTTTTTGTTATACTTCAAACAAACATGAATAAGCTAATTTTCGAGGCCATAGGAAGCTTCCGAAAGAGCGCAACCACCACATGACAAATATGCACCAGTCACGTGACAAATAGAGACCACTTTTCCGCGGCACCCGCAGGCACCAACTACAAATTCGTATCGCGCCGTAAATATACCTCTAAAAATTTTTCTTGTTTGTTCTAAATTCGTTTTATACTTCGTTTTCCCAACCAGGATGTTAAAAAAAAAATGTTTTTTTTCTTTGCATGTGTCCTTTAAAGGGCAACTCTGGTCAAAAACGAAACAAAAAAAAAATGTTACGTCATAGTGAAGCCACAGACTCCACTAAAACCGATTTTAAAGATGCGACCAGCTGCTCTCTAGCAGGCGGCGAGCGGGTTAGCTTTTAGCCGAGGAACACTGGCGCAGCACTTTTGTGACGTCACCTTGTGGTAGAGCTGCTGTTCATTGGTTGTACCACAGCACCAAGGTGATTTCACGTCGCAGTCGTACGGCTGATGATCAGTGTTGCCATCCCTCTGCACACAATGGTAACTCGTAATTCAAGGGCGCACCGCTTTAGCTGAAAACAGTCGTAATCCCAAATTAAAAAATTTCATCAGCCTTTCCACTCTGGTGAAGATGGAAGAGCAGCGGAGCTGTAGCTTCTGTTCTCGGCGGTGGTTTTCCAGACGAGCGATCTGCTTTTCTTTTGCAAGGGAGTCTGAAGCGCTCGACGCAGTAGAACTTTAGGCCATAGCGGTTTTGCGGTGGTTGCGGAACCATTCACGCTGCTGGTCACCGCTCCTTTCACTGCTGCTTTTCTTCCTCCGAAGAAAGGGCACGCGGCTGACCCGGTGTGTGTCCAAACAGCAACTGATAAGAACGTAGGAAACGGCACGAAAAATGGACGAAGAAGAAAGTAATGGCCAGTTGCAAGTCGGTAAGCCAGAGTGGAAAGGGTGGAACGGTTGCCGCCATCTATGAGCAACGGCGACAACCAGACAACCTGCCGCCGTTGCTCATAGATGGCGGTAGCTGTCCAGAGTTTTGTGTCATCATTTCTTTGCTGACGGACACGATACTGAGGAAACTAGCCCTAAACAGCTCCGCTGTAAAAATATTGACCGGAGTTGCTGTTTAACACTACCCCTCGAGGAGTTTGGCGCTTGCACACGAGCGAGAATAAACGTCCACAATGTTCCTCGACAGTTTGCCAACGCAACAGATTGCCTCATAATCACTTTCGGCGAAAAGGAATCGAGTCACTGAAGAGTGACTTCGTAAGAAAGAAATGCGCCAGGTTTGTTCTGCCACACGCGAACAATTCATACTTGCTCATCATGCCCACAGATCAGTTTTGGTTTGTGAAAGGGTGGATGCAGACAAATGAGCTATCCCCAGCTTGTTTTGCTAAAGGATTTCTTCAATTGAATAGTAATTATGAGAGGTGTGAAACAGGGCCGTACACGTCCCGCGTCTTGAGTGCTACATGCGCCATAAGGAACAGTTCATTTCGTATCGTCGATTCATTTCTTCTTGAAAATGAGCCCTGCTCATAAAACGTGTTCACATATTATTAGACATTCCTTTTCCTTTTTTTTGAACGGAGTATTGCTTCGTCTAAACATTTGCCTCTCCGCCCTTTCTCATGTGGATCAACTGGAACAACGATACCACTACACTAGGGTAGAAGCATGAGCATAAAGAGGCACCGCAGCTGCGTGAACGCTCGCTCAGCAGGTGCAATTGCCGAAGATAAAGCTATATGTTCGGGCTTCTGGAGACCAGAAAATACCTTTAAAATGCATATAGATCCTCGTAATGCTGCTATAAAGATTGTAAGGAAAGTAAGCACTGCCGTACGAGGAGATTTCTTGTTTTCACGACCGATAGGCCTGGTGAATTGTGCAACAACAGCGAAAGCGTGATTGCGCTTGTTCTATTGAAAACTGGCAGCACGTTGGCATTTTAAGTCTTATCATATGAGTTCTGGGCCCTAAGTAGACGGTTAATGCAAATCGCAGCAAAAGATGTCACTGGCAACACGGGAAGCTTACAAAGAGCAGGGAGCGCGAGGTCTCTTCTCCAGAAAATGTCCGAGGTGTTTTCCAACATAAAACAACAGTGCTGTGCTTTTTTTTTTTTTTTTAGATAATAGATATTGTAGCCGCTTCCCTCCTTTTGGTTGGCCCTTGACTTTTCGGGGGTGAGCTATCTGGCCCTTTTACTACGAGGAATTTGAGAACCCGGGCATAGATGCTGTCGTTTGCTCTATATTTAGACGCGGTTAAAGTTCTATATGGTACACCTTACGAAAAAGCAGCCATGTCAGGTAACGCTGGCACATCGCTTGACGCGTTACAAACTAAAAGTGTGACACCGCGCTCTTCGAAGAGAAAATGGCGAAGCTTTTGTTTGTTATCGTACAGGTCAAAACGGGAGTGACGATTTTGTTATACTTGTTGTTTCTCAAACATCAGAATATTTTGTTAAAAAAACAAAAATTAGTAATAAGCAACTTGCAGAGCCCATAGGAAGCTCCCGAAAGAGCGCAAGTACCACCTGACTGGCGGCCAGTCACATGACTGCTAGTTACCACTTTTCCGCAAGCTCCCGCAAACGCCAACTGCAGTTTTTTTTTGTTCGTTTTAAATTCATTTTTTATGTTGTTTTCTTAAAGTTGTTTTTCAGGAAAACATTTCTTTGCATATGCTTTTTAAGGAAAACATCAATTAGCATGCTCCACATCATAATATGCTAACATTATTTCAGTGGAATATACTATTTGGTTTACGTTTGATTCCTTACCTAAAATAACCATGCACAGCAAGCTCGTAGTGCCCTTCAGTCAGCAGTTGGGGATTCAAACCTGTCATGCTGTCAATGCCATCGAAAGGTTGCTCAGAAGCAGGAAGACAGAGTGGACGTAAACATAAATCTTAACATGATATTTGCGCCCGTGCGAATGAAAACGTGGGCTTATGCTAGTACTTTTTGCTGCTGTAAAAGGTGTTCCAAAATTACCCTGATTAATCGCATCATTGCAAGCGCTGTAAAATTCTCGATGCACAGCTATTTGCACTCGTGCGAGACACGTTTTTTTGCCTCTTTTCCGCGTGGTCTGTGCAATGGATGGATGACGCTTGTTCTCTTTGGTGTTTTCTTTTGCCTTTTGTCGTTCCTCACCAGTACCCCTCCTGTCACGGATGTGTCCGAGCGACACCTACAAGGTTTACAAAAGCGGTGAGTCTGCCGTGCCCTTCGGCTTTGGAAAGTTTTGTCAGTTTTTGTGCCTGTCTTTATGGGCAACCTCACACACTCTAGCAGATATCTTTTGGCCGTAAGCCACGACCTCAAAAGTGGTAAAGAAAATGTAGATTTTCTTCAGTTGGGCATTCTACACCCAGGAAATTCCTTTGAGGTAGGTTCTGTACATGACGGAACACTTATAGTAGCCTGAGGAAAACACTAAAAACGGATCAGCTAACAAAATAAATGCGGGAGTAAAGAGCTAAAACGAATGGTGGCATAGACCTACCTAGTCATCGTTCGCATATTGCCAATGTAATCCAGCAGCAGAGATGCATTTCTGAGTGTGGGATATCAACTGATTCACTTTTCAGGCTCCCTGCCATCCTCGCAAACTTTATTTTTAATCCTCGAACCTTCGTGAAAAGGTTGCTACCCCGTGTAGTCATTGAACTTGTGGGCAGCTTGGTGATTTGCGGCTTTAGATCGGGTTGCTCGCGCATCAAATCGTCTCTCATAATTTTTGCCACGAGGTGGCAAAGAGGAATCGGCCATGCGAGCGGCGCTCTGCCGCTGATAAAAAGCCAGCGCAGGAGTATACGCAGGCGATAACGGTCAATAAACGACAGCGTGCTATTCAACCAGTGCATCTTGTCATTCTCCGAGGCGGGTAACAGCGAGGGAAATGCTATGTCGGGGTAGCACCAGTGTCGATCGGTTCGTGTGACATTTCATTCACAGATTGTTTCGTCGAGACTGCAGGGTTTCACCAATAGGTTCCTACTTTCATGAATATGCCTTGCAACGTTTTTTCCGAAAGCGTCTGTCCAGGCACACGGCCTCACTCGCCGGCATCCAGATGGTAGCCTAGCTCACCAAGCCCACTTCCGAGTGAGCCATGTGCAAGCTTAAAGGGCCCCTGAAAAGAAAAAAAAAGCTGTTTTCTTAAACAGTCTGGTTGGGTTGAGAAATAAATTTTACGCGAAAAGAAGATGTTTTTAGAGCAATATTGACGACGAGAGATTTATTTGAAATTCTGCTTGCAAAATTCATGACGTCACGGAATTGTGATTCGCTCAACGAGATGGTAATTCGCTCTTTCCACCTCAATGTGGATGCGAAGCCGATCCACCTCTCCTCCTTGCGCCCGAAATCCCGAGAGAAAACAAATGGAAAGGTGGTGACTACCGACTAAATCCCGTCTCGTGCCGTCAATATTGCTCTAGAACTTCTTTTTTTTGCGTAAAATTAATTTTATGACACACGTGTCCCAACCAGACTGTTTAAAAAAACCTTTTTCTCTTTTTTCTGGGGCTTTTTAAGGTTCCCGGGAGCGAAACGAAGGGTGTTTGCACATGACGCAGATTGTTCGGAAGCCCAGGGTTAGGGCTCGCAAATTCGTTTTTACCTTGTCGTAGCCGCCTGGGTGTGTCCGCTGCAAATGAAACGAAGCCAGTTCTCCGATCCAGTGCGCTTTAATAATACAAAATACCTTGCCGATAAAACGTCACACTTGCACGCGTCCACAAAGCACGCGTTTACGAGAATTTGTCCGAAAAACATGTTTCCACAGAACGTGTTTCGACAAAACGATAGACCCGGATAGCTCTGGTCGATGGGTGATTGCGCCTCAAGCTAGTCAGCGGAGGTGCACGTCATTTCCTAGTCTCCGACGTCTTCTGTCGAATGCTCCAATCGCAGGCCCGAATGTTCGCATCGACACCACCTTGCTGGGCTTCGACCAGTCCAGCTGGCAGCGAGGACGCCGGAGCTACATCTTCAAGGGCCAAGGTGGGGAGGAGTCCGGTCGAGCACATAATGTCGTACAGTTTTGGGGCAGGGTAGTTCCAGTAGTCGGTGTTGGCCCAAAGAGATTGTCTCAACAGTGCGAAAATCTCTTTAACTGAGAGCCTCGTATGTGAAACTTCGTTTGGTCGTCTCCTTCTGAGAGGTACAACTTAGGAAGCAATTCTGTGTGTTCTCTTAGAGTTGCGCATAGAGAGACTCTACCGTGGCAGTTTTCGGGCTTTTATGGCCGTCTCGGAGCCCCCATGAACGCTCTCGAGGAACACTGGGGGTCCGTAGACCACAGTTTGAGATTCTACTGTATTACGCCCAGTAGATGCCAACATACATCAGCAATGTCAGGTTTCTAGGGAAATGGTGGTAGATTCCATTTGCTGTAGAAACAAATGTTTCGGTAGTTAGCACTACATACAAAACAACTTGCTGCGAGCAAATGTGCGTTTTAGTAGCTAGACAGTGCCATAGAGGGCAATGTTTGTAAACTCTTAAACAGCATATGTTTGAAGAATGTGGTGTTGGATGAGGAATACGTATCTAAGGAAGACATTGAACTTTAAGAAGTGTCATAATAATGATCTTTGTCTAGCCATTAATAAGTGGAATTCCCTTCGAAATGATTGTATCCAAACATAGCTTGCCTAATTCGCTGATCTGGACACTATAGCCTAGTTACCTGGGGGTTCTTGAGCGTACATGCTTGCGCAAGGCATTCCAGTGGTTGCGAGAGTGAAACAATTATACGAGTATGATGGTGCTGACAAAGACTGGTAAGCGCAGAACGTGCATACAGAGATAGGATAATGAGAGAAGGGCATTTGAACGGCGCCACCCACCGAAAATTCGCTTTCATTTCCGACGCACACCGTGAGATGGCACTACATGACTTGATTGGAAAGGCCGCGAAGTGCGCAAGCTCATCGACGCATTGCACGAATGAGCTTGCTCTTTCCGGTGTCGGTTTATTGTTACAACTGGCCGTTACAGCCAAAGGTCGCGGAACTTCGTGAAAATTGACTGACAAAACACATTCTGCTTTAAAAGACACGGACATACTTTGGAGGAAATTGGGAACCGGAAGCAAATGGGGTCAGAGCCGGGCCGTGCAAATGCGTGAGCCGCAAACTTCACATTCCACTCCCGTCGGAGCACTAGCTGCCGTGCGAGTGCAATTTGAAGGTGTCTTCTGGTGTTACAACAGAGGACCTGGCGATCATGATGGAGGTGGACCACGACGCCTGCCAGGTGCACGTGGAGCAGATGCAGGTGCTGCCCCCGGAGTATGTGGACCTGGCAGGCAGCCTGAGGCCCTCCCCGGACGCCGTCTCGGCCAGGCTCACCTCCCCCGTGGTGGCCACCTACATCGACACGGACAAGATCAGCTTCGAAAGGTAGCCCGCCCTTTCGGCCAAAGGGGAACGCTTCTCTTACGGTGGGGAGCCCGCTTCTCCGACTGCCCACGCTTGGACAGCAAACTAATCTGTTTCATTGTTCTCTCTTTCCTAAACTGATGGACGAGTGGAAGCCAAGTAATAATTAAATGGAAAAAATAGTTGGAGTGGAGGGGAGCTGGTGTAAATTGAACATGAGGTAAACCTGAGATAGGGGTAGGAAAAGGAAAATGCGAAGGAAGGCAATAAGAACAGGCAATGTCTCAAACTCGGCTACAAAGATTATTTTGTACACGCCTTATATACCACTTCTCCAATGCCGTCACTTTTTGTAATCCTGGCAGTGGGTCGTAGAAGTTCCGGCAGAAGGGAACCAAGCGTCGCCGTCGTTGCTGCATCCCAGCTCGTTGCTGCATCCCAGCTCATTGCTGCCAAAGCTCCCGTAAACCGTCGACGCGGACGGTTTGCGACAAGTACCGCTTACCCCGAGAAAGAGTATGAAGCTTTCGGCTCAAAATGCGTACGAGGATGGCGTAAACGTGCGATGAGGGCAGAGCAAAGGAAGGCCACTGTCTGACTGGGACGGAAAGGTATTCGCAGAATGAAATTGGGGCTGCGTTCCAAATCTTGCTCGAGTAGGTTCGAGTTGCTTCCACGGGTTGCGTCACGCGACGACGGGGATAGAGTAATGCCGGATGCAACTAGGTTCTTGAACACAAAGGTGCGGAACCTTTACTCCGAAGTGAGATAGAGTAAATTTTGGAACACATCCCTAATTTAGTGTGGCTTGGCAAGAAATGTAAAACTAGCCTTTTGTGTTTGGCTTGGCTAGATTGTGCTTTATCCGACGGTGAGATTTCTAGCACAATGAATCAAATGAAGCGAGGGAAGTAGCTTGGCTGCATCGCATAAATGATAAAAAATGATTCATACAGTCTTTAGTGTGTACCGAGACAAGGTTTAAGTAGCTGGGAACGACAGCAAATTAGATTTAAGTAGGCGTGTGCGAATATTGAAATTTTCGAGTATGAATCGAATACAAATATTCGAAAAGGATTACTTCAAATATTTAATATGTTTTGAATATGTGTGTACCATTATGAAATATACAAAAAAAAATCCAAATACTTTCTATTTTGCCTTTCAAACTGAAAATGATAACAAATTCAAGTAAATGAAACAACCTGACTAGGCAGCATATAAACAATGCAATACGGAGCGCAAGTTTGTCTGCTTCCTTTGCAGGGGTTCCGGTGACCTCGGAGCGCCGAGCACTGATTGAAGGATAGTGGGTCGACCTCGAAGCAAGCTGCCTAGAGGTCTACCCACTATCCTTCATTCAGAGCCAATCAGAGCTTGGCATTCTGAAGTCACCACAACCCCTGCAAAAGAAGCAGACGAACTTGCAGTCTGCATTGGTGATGCAGCTATTATACCTTGACTAGTAATCACCTGTCATCTCTACATGAAAGCAGGCAGAATGTGAAACTGATAAGTTATACATATTCACAAAATTAAGAGTACAAAACTGCACATGTCTAGATGGCATGTAAAAATGCAAGCTCTGATGTTGTCACACAAACATCTCAAAATAGTGACCTTTTTTAAGAAAATAATTGAAATTGCCCTTGACTAGCCAGCAAGTTGGATATCAGATGCAAAAGCAATTCTTGCAAGTTATCATGCAAGAAAATTAATTGTTGCAGGTGTTCAGTACATAATAAGCATTTTCTTTTCGCAGTGACAACTGCTCCTGCAGCAGAAAATACCTTTGCTCCTGCAGTAGAAATTATAAGGTCGCTAGAAGAGTGGCTCACAATGCGAGCTTGGCAGAATGAAAACCAAAACTGCTCCTTTGTCGTGAGCTAATACAGACCTATTTGCACAATTAACGCACACTTCTTTTCACCAGAAACAGTGCCCAAAAAACATGCACGTTACAGTCAAAACCAAAAATTCAAACTCAAAAGAATACCGCAATACTCGGTATAAGGTGACTAGCCCCATCGCCATCGTGACCGTTAGTTTACACTTGCCATTTTGGTATCTGTATCACGCGAATTCTCTGGCGTCTAAAGACACGTCTCTGCCGTTAAAATGGAAAAACACAACAAAAATTCCACTAGGAAGCTTTATTGAAACGAAAAAACATCACGCTGGCGGGAAAAGATAGCAACGAAGCAACATTGCGGGGCCTCGCAATCCCAGCAACCCAATGAGCTTGCAAAGTGTTGTTTTGGAAGACGACCCTCCCAGAGACGATGGTCGCGCATTCGTACAAGCCGGAGAAGCGCGACACCTAAAACGCTTTAGACGAAAGCAAGGATCCCTCTGTGGACAGTGAAGAACCATCGTCGAACTTCGACAACGGCAACTAGCGCACGGTATTTATTTTTGCGTTGGCGTGCGTTTCATAAAATCTGTTCTATGAGGTATGTGTTCAACCTTGATTATTTTACCTGCACAGTAGAATATCGTCAGCAATTTACTTTTTGAATACCTGGGAGCTAAATCTGCTTGCACATTATTAGATCGTGCAAACACGGTATTCTGCGTAAACCGAAAACGGCGTGGGTGTATAGAGAAATGGCTACAATACCTGGCAATTTTAGGTGACTAAACACGGATTTTAAAGGAAGCTCTGAATGTTCAGGGCATGTCCCGTGTGCGGATTATGCGCCATTTGCCCGAACATTCATGCATTGCCCGAAAATTCGTCTATAACCGAATGTTTTGAAATTTCCGAATATGCAATTCTCGAATCGAATATGAATCGAATTACAAAAAATATTCTATTCGTATTTGAGGTCTCGAATATTCGCAGACCCCTAGTTTTAAGATTTTGAGCCTGTGTAACTAACCAGCATTGCACTTGATTAGTGTTTAGGGGCACCCCAGGTATTTTCTGAGACATTAAATTTGTAATCCTAGTTCACCCCAGCTGCCTTTATCGCTGGTTTGAAGGTGTTCTGTACCCCGACAGAAACAAGTCTGGGATCCTCGGCTGGAAGAGCGACAAGAACGAAACCATCAATGGCCACAACTGCAAGGTGGGCTACGCTTCTTTGTCTCTGAAGGCCAACAAGTGTGCCGAGTTTCACTTTGCTCAGTCAGTCATTTTCCTCGTAAAAAAATGTGCCAAGGTCATTTTGCAATTTCTTTAGGTAATATATACTCAGAATTTCGCGTTTTGGAGTTTATTTTTGTTGGATTTCCGATTTCATAGTTCAGTTTAATTTTCCATTGTTTCCTATTTTCAAATATAAAAATGAGTAGTGTTGTGCGAATATTAGAATTTTCGAATAGTAGTTTCGAAAATTACACTATTCGATACTCACTTCGAGAGCAGTTGTAATATTCGTGCTTTTCGAAGTGTTGGCAACCTTGAGTCGCATGTTTGTTTACTGTCTAAAAATCTATAAGGAATGATTTTTAAAATAAATATACTCACACATTCGGCCAAACGGTACGAACATTATGGTGGGAACTCTCAAATATATTCATTGTAGTCATTTCATCAACTTTGTTTCAAAATGGGCAAAAGAAACCGATCAATGAGCTCCAGCAACGCCTGCGCCATCTTTGCCAATCTTGGCGCCTTGTATTCCAATAAATAAGTCATACATGAATTAATTAGGGTCTCAATCTCACAAATCAGCCCACTTAATAATTGCACGTCTGCAATCATTATCTTGCATGCCACTTTGCAGCCAAGATTTTTGAACAGCAAGTATTCTATATTAGATTCGAAAATATTCGGCCAAAATCACTATACACTTCGAATTCAATTTGAAACCAAAATCTACTATTTGCACAACCCTAAAAATAAGTAATATCTAGGTGTCAGTGCGGGCTAGATCAGAGCCTTTTATACTGGGAGAGTTCGGCGGTTCTTTGATCCAGCCGCCAGTCTGGCAGCACTGATCAAACAGTCTGGCAACTGTGCGCATCCGCCATGATGTGCCTTGCCGTCTAGCTTGATTGCACCTTTGCATTTAATTGCATTATAATTATAACCTTAAATTGCAAGCTTCACCCTTGTTTGGTGTAAGGCTGGTGGCGGCTGATAAAACCCGTTTGCCCTGCTGACTCGAGCCGGCAGTCGGCTCGCTAGAGTCCATGGAGCGAGAGACGACGATGAAAATGATCGTTCTGCGCTGCGCTCTGCCAGACGTTAGATGAAAAAGAAATGGGGGGCTGCAGTGCCGTTGGGTGCTCGAACAACGCAAAAAAGGGGTTCAGGATGTACCGGTTCCCGCAAGGAAAAGAAAACCGCGCAAGGCACAAGATCTGGGAAACAAAACCAAGAAGGGCTGACTGGATGCCGAGTTCTCGATTGTGCGAGGTAAGTTTATGATTGACGTATGATTAACGTAACAAAATGCTTGATTTTTCGACTTTCTCCTTACGCCAACAAAAGCGCAAACGGCGAAACCTACACGCGTATGCATCGCATGTCAGTGGGGACCCACTCGCCGGGAGGCACATCATGGCGGAAGCGGCGCCCGCTGAGTCCGCTAGACCTAGCGGCCGTAAGCCCCTCCCACCCGCCGAACTCTCCCAGTATAAAAGGCTCTGGGCTAGATCAAAGAAAGTGTGCTCGTATTAAATCATAATTTTTCACCTGGGTTTGGCATTGGCACCCTTGCCATTGACAGTGCTAACGGTCCTACAACAAAACTTGCAAACGAGTGTTGCTTCGATAAACATTGATACCCTAAAATCTCTGAACCCCTGGAGGTAGTCGCCGGAAATGTCTCAGTGACACCCGAACATTGCTTGATGAAGAAAACTAATTTCTCAAAACATTTTTATTTCTTGCACCAGATGCACTTTGACTAGACGTAACCTCGCGATTACGGCGACGCCGCTCAAGCCGGAAACGGCCCCCTAAGAGCTGCGCGCGAAAAAAAATGAAAGCCGTTTACTACTCCCTGTAACGCCGAATTAGAGCGCAGCTCTTGAGGAGGAGGAGGGAAGGGTACTGAGGGTCACGTGTCCTCGGGGGGGGGGGGGGTCACGGTCACGTGTTTTTGGGGGGTCACATGAGCTGGGGGGAGGAGTCACGTGACCTGAGGGAGGGGTCACGTGACCCCCCTCCCCGAGGTCACTGAAGGTACCCGAGGTCCTCCCGAAGGAACCCGAGGTCCTCCCAAAGGAACCCGAGGTCCTCCCGAAGGAACCCGAGGTCCTCCCGAGGGAACCCGAGGTCCTCCCGAAGGAACCCGAGGTCCTCCCGAGGGAACCCGAGGTCCTCCCGAGGGAACCCGAGGTCCTCCCAAAGGAACCCGAGGTCCTCCCGAAGGAACCCGAGGTTCTCCCGAGGGAACCCGAGGTCCTCCCGAGGGAACTCGAGGTCCTCTTGAAGGAACCCGAGTCCTCCCGAGGTCCTCCCAAGGTCCTCCCGAAGGAACCCGAGGTCCTCCCGAAGGAACCCGAGGTCCTCCCGAAGGAACCCGAGGTTCTCCCGAGGTCCTCCCAGAAAACCTGAGGTCCTTTGGGAGGATCTCGGGTTTCTTCAGGAAAATTTACCCATAATGCACCGCACTGACGGCGACGGCGACGCCGCTCAAGCCCGAAACGGGCACCTAAGAGCGGTGCTCTAAAAAATTGGCACCATCAGCACTACCTATGAATAATAAAATCAGTATCATCAGCTCCACCAGAGCTTCGCCCCAATCAACATCATTCACCACGTGGAGATATGGCCTCTTTTTTTTCCTTGTGTACAGTTTCGCATTGCACTGGAGTAGTTAGATGTTACATCATTTGTAGACTACTTCAATTTTTTATATTACATAACTAGTCAACATTATGCTTTGATATTTACTAATAAGCTGGTCATTTTCAAATAAATTTAATATGTGCAGTTTTGTTCTTATTTATCTATAAGGGATAGATATAGGTGTATCATTTAACTGAAGCATTGCAAAATGTGTCATATCGTTGGCATTTCAGTTAACATGTTGAAAGACTCCTAGATAGTCTAACTTGACCATAATTTGTTTATTGTGGCCTGCAAAGTGCCCTTCATTTGTCCAGCACTTAAAAAGAAATATTTTTATTTTTCTAAGAATATCTGCTCCAAAAGCCACTTTTGCTGCTCCAAAACTCTGTTTTGGCTGCTCCGAAAGGTGCTCCAAAACGGCTTAAGCCAATCACATCACTGCTGATGCGGATTCCAGATGACAGATGCACATTAAAGCTTGGGTCGAATGAGAGATGAATATGCAATCAGTTTTGTGTTGCAAAGTAGAGGTGTCGCTTCAGGAAACTGAGGGTTTTGTTGGCCTTTGCAATAATGCAATTTATGTGAGGTTGGAGGTGGAGCGGACCTCAAGATATTTGTAGGTAGGAACATTTTCAATAAACGTATTGAAAAGGGTGTAGTTGAACTGTATTGATGTATGCTTGGTAATAAAGTTGAGAAGTTTTGTTTTGGAAATGTATGTTCATCACCCTGACATCAGAAGCCAGGCATGTTGAGAAATATAGAATGTTTCAACAACAAAAACTAGCAATGTAATGGCGGATTAACGTCGCATGAAAATGCCCTATAGCCAATAGGTTGTTCGTTATAGAAGTATTTTTATGTGCATTTTCATTTGGAATATTTGGACATTCGATATAGACAGTAGTTTGCTGTATCTGGGTTAATTTGTTCTAAATGGGTGCGACCGTACTCCCACGTCACTACTTGAGATGTTTTCACATAACATATATGTGGCACGGTCTGCTTGCTCTGTGGTGGTGTGCTTGCTATCCACTGTAGTTGCTGCAAATGACAGCAGAAGTATCTTCTCATATGTGAGCACATCTCTCTTCACCTCAAGATAATCTCCAAGTTAACTCTTGTTTGTTGCTCTTTGCTGCAGTAAAAAGCGGCTCTCGTGTGTGATGGCTGTCCTTTCAATTTCTGATCATTCTATGCACAAACCAATTCTGCTGAATGCTAGATTACCAGTGTCACATCTTTTGCTGACCTCTGAGAGGATCGAAACAAATCATGTTGTAAAATGTGACCAACACCGACCCGCGCTAGTGAGGTGTGACCAGGTGCCGATGCCACATTAAAGCTAGCCGTGTCACAGGCGATAGATTATCCCTCGCGGGTCTCTAGTTATTTTTTGCAATTGAAGAGGTTTTACATCACTTTTGTTGCACTCAAAGTGTCGTAGTTTTCATGGTAGGCTCAAATCTGTGACACCAGGGCCATTGCATAATCTGGGTACATGCTTCGTTTTATCTCTTGATTCCTCTCCCATGAACAACTTGTTATATCCATCTGGTACCAGTGTGGGGATTACTGTTTTGCTGTTGAATGTAGAGCCTGCTTGTGCTCGGAGGTCGCATGACGAGTGTTGCGACTCCCCAGGTGTTCAGTGCCACCAACGTGGAGCTGGTGACCAAGACGCGGACGGAGCATCTGTCCGAGGTAGACAAGGCACGCCATCGAGCTGCACGCTCCCCGCTCCAGTCCTTCCTCGGCACCGTGCAGGTGGAGGAGGCGGCCGGCGTTCCCAATGGGGTGTGTGCCAACCGCCTTTACTCCCCCGAATATTCCCCGAATTTCTTCCCTTAATGATCCCCAGAATTTACTCCTCTGTCTTTACTCACCCAATTATCCCCAGATATTACTCATCATTATTTTCAGAATTTACTTCCCTGCCTTTACACTCCCAACTATCCCCAGAACTTACTCCCCTGCCACTACTCTCCTGACTATTCCCACAATTTTCTCTTTTGTTATCTCAAGAATTTACTCCCTCAGAACTTACTCCCTTGCTTTTACTTTCCCAATTGTCCCCAGATTTTACTCCCACAATTATCTCCAGAATTCATTTGCCATTTAGAATTTACCGCTAATTATCTAAAAAATATACTTCCCCAATCTTTTCAAAATGTACTCCCGGAGAATTTACTTCCCCGACTATTTCTGGAATTTACTCCCTCACTTTCACTCCTTCCTATCTCCACAGTTTACTCTCCTGCCTTTACTTTCCCATCATCTCCAGATTTTACTCCCCTAAATATCCCCAGAATATGCTCATCCAGAGTTTCCTGGCTATTCCCAGGGTTTACTCCCCCGGAATTCATTTCTCTTCATCTACTCCCCCAACTATCCCCAGAGTTTACTCCTTCACTTTTGCTTCTCCAGCTGTCCCTAAAATGAAGGCCACGACGAGCTTGTCTGATACCGCCTGGAATACAGGGCCCGCGCTTCAGATCATTGTTTTAGTTGTTGACAGAAAAGAGAATGGCCGGGCGAGTCTTTCGAATACCCAGCCGTTCTTCGGCCACACGCATGTGCTCGAGGTGCACGAGACGCGTCGTCGAACGTAGGAAGCCTGCACCGGGAGGCGGGATAGCCGAAGCTCCTTGTCGGCGACCATCGCGGACCCTGCCTCAAGGAGCAAACGCGCGGAAGCGGGCACGCCACAAAGCGGCGGACGTCCTGGCATCACTATGCACGACCGCCATGCCTGTTGCGAAACTCCGCAAGACGCGCACGCGAGCTAGGCGGCACTGCGCGGATCCATTGGTTACGTCGGAGGCTTCCAGGACGGTCGCTGGACGGCAGGGGGTAGCTTCAGGGTTTTCGCCTCCGGCGCAAGCTTCCTAGCTTGGGCAGTGCTTGGAAGGCACGGCGGAGTGCATGCTGGAGGCGTTGGAAAGACGGTCTCACTCTTTTGGCGTCTGTCCCCCGAAATCGCGAGAAACTAGGAAAGACGATCCTTTGAAACAGGTGTGCCCTCGTAATATGAATCGCCATTTCTCGCTAATTTCTTAAGTGGCTCAGTGACACACTCGCACACATAGACATGCACGCACATACACGCACAACAAAAGTAGTATTGCGTTGTTTGTGGTTTGGTTGCTTACACTGCGGGCTGAGAGACAATCCTCTTTGGAGCCTACCTCAGCGGTGCCGTGTGGCGCCGTCTGCGGAGCAAGCAAAAAACAATAAATGTGCTAAAATAAAAAAAAAATAAAAAATTGAGCTTTAGCTTTTAGTTGAGCTTAGAAATTTTAATTGTCTATGTTTGTTTTGCTTTTTCTGCCAGTTTTATATGTTTTTCTTCCAGTACTGTCGCATATTTGTATCTTTGTATTATTTTTAAGTTTATTTCCTGTTGGTTTTACTTCGGATATTATTTGCATAAGCATTTTGGAGACTGACCTTGCACCTGTGAATATTGTCACCAATGATTCGAAAGCCTGGACTTGGTTCTTATAGATTTCTGAGCCATTATAATTTCTATTCAATGTAAATAATTTACAATACCATGATGTTTGTATGTGAATGCAGTCGTATTACTGCATGTGGATTAATACTTCTAAAATATTCAAATATGACTAATTGTCGCATTTTTATTTGCCGAGTTAACAAAAGTCTGTCAACCCAATTTTTTCGTTAGCCGTCTGGCGTCTTCCAGCATAGGAACTAATTTCTTATTGTTTAATAAAAAATATAAGAACGTAGTACTTCATTTCCCCAAACTGTCAATTTCTATCATGAATTTAACAAAATTCATAAAAGTACAATACCATTTATGGAGCGATGCTTAAGCCTCCTCAAACATTGGGGCAAGGAATGAACAAATATGTTGCATTCTATACAACTCATTCTCAGAAACAAGTAATTGTAAAGTAATTTGATGACTTTTGAAAAGTAATTTGTAATTGTAGTTAATTACTTTTCACATAGTAGTAATGGTAGTTAAACTACTTTTGAAGCAAGGTAATTGTAATGAAATTACATTTTGAAAGTAATTTTCCCATGGGAGTGTAAATGTGGTACGTGTGTGTGCAGGACGTGATGGAGTGCCGGGGCAACCCGTGCCACATCCGTCCGGAGGAGTACTTCAACGCCCAGCTGGACCTGGGGGGGAGGGACATTGGGCGGCCCAGGGAGACCACCGTGCGCACCCACAAGTTCAGGGCCAACCTCTGGCTCTGCGAGGACTACCCCCTCTCTCTGCCCCAGCAGGTAGGTGCGCCCGCAATGCGTCCCACTATTCGTCATAAAAGGGGCTAGTTCCAAGATTAGTTTCAAGCACTTCGGATTCCCGTCTGTGGCAGAAACCAAATGCAGCCAACTTCACCAGCAGTCATGACGCCGGAGATACAGGAGGTCCTGGAAAGACACTGACAGACCTTCGACGATGATATCTCTAGCTATGAGGGACAACCAGTTGACTTGGTCCTGATCGAGGGAGCAGTTCCCAAGTTCTGCAAGGCCCGCTCTGTTCTGCTAGCACTCCGTGCAGCAGAATCAATGGAGCTTGATCGCCTGGGCCGGTTTGCTCATCTTGCGGCCGCGGCCAAGAGGGATTTTTACGTCACGTGACCAGCTCCATGGGGACAAGGAAGTACCTAGCGTCCCTGCCTAATGGCAGAGAGATCCGCATCGCTTCAAGCACAAAAGCCTAATGTCGCTCGGAGAAACTGATTGCAGAGCTTTCAGCTGGAGTCCAATTGACCGCCCCTTTATACTGTAGGAGCGGTAGGTAAAGTTACAGCCAGGGAGAGTAAATAGGAGCCAAAATAAAGAAAAAAAGCACACGAGATAAAAGCTGTAGCAGTATATTCATATACCTCCACCGGCATCGGCGACTCGCACCTTCGGCTATGGTCGAGAGGTTAAAGCGCCGGTACTTGTCGTCGCGGCGTGAAAGTTCCGGGTTCAAATCGCGCTAGGGACTTCTTTTTTTTTTTTTTTTGCGCGTGTTTTACTTTTTAACTGTGATACTTTTAAGAAATCATCCACTTGCACTACTGCGCCTTACACGGTTTTTACTGTTAGTCCCACCTGTTCAATAGAAACATTGGGAAGAAAAAAAAAGATCAACGCGAGTTAACGCGCTAATACAATCATTTCATAATGTTCATTAAAAGGAAACCAAGATAACAGCATCGGTATGGCTTTCACACAAACGGAGCCGAAACAAGCATCCTTTCCCAGCATTTACAGTTTTATCTGTTATTAAATGACGGTCTTGCTACGATTCCTTTCAATAACGGGAGACGCCTATTAAGGACTAATAAAAACTGCAGTTGTGGCAATTAAAAAAAAAAACTCCAAAAAACAAGCAAAAAGAAAAAAAACACTAGCAGCTGTGGATACATTGATTGAGCGAAATCCTACAGGCAAGGCAGCAAGTCAAACGTCTGAGAAAGTAATAAAGCCGAAATAAGAGAGATCATACTTTTACTTGCATGGCATGTGATAAAAAGTTCATTTATACTCTTTAAATTTTGTTGTGGCAATCATTTTGTAATATTAACACATTACTTGTTGAATTTTAGTTAGAATAGCAGCCGATCACGACCGAATGCAAAAATGAATCAGGCGTCGACATCGCAAACCCTCTCTCTAATGCAAACACCTAAAATGGCTTTGGATCAACATATGGAATTAATTATAATTAATTTCATTTCTTGATCCAAAGTCATTTTAGGTGCTTGCATTAGAGAGAGGGTTTGCGATGTTGACGCCTGATTCATTTTTGCATTCGGTCGTGATCGGCTGCTATTCTAACTAAAATTCAACAAGTAATGTGTTAATATTACAAAATGATTGCCACAACAAAATTCAAAGAGTATAAATGAACTTTTTATCACATGCCATGCAAGTAAAAGTATGATCTCTCTTATTTCGGCTTTATTACTTTCTCAGACGTTTGACGTGCTGCCTTGCCTGTAGGATTTCGCTCAATCAATGTATCCACAGCTGCTAGTCTTTTTTTTCTTTTTGCTTGTTTTTTGGAGTTTTTTTTTAATTGCCACAACTGCAGTTTTTGTTAGTCCTTAATAGGCGTCTCTCGTTATTGAAAGGAATCGTAGTAAGAGCGTTATTTAATAACAGATAAAACTGTAAATACTAGGGAAAGGATGCTTGTTCGGCTCCGTTTGTGTGAAAACCATACCGATGCTGTTATCTTGATTTCCTTTTAATGAACATTATGAAATGATTGTATTAGCGCGTTAACTTGCGTTGATCCTTTTTTTTTCTTCTCTGTGTTTCGATTGAACAGGTGGGACTAACAGTAAAAACCTTGTAAGGCGCAGTAGTGCAAGTGGATTATTTCTTAAAAAGTATCACTGTTAAAAAGTAAAACACGCGCAAAATACAAAAAGAAAAAAAAAAAAAAAAGTCCCTAGCGCGATTTGAACCCGGAACTTTCACGCCGCGACGACACGTACCGGCGCTTTAACCTCTCGACCATAGCCGAAAGCGCGGGTCGCCGGCGCCGGCGGAGGCATATAAATATACTGCTACCGCTTTTATCTCGTGTGCTTTATCCTTTTATTTTGGCTCCTATTTACTTTCCCTGGCCGTAACTTTACCTGTCGCTCCTACAGTATAAAGGGGCGGTCAATTGGACTCCAGTTGAAAGCTCTGCAATCAGTTTCTGCGAGCGACATTAGGCTTCTGTGCTTGAACCGATGCGGATCTCTCCACCATTAGGCAGGGACGCTAGGTACTTCCTTGTCCCCATGGAGCTGGTCACGTGACGTAAAAATCCCTCTTGGCTGCGGCCGCAGCCGCAAGATGAGCAAACCGGCCCTGGAAACTCTGGGTATCATCGAACCAGTTCAGCACTTGTGCTAGTACGCAAGAAAGATGGCACAATCCGACTTTGCGGAGACTACCTTTCTACGGTAAATGCAGCTTCAAAGAAAGCCTCATACCCACTGCCCACGACAAGTGAAGTGATAACAAATCTCCGAGGAGGAACAGTTTTTTCCACTCTGGATTTGTACCAGGCCTATCAATAGCTGAGGCTCAGCGAGGCAGCTTTGAACAGGATTAAGGGTCTATACAAGGTAAGTCGCTTGCCTTTTGGAATTTCTGCTGCTTCAGCGATTCTTCAACGCGTCGTGGAGACCACTCTGGCTGGTTATCCCGGTGTGAACGTCTACTTGGATGACATCACCGTAAATGGAAAGGACACCTGTGAATACGCAGAGTGCCTGAAACAGGTACTGTCCAGGTTAGACAAGGCACAATTGCGACTCAAACGAGAAAAGTGCAAGTTTAGGGTCAGCAAGGTCAGATTCCTGGGACATCTCATCAACACATCTGGCGTTCACACCACACAGGAGGAAGTCCAGGCAATCCTTGAAGCACCAGAGCCAAAAGACAAATTGTCTTTGCAAGCATTCTTAGGGCTCCTCGCTTTCTATGATCGCTTTCTCAAGAACCGAGCAACCGTCGCTTCTTTCTTGTACAAACTTCTTGAAAAGAATGTTCCATGGAAAGGGGAGGACAAGCACAGTGAAGCTTTCAGGATGCTTAAGAATTTGATTCGAGAATCAACCGTCTTGTTGCATTACGATGATGCTGTCCTGCTGTCCTGTGATGCACCTCCGTATGATGTGGGAGCTGTGCTGGCTCAGGAGGGCACTCAGGGGCAAGACGCGCCAATTGCATTCGCATCACGGACACTAGGCACGTCTGAGGAGAACTACTCGCAGCTAGACAAAGAAGGATTGGCGATAACCTATGGAGTGGCTCATTTCCATCAGTACATTTCTGAAGGGCATGTCACCATATCAACCGATCCCCAACCACATTTTGGTATTCTCGGAGCCAACAAGCCAGTATCCCAGGTATTTTCACCATGTATGACATGCTGGTGCATCACTCTAGCTGTGTATATGACTACGACTTGGTATACACTCAAGGTCAGCGTCATCAAAATGCTGACGGTCTCAGCAGGCTACCACTATCATCAAATGAGGATGAGCCTCGTTTACCCGGAGACATATTCAGGTTGTCATGCAACCCTGTTCTGCAACTGTCGTCGCACCGAATTGCAGGATTTGCGCAACAGGACCCAGTGCTGTCGCAGATTTACAAGGCTGTCCAACAAGGCACACTTCGCAAGTTAAAAGGGGATAAAATTGCCCCCTACAGCAGGATATTCACGGAATTATCAATCAAGGTTGCCTAGTTCGTGGTTCCAGAGTTATCATTCCCAGAGCAGCACAGCCAGAAACTTTGACCCTTGTGCATGTCGGTCACAGAGGCATTGTTGCTATGAGGATTGTGGACGTTGTTGATTGTGGTCGACTCCTACAGCAGGTGGCTCGAAGTACACCAAATGACGAACATACAGTCTTCATCATTAATTCAAGAAGTCGGAAATATCTTTGCAACCTCTGGAGTGCCACAGATGGTCATAACGGACAATGGGACTTCTTTCGTTTCACAGGAAATGCAGCAGTTCTTTAGGAACAACGACATTAAACACATCACCAGCGCCCCGTACCGTCCAGCTACGAACGGTCAAGCAGAAAGGATGGTGTACAAGACGAAACAGGCACTAACCAAAAATCGGGCTGGAACGCTGGAATGTGCAGGCTCTCATGGTCCCCGCTGAAGCAGCATACCACGATCAGTTCAGCAACGAACAAAACTCCAGCAATGTTGATGTTTGGCTGAGAGCTACCAACCGCGACAACTCGCTTGAAGCCAAGTGACCAGCTAGGTGAAGAATCTAAACAACATTTGGAGAGTTTACGAGGCATTGCAATTGATCGAACCGTCTTCGAGAGAAACTTTTCGGGGAAACCATCCTGGATGCCTGGAATCGTTACAGAAAGGCTTCGTCATCGTTCATGGCTTGTAAAGACCAACCGCGGATTTCTGTGGCGCCACACTGACCACATCCGAAAGAGCGAGGCGGCAATACCCGAACAGGAACGCTGCTTGCCATCTATATCCCCAAAATCATTGGTCATTCCAATGACGGACGATGCAACAGGAAATCAACCCAGTGCCAGCAGCACGGCAACCAACGACAACAACACAAAAGAGCCGCCTGTGACACTTTCGGCACCCAGACCCCAACGACACAAGCGACACCCTGTTTGGTACTGAGCAGGTGGATGTAGCAGGAATAGTGGTGAGGCGAAGAGAACTATCCCTATGATCACGTGGGTTTTTGAGGACAGCGAAGGCCTACAGGTGGAAAGGGGGGTGGAGGAAGCAAGAGAGACCCTTTCCATGTGTTAAAAATGGCAGGGAGAGGGAAAGCAGTTCCTCTGCTGTAGAGTGGGGTTTTGTGTTTGTGCATGAGCATTTTTTTTGCCAGGAACGGGCACTAATATCTATCGTTGTAAAACCAAGGTCTAAAAAGGCATTAAGAGCGACTGGACTGAGATGAGGGTTCAAAGCAAACAGTGCTTAAAAGCGGTGATGAGTCGGCAGCTGCATTAGCAACCTTAAGCAAAAACAGTAAATCACGTAAACAATGCCCAGTTAAAAATAACCATTGGGTCCAATTAGTTATTGACAATTAGAACCAATGGGGAATCCTATCTATGATTTCGGACTCCTAGTTAGAAAAAGTCGATTGGTTTCAATTGTCGAAATCTAATTGAACATCACCAATTCGAACCAGTTCGGCATTGTCAATAGGATGCAACCAATTGGAAAAAACCTATTTCTGTTTTCGGACTCCCAATAGGTGGTATTCACTGAGCCTGCAGGTTCGATTTTGCCAGGGAGCGCCACCGTCGATCCGCCATCTTCGAGGTCTCGGTTTGACTGGCTTGGGTACGCTACTCGGTCGTCCGCTGCTAGTGTGTGCTAATTTCATATCGTTGAAGCTTCGTTGAACAGAAGGGAGAAGAAAAGTTGGTCTCGGGGGCGGGCCGTTTTCCTTGTTGCCGCCGAGTACCGTGTGTAAAGGCTGAACCGCATGTAAGCAATTTGGCGAGCGATGGGACGAGACGAGCGACAGCGATGAGACAAGCAACGACGACCTGCTTCGCTGTCGCTCGGTCACTAGCGCGATGTGGCAAACCGCATGAAAGCGACGGGAGCAAGCGACCAAGGCGATAAGCGGCCCTTTCTAGAAATCCAAAAACCGAGCGACGCGACGACCGACTGCGAGAAATCAACGCCGCTCGTTGCCGACTCCCGTTGCTGTCGCCATCGCTCGCTAAATCGCTTACATGCGGTTCACCCTTCACTGTCGCTCGTCGCGTAGCTCGGTTTTGGGATTTCTAGAAAACTTAGCGCTCATCACCTTGGTCGTGTGCTCCCGTCGCTTTCATGCGGTTTGCCTCGTCGCGCGAGTGACCCAATGGCAGCGAAGCGGGTCGCCGTCGCTTGTCTTCCCGCTCGCCAAATCGCTTACATGCTGTTTTTAAATCGCTTGGGCCAATGAAAAATGCGCCGCGTTTTTCATAAGTTGCGCACTCTGTGAGCCGCTTGGTATGTTTCTGCACAGGAACGGACACCGAAGGCACGACGTATGTACGACACAGCGGCGATGGAGCAACACGGTTACACGGCCGTAGTACAGAAAATCCGCTAGAGAAAAACAATAAAGAAACTAGCAAAACAAAACAAAGAGTAATTACACCGTGCTACTAAAGCACCAAAGTAAAAAAATTAGTTCTTGCAAGAGCTACCACCGTTGGAACAGTGGGCGACACGGAGCGCTTCATGGAGCCGAGGGAGCAACGCGGCCGCGATAAACGAGTCTGATAGCAACAAAAACGAACTAAAACACACAAAAAATACTCCCAAGGCGCTTCAAAAGCACCAAAGTATAAGAATAACCCCTAGTTTCGGTCAAAAAGACCCTTTAAAGTTGTAAAATACTGCTAAACCACGCTCAAAAGGTCCGGCCAGATGGCATTCACGATAGCAAGAGACCTCGAAGATGGCGACCGTGGTGGGCGATGCCAGCGAACCTAGCGAGTGACGTCAAGTGAATGTCACCTATAGGAAAAAAGCAATTGGTCCAACTGTTCAAATCCTATTGTCAGATATGAATTGGGACAACCATTAGTGTTTGGATATCCCAAATTAGAAAAAGTTGCAACTAGATCTAAAGGTAGATAATCACAGTCTTTATTTAACTTATTAGAAATGATTTCTTGCTTCTAGGCATCGTTGTTTTCTTCCAGGATAGCAGCTGCAGCTTCCCTAAAATAAAGGATAAATATGCATTAAATGACCTTATTGGATTATAAATGTTTAAATCAAGCTTAGAAACATGCTAAACTTTTTTTTTTCGCTGCAAAGAAATTAGTTGCAGTGGTATAAACCTGCAGGCCTTGCATTAAAAGGCAAACATCCCTGGGTGACGGAAACACTCTGGTCAAAATTAGGAGATGAAGCTTTTGCCGAGACTGGGCTAAATTTGCATCTGGGATGGTTTAAGACTACTATGTTTCCTATGAGCCTGTGAGACATAATCTCCGCTATAAGGAGAAGAAACAGTCAATTCAAAGGCATCTCTGTAAAGCTGGCCAGTGCACCTCAACAATGCTCAAAGTGTGCATGGGTGAAAAAATAAGTGTCTTTCGTATCTCGAGAAGAAATCATGCAATGCAGGCTGTGTTCGAAATCTTACTCGAACGGATCAGAGGCAACGCAAGACGCGGGTAGGTTTTTGAACTTACCCTGAGTGGAGACAGAGTAAATTTTGAAACATAGCTGCGAATAGTCCGCCGGATGAGATGCAAAATTTTCGGCACCTACTGTTATTTTATTAGAAGTCATCAACTTCCGGAAGTAATGACCCGACATCACCGACCGACCGACCCCCCCACCCCACTTCCCACTCATCGAAAATGCCCCCGAAATCGCTTAATTTTGAATCCCAAAGCTTCAATTTTTGAAACTGTGCCCAGTCAGTGTTTTCAGCAATTCATAGTTTAGTTTTGAGATGCTTAAAACGCACTTAACTTTCCTCGCGGATACCCAACAACTTCCGAACTGATAGCTGCCCGGAAAATTTTCTTCTCTAAAGCTATATATTCACGCTCGCATCGTTCACTGAAGATCAAACAACGAGTGTCTCAGCAGATCTAACAATCCGAAATCCCCAAACTGCAGCGCAGCAAGGACAAAGAAAATTTCTTACCTTGCTCCCATAAACGTTTGTTGCCAATCCTTCGCGCTCTAACAAGCTGGCAGGTCAAATGAAGTAATTATCACCGCACCATTGAGCACTCTGCAGCAGTAAAACACAAAAAAATCTTTCTTGAATCATTGCCATAACCATGCTACGAATGCCGTACACGCCATCGGCGCCATGTGCTTCGTGCTTCCTCCATCCTCGCGGCGCCATCTTTGCCGCCCAGTGTACACCGACTAATTCTAGAAACAGATTTTTGTTTTATTAAATAGTGTACGAATTTTTTTCCCCCTTTCAAATTGCGATGTTGAAAAAAAGTTTTGCAACGCAATACTGAAAAAAAAAATAAATAAATTGCGATCTTTGGAAACTGGGGTGAGGAAAGAGATAATGGAAAGTTCTGTCCCAGTGCCAATTGAATTTTATTGATCCCAATCGGAGATCAATCATAAAGTTGGAAACATTGAATCCAATTAGGTGACCCAGTGCCAAATGAATTTTATTGATCCTAATTGGGATAACCAGTTGGTAACATTGAATCCAATTGAGTAACCAATTAGGTGGCCCAGTGCCAACTGAATTTTATTGATCCCAATTGGGATGACCAGTTGGAAACATTGAATCCAATTAGAGTGACCAATTAGGTGGCTGAGTGCCAATTGAATTTTCTTGGTCCTAATTGGGGTAACCAGTTGGAAACATTGAATCCAATTAGAGTGACCAATTAGGTGGCCCAGTGCCAATTGAATTTTGTTGTTCCTAGTTGGTGTAACCAATTGGAAACATTGAATTGAAACTAATTAGAATGACCAGTTGGATGACCCAGAACCAGTTGAATTCCATTGACTCCAGTTGGTTCCAATTGAATATCCTAATTGGAGCCAATGGTTATTTTTAACTGGGTGTCTATTAAGCAAAGAACATAATCCCAGTTTCTGAACTATTCGGTCGTAGCTGTAGTTGCGGTTGCCCGCAAAATTTATTTTAGATAATTCCTACCAGCCATCTTTGAGCACGCTAAATAGAGGATGACGTAGGATGATGAATACAGTTCCATACGATAAGAGCAAATTCAAGTTTCGTGCTCGCCTAGCACAAAAATAGTCCCTAGATACATGCAGGCGAAGAAAATTGCTCGTGGAAAACTTCCAGTGGCTATTTGGTCGAAGCTATGGGCTTACGAGTGTTCAAGCACCTCTTTGCTTCTTCTGAAGTGCCGTGGAAAGTTGTCCACAAGAATGTAGGTATGCTCCATTCTCCCCTAAGTGGACGGTGCGACGGAAGTTACGTGCTCATTGAACCAGACTTGCATATATTTTTTGCCACGTAGTCACACTCCTGCCCAAACTTGCACGCAAGGTCAGGTGACGAAAAAAAAGCGGTATGGCCAGCGAGCTCATAGCTCACATTGCGCTGCCAGCTTGGGGGGGACCGGGGTATAAATTAACTCGCTGTTTACAAACAAGTCTTTGTTTTCCCACGTTCAGTTGGGCACTGCACGTGCTCAAAATGTAGATTTGCATTGTGTGAAGCGTCTGCACGTGCGCCTCCCCGACAGCTGCCTGTTGGTGTATAGCCGTGCGAAGTACTTACAACCGTAATCCTTGCCATTTTGTATACAGAAGAGTGCGAGTGCCATTGTCCCTTTGTTTTAGAACAGTTGAATTGCCTCGAGTGATAGGATGATGTCTAGGATGCATCTCTGACGGATGTATTCACCTCATCCTCATTTATTGTCTCTAGAAATAGAATAAGACATATGGTGTCTCATCTCTCTTGGCATCGTCTTCCCAAAGCTTGGTTGTGACGGCATTCTTCATTTTTATCTTCTTCATAGATTCTTCCCATCGTCGACCTCATGTCCATCAACAGCTCGCACTTCGCGAGACTACGAGATTTCATCACCCTCCAGCTTCCCGCAGGTTTCCCAGTCAAGATCGGTGAGTAGTCACTTTAGGTTTTCGGGCACGAGCGGATGTCATCCTGGTTTCGCAATCAAACAGGTGGAGAAAGTCTCGTCCTAAGATTCATTGTTGTTTTAATGCAGAACGTGTTTTATCAGCCGATTTCCACGGAGCTGGAGCGAGCTCGCTTCTGTGAGTGGAACTGCTACCGTCTTCCCTTGATGGCTGGGAGGTTTTTGAAAGGGAGGGGGAACTTCATTCTCGCGTCACTCTCGCTTTGATGACGTGGTGTCAAACGCGACGCGAGAGCAGAGTTCCCTCACTCAAAAATGTTACAGCCAGCAGTGCTGACGGTAGCGGCGCCTCTGCACCGGAGCAAGCTCGCTCTGGTCACGCGCACGGTGGGTTCTAAACTTTTGGCAAAGACTGTACCTTCCTGTCTCATTATGCCAAAAGGCGTCGTTCTGTGAACATTTGGAGCTGCGCTACGGGAGTTTTTGTGACCTTGTGGAGGAGCACATTGGCACTTCGCCATAGACTGCGAACCAGAGCCAGAGCAAACATCAGTTCTGCGAAACAACGTAAGACGACATTGAGAATGACGCCTGGAGGACGTTGTCTAGGACGACCTCTAGGACGACTTCAAGCACGACGCCTAGAGGACGATGTCTAGGACAACCTCTAGGACGACGCCAAGGACGACGGCGTCCTTGAGCATACCATTGAGCGGCACGTGCCTGATGCCATATTTTTATGGGCATCTTTCGGGCACAACGCCGCCGGCTTTTCGCGAAATTGGACAAGTAAGGCTTTTGCCTTAAAAGTGAATTGTGCATAGTGTTTTGAGTGGCATTCGCTCTTCAAAAATGGCCGAACATCGCTGGAAGACGAGGAGAGATGCGGCAACATTTTCAGCCTCTCTTTGTCTTCCAGGGATGTTCTGCTATTCTGGAAGTGCGCGCTCCACTAAGAACAACACATTGCACGACTCGCTCCTTTGTTGCCTTAAGCCTGCCGAATTATTTCGAAGATCTCTGTTCATATTTGCCGAATTTGACGATGAATTCGTGTTCGTTCTCGTTCTGGCTTGTAGTGTATGGTGAATCACCATTGTGCTCGTGTACGTGGTCACAAGAATTCGCGTAGCTCAGCTCCAAATGCTCACAGAACGACGCCCTTTGACATAATAAGACACGGAGGTCCCGGCCTTAGAATGCTGCGCGCACATCACCGTGCTGCCCTCCTTCTTTACGCTACAAAATCAGTCTCTGAACTTTTTGATCTCTCTTCGTAATGGCATTGTTGACACCACGACGTCAACATAGGGTTATGTGGCGTTCCACGCGTGCCACGGAGGAACATGAAATTTTGGTTATCTTTTGTTGGAATGTAATTCTGCGTAAACCTTTTGAATGCCAAGTTTCTTTTCCAGCATGCCGAACACAAATTTTGATCTCAGTAACACTGTAGCATGCTTTGTGGAGCATATTTGTATATAAAAAAACACTATTTTATAGACAAAAAGTTAGTTGATGTCTGCATGCCTCCAACCTAGGGCATATTTCTCATATTGCACTTTTCAAGGCACAGTACTATGCAGTGGCATCTCGACCTTGCACCCACTCTTTTGAGAGGCCTCACTCGGCCTCAGTTTAATCGGAACCGTAACGTCCTCGTTTTCACAGTTGTGGTTTGTCGAGTTTATTACTATTAATTTCTAGATCTCGGCGGTCACTACGAATTGCGAGGTTGGCTGACAGATTTGCCATTCGTTAACGGTGAAAAAGCATAACGAAACAGAAGTAACGTAAACGAAAAGAAGGATGCGCCATCAAAAAGCGATGCCACGAGGTAAAACATCTTTTTCATCGCTCACTCGTACTTGCCACTACAGATAAACAAACGTGACTGTGCAGTTGGGAGGGGCAGGCAGCAAACCGAAACTGAAACCAGGCGAGAACGCTGAAGGGGTCAATAAAGAGAAGGGGGCGTTCTCGACTCGGCAATGCCACGAGTAGGGGGCGTATCCTCCTTTCGAGCGGCAACCGCTTTGGGGGACGCCGTTCACCCCAGGGAGCGCTTTCAGAGATCCCGCTGTTCCACGTGCTGAATGCGAGGATCACGTTCGGCAACATCAACACCGTGGACGAGTCGGTGGCCGGGGTGACGACCCGCCGCGACGACGGGGTGGTGACATGCAGCATCGAGGACTACTGCTTCGAGCCCCCCGGCGGCTACACCAAGCTGGGTGAGTGCCGCCTGAAGACCCGGATCTGGCAGTCGGACACTCTCTGGGGAGAACAAACCGGCACGCTGGTCCCATCTCTGAGGTAGTCCTGGAACCGCATTTCACTGGAGCGGAGGTTTGGCAGAATTCGTGAGATCAAATGCGTACCTAGTACCTCCGAGGAACGGTCGTTTATGACCTTGCCAAAAGAAGCCAGGAATGAAAATAGGAAATACACGCAAGTCCCAAGCATATACGGCGCCAGCATGTTTTCTCGTTGTATCGGATCACGAAAGGCCGCTAGGCAATTGGTCGTAACCAGGCACGAGCACGTGAGCCAGCCTTAATGCACCCGTTCGTGTCGCGTTGCATTTTTTTATGAGCTAGAGGCTCATGGATGCCGTTATTTTGCTGCGTAGATCACCTTTGGTGACCGCCTTCGTTCTGAAACGCAACTCCTCGCGTTTTGGATCCGGTGTCGGGGACTTTGTTGTGGGCTGTCCTCCTAAGGGGACAACGGAGCGTGCCTCCCACACTTTCTGTAAGGCGCGCCGGTAAAAGCCGTTTGATCGCCGGCAACGCCGGTCTCGCGCACCGGTATATCCTTGACGTGGTTAACCTTAACCGGATAGCATTTAGTGGCTCTAATTTGGTGCTTGAGCAGCTTTTCTGGCGACGCACCGACGTTTCTTGGCTGCGATGCGGTCTTTATTACGGGCCCATATAAGCTAGGAGACTTGCTAGGTGGAAAATTATGTTCAGTACCACGAAACTCCTAGGATAAACCTAGCCTAGCTTGTTTTGTTCACCATCTTTTCGGGGCGGGACAGTTATTGGAAGGTATAAACACAAAGACACTCGCGAAATTCTAGGAGCATATATTATTGATAGTTTTGGAGAACGCAGTGATGTGATTGCTGCGCCATTTGCGCCAAGCTGCACCATAGTGCTTACCTTGCTACATCCTGCTACATTTTATCATAATGCGAGGTATTTGCGCCAACATTGCGCCAAAATTTAATTTCACTTAATGATACTGAAAATATTATTGCTCAGGCCTCGCTGCTTGGCCGGGCCATTACGATATGCTTATGCGAATTCTCAGAACTTTTGGCTATCGTCTGAAATAAAGTACTATTCAATCGCATTTCATGTGAAAGGCTGACAGTGCTCGGAAGTTTCGCAAAAATTCTCATGTTCGTCGTCTGTTCTGCTGGAGGATTAGTTAGTCTCGTTGAGTGCGCTTCTCCTCGCACATCGGTGTACTGCAGAGAAGTGAAAACCGCGATGTAAGCAGCGCAATTTTGCGTTTCTTGCTTCGCCGCAGTGCACCCCCGTGCTAAGGGGAAAGCGCTGTTTCAGAACGAGACGCGATACAGTTCCTGAACACAACTTTAACTCGTATCTATGACAGACTACGATATCCTGGCGGTACCTTTTTCCATATTGAGATTTAGCGAGGATACTGCGGTATTGCTAGAACATTTATATGCGCTTTTTCATATGTTTATTTAACTAAGTTGTTGTGTTATCTCTTTTATATAGATGGGAGTAAATTATAACTGAGTTGGCAGGAGCAGTGGATGGAAGCTCACGAACTGCCTTATTGAATTCGGCGGGATTGTTTTCAAGTTTTGTTCACATGCCGTTCTTGTTATGAAGTCCTACACATAAACTGTAATTGACGTTCATAATCGAATAACCAGTGCTTTGTCTTTTTATCTGAATTATATATTGCTGTTTTGTTACAACCTTTAGAACTCGAAGAAATCATTAATTTATGGGCTCTATAATATTGTATTATTTCAGTGAGATTCAGTATCTAAAATAACCATTCACAGCAGTTTGTGCTGTCCTTTTTCACTCATCATGTCTGGTGCTTCTCCACGCAACTAAACGTTAGTTTTGTGTTTGAGGGACTCACTCCTGCTGTGCAATTGATGCGAACTAAGGGTTGCACGTGAGTGAGAAGGCAATGTAGACATTGCCTTTTAGTTGGACGTGCGGACACATGAATCTTCACAATGTCTGCATTTGTATGAATATGAATGATGTTCCAAAATGACTTTTGGCTGCTCCAAGAGCTGCTCCAAAATGGACCAATCACATCACAACATCACTGAGAATGGCGCATTAGCGAGCCTTTCGTGGGGCCGTTCGATGAGGGAACCTTATTTTTGAAAAGGTCCTCTCTTAATAGATTTAATTTGGGTCGTGACCGTTTAGAACGATCAAAATATTTCTTTTTGCGTTTTTTCAATGTGTCTGTTTTCATTAGGGCTGTGCAAATATTAAAATTTTCGAATACGAATCGAATATGAATAAGACAAAAAATGGGCTTCGAATATCATATCGAATATGTGTATAGTAATAAAAAAATTATAAAACAAGAAGTAACAGCAGGTTTTATTGCCTTTTGAAAATAAATCAATGTAACTGCATTTTACTAGGCTGCAGCAGGCTAAAGATACTTCTGGTAATGCACTCATTACAAATTATCGTCTTGGAAAATTAACTGCTCAACGCGTTCAGAAAGTAAGCGCTCCCTACGGGCCGTGAAAACATTTCCGCCAGTAGAAAGACCCTTTCACTCGGGAAACCTGCAAAATTTCACTAAAGTTCGAAGAAGTTTGACTTATGGCAGTGTTGCCCGGCTGCTACAGGAAGATTTCGAATTTTGGGAAACAAAAAATTTAGAAAGTACTTTTTATATTTCATAATATGGTTACCAATGTTTACACCATATGAAAGTGAAAATTTGCGCTTCTAACGTTATTAATGTGAACCAGTGATGCCAATAAACCCAACAAATATTGCACTTTTCCTTCGCCAGGTGGAGCAACAAGTTTTTTTTATATATATATTTTCGCGCATGCGCACAAAAGTCGATTTTCAATCGAACCTTTATCGAACATCACGTTGAAAGTTTGAAAAAGTTGAACTCGCTCGAACTCGAACCTTGGCAGGTTCGCGACATCTCTAGTTTTGACTGCGCAGAAGTGGCAGGAGTTGTTTTCAATGGCGATGCAATGTTCTGCTTGCACCTAGCTAGCTTTCTTTTCTTTTACTTTTCAAATATTTATCATAGATAACTCTCGAAATTTATATTATATTTAATTTCACTCTCGAGGTTTATTTTATTGTATCAATTTATAGAATGCATCATTACACCACATATTGCTATAAAAGTGCCCACAACCAAGGGCTTGGTGAAAAAGAAGCCGAAACTGATCCTGTCTTGCTCCCATCGGACAGATAGAAATGAAGCAGACCAATAACGCACGCATCATACGCGTTTGTTAGTGGATAAACATATTCATAGGGAAATGTGTGGCAGTCAGATTATTTGTTACTTGCTCGAATATTCGTAGTTTGTGTGAATATGTATTCGCCGTTTTTCCCGAACATGCAATTTTCGAATCGAATACATTTCGAATAAGGAAAATATTCAATTCGTGTTCGATATTTTGAATATTCACACACCCCTAGTTCTGAGCGAAGGAAATTAAGTGAATATAGCGAAGAAAAGTTTTCCGATACTTTTAAGAAATAATCCTATTCTGAAATTTTAGCGAGTCGCAGACCGCCGCACTTTGCTGCTGTGGCCGAGCAGCCACCCAGAACGGGCAGCAGACAGTGCTGCAAAGGCCGTCAGCGGCAGCCTCTGCATCGTTGTCCGCTCCCCGTTCCTTATCTGGAAAGCAGCTTTTCCGCATCGCACGCGGAAAAGCCGTCTTGATATGCCGATAAGGACGTTCGTGAGCGCTAGCGACAACGTACGTACAGCGTAACGACGGAGTTGACGGGAGGAACCTAGGATTGAGATGAGGAGCGACTCCAGTTTAATGGCTGATGGTTCCCAAGCAGAGGGGCTCGAGTGTTCCCGCATTTGCTTGTCTCGTGGCCAGCGTGGCGAGAAAAGGGGGCGGACACCTGGACACGTTTGCGGGCGGCGAACGCTTTTGACTGCTTGCAGGCTACGGCTCGTTTTGCTAACGCGGCCCACAAACTACCGGACCTCGATGGAGCAGTTGCCCCCTTTCTTAAATCTAGGCTCTCCATACCGACAAAACACGAACATGAGCGCGAGCTCGGTGCTGTGCGCGCTTTGTTTGCTTTGTGTTTCGTGTCGCTGGTTGATGTGGCCGCTGTCTGCGCGAAAGTCTGGCTTCACGCAAGATCCGATTCGGCGACTCATCTGCGCTCAACGATGGCTAGTCCCAGCACCGCCGGCACCTCGACGGGGAAAATGAAGGCAATCTCCTTTGTTATGCGCGTGTGGGCAATATGCTCCAGTCACTTTAGACATGTGGAAACCAAGGATACAAAATAGTGCTGTTGAATACTAGAACTATTTTAAGGGGAGATGTGGGTGCGGGTCAAAAGAGGGCACTATTTTGCACCAAAAAAAAACATGATCTTGGGTTTTAGCGTGTTTTATTACCTTTGAATCTTCATATTTTATGTGTATAAAAATTAGGACCGAATATGATGGGGAAACTAGTCAATCACGCATTTGAAGAACTCCTGCGACCCAGAAAGGCATGCATTTCTGCCATTTTCGTGTGCTAGGTCTTTCCAATTGTGACGTCACCCGCCATCACATTTATTTTGAAAAGTAGGCCTAACGTTCTCTTCTTCGCCATATTCTTCCAAAGCTTCTATTTCTCCCGGAAAATTAATAACAAAATTACAGGAGGACGCTTAAACTTCTTCACCTTTGAGTGCGGAACACGGGAGCTAAACATTTAAACTCTCCCTCCTTCTCAAGCCATGCAAGCGTGTCTGCGTGGCCTAGTCGGTAACGTGTCTGGTGTGCAACTGAAGGGTCGTAAGTTTAAATCCTGCTTAAAATTCTTAAAAAAAATTTTTTTTTAATGTTAAATGAGTTGTTGTATATAGTGAAATCATTTGAGACAATTGGCGACCCTTAATTCGCATTACATGTCACGTTTTAATCACTTTCAATTCATGTGTGACATCATGTTTCACGTGAGTGCTGTGGGCTGCTTGAAATTCCTGCGCAAGGTCATGTGGCTGTGACGTTACGACCCTATCAATCAATCAGGATTTTCCGGTCCCGCCAACCCCAACTTTTTTGCTACACAAGCTCCTTAACGCTCTCGCGTTAAAAAAGATTTTTCCCGCCGCTAAAGAGTGTCTTACAATCTGTGGTGATATTCAGATGTGTTTTTCTTCTTTTGTAATTTTTTAACACCCTCATGTTCCTCATGTACGCAAGAATTTTTGTTCTTAATACGTCCTATTACAATCAAATTTGGCATGCATATGCTTTAGAATATGTAGAATGCAACTATCAAGGCTCAGTTAGAATGCATATTTTTGTATATCTATAAAATCCTAAAGCAACTTTTGCTAGCCCTTTAAAATTGGCAAGTTTGCGATTTTAAATTACTTTAAAATGAAAAGTCTCGCACATCTTACTAGGCACTTTTAAGTCTGTTGCCATGCCCCACATACGCACAAGACACTTTTTTTTTGGCATGTGTATTGCATCTAGAACATAAAAAACAAAATATGCCAAATCTAACATCAGATTTAGAGTTTAAAAAAATTAAGCACTCCAAAGTGTGAAGAAAAAATTTTTTAAAATTATTTTAAATAGTAACTCAATCTTTTCCCCTCGGACATGTCCCCTTAAAGTGAGAGCTCCTTGCTTTGGAACATGTCTCAGGTACATATGCCAAAGCACCTGACAGAGATATGATCACATTCCTTAGCCTTGTTTGCACTGCTGCCTGTCAAAGCAAGGTATGGTATGAGTGGTAGTATTAGGAGAAATAACAATTCAACGGTAGTTCAATCTCTTTAGCAGGAAGGTAAGAAATATTGTTTCCGAGCAAGAGAATGCCAAGACTGTGTGGTTTGACTGTTAGCATTTTTTTCAATACGGGACTAGGATTGCACCTTATTGCAAGGATGCTTTTGTTCAATCGCGAATGAAAGCACTCGTGAAATTAATTTCCACTTGTTCTCAAAGGCAATTTTCACCGTTTACACGGGGTTTTAATAAACTTCTTCGGCAAATGACGACGAACGATCAGAAAAGATGTCTTCAGCACGTTGCCGCCCAGCCTCTGCAATGCTGCAAAAGGTTGATTTTCCGTGTCCCAAGATGGCCGTCCGGTGGCTGCAATTGCGGAGTGGGGAGCGTGATCCAGCTGTTGTCATAGAGATCAGTGGTGCTTCTACTTAATGCCAGTGTTCGCGGTGGGTGTTGAATTTAAACGTTGACGGGGGTATTGAAAAGTCATCTTGAGAAGAGCAAAAGGTATGAAAATTGTTAGTTTGAAAGTCGTTGCAGATATAGAAGTTAGAGCAGTTGATTAAGTGTATACAGTCAAAGGCGCTCACATAAACAAAGAGAAGTGCCGCCAGCATGTCGGCATGATGACGCGTTTCTGCGATCTGGGTGGCTCATTCAGAGGGGGTTTAAAATTACGACACACTACCTGCAGCGATGGAAGCGCCATACCATTTGCATTAAATCGTGCTACGAACGAAAATCTGCTACATCTTGCACCAATATTTAATTTTTGCCAAGAATTGTGCCACACCTGCTCCAAGATGAACTTAAACAAAAGAAAAAAAATGAGACCTTTATATGTAAAGGGCGAGCGTGTTGTTAATGGTACTGAATATGAGGAAGGGACAGACGGACGGACGGCAACATTACAACTCTCTGTAATTCCGCATTAGAGCGCAGCTCTTGAGGAGGAGAAGGGGAGGGTATGGAGGGGAGGGTTTGCCCCTCCTCCTTTCCCCTCCTCCTTTCCTGCACGCCTCCCTTTTAGTGGAAAAATTTCCCCGCCAAATTGAGTGCAAAAGCCCCGCTAAATTTAGCGGGGAATTTTGCCACTAAATTTAGTGGGGAAACTCTTCCGCTAAATTTAGAGGGAAATTTTTTCGATAAATTTAGTGGGGGAATTTTCTGCTAAATTTAGGAAAAAAAATGTTCCGTTATACTTAGCGGGGAAATTTTTCTGCTAAATTTAGCAGCATCTCCTTGTCTACGGTAGTGTCACACCCATTCGCACAACAAGCTCTCCCATAGCGTTACCAACCTTTTTTCTGACCAGTAGCATATTAAAGGGATACTGAACCAAGGAATTTAGTGTACATAATAGGTGGCGCACATTCTTTCCACGAGCCAGCAGCCGCCGGTGTGCGCGAGCACACGCAACAAAAATGTCGTCAAAGACCTCCATTCGCGGTTAAGATGACAGTGAAATATATGGGCTTCGGGCCAAAGGGGAATGAAGACAAGTTTTTCATCTACACAGTGGTGTCTGGTGTAAAAGGTAAGCGATTAATTGGTCTAACAAGCACGTAGCTTTCACTTGTAGAGATGAAAAGCCTGTCTTTATTCTCCTTTGGCCCGAAGCCCATGCATTTCACTGTCATCTTAACCACGAATGGAGGTCTTTGACGTCATTTTCGTTGCGTGTGCTCTTGCACACCGGCGGCTGTTGGCTCGTGGAAAGAATGTGCGCCACTTATTATGGGCACTAAATTCTTTGGTTCAGTATCCCTTTAAAGGACTCTAGGCAGAGCTTCTTGCCAATCCGTGTCTTTCTATGGACAATTGCAAGTATGGCCTCTGGTATCAAGGCTTGCTAAGGCATGCTCCCGGTTGCCGTACCAAACAAAGCATTTTTCATTCACGGTGGCCAGACTAGCTCCTGAAGGGTGTCTGCTTGAAAAAATCTATGGATTTGTCCCTCAGTATTCCTAAATAGTAAGTGCTCCTTAAGCGAAACAACGAAGCAGCAAGTGCTTCGTTGTCCGCAGTAAAACCTAAGGTGCCGCCATCTCGAGGTGAATTCGCAAACTCCAACCGGGTCTATCGAGGTAGGCGAGCTCAGTGAACTCGATTGCCATCGACGGCTCATCGGCTAAAGCGCCGGATATCCCAGCTTATCCAAGTACCGCCCTCGTTCAATCGTGCCGCGGGCGCTCCTGTTGGACGCCGGCGACGCCATTCTTGGCTTATGGTGTATCCGACATCAGACGGGCACACTCCCGTTGGTCTGCCGTGGCGGCCGGCAACGCACCGCCATTTGCGAGCACGTTCCTGTTGGTGTGCGTTACTAGTTGCTGGCGCCGTGCCACCGTGACATGCTACGTTGGCGGCAACGCTCCGCCATTTTAGGCTGAAGTGTATCCCAGCATGCATCGGCTCGGTGGCCGGTGCTTTACTCCTCGGCCAACCATTGTCGCTTAATGGCAGTCGAGAGCGGCCGCGCAGCTAAGATATGTAGAGGCGTTTGGAGATCCACATAGTGGGCGGCGCTGCGCTAAGAGAGAAAGGCTGAGACTGGGCTGTGTTTTCCGGCAGACGGCGCGAGGGCCCCTCGTGCTCCTCCTCCTCGCCCCAGGGACCCCGAAACTAGACGCAAACATAGGGAGAAGCGTCGCCAAGAGATCTGTGCCAAATACGGCCAGAAAACGGCAGCCCTCGCCGTGCCCGCCAAAGGGGCCCACTTGCCGGTAAATAGACACTATTGAGACTGTTTTTTTTATGTCTTTACTCCTTCACTTTTTACGTGCAATCTGTGTGTGGGACAGCTTTTGCGTGTTTTCATCTTTCCTCTTTCTGCTTGCTGGGCACAGTCGCATCTCTAAAGCACATTGGGGACGGGTGATTTTGCGGGCACCAGAGCATATTTCGTGCATTGCACAGTCCCGTGACAGGGGGTTACGCGTTTAATGTTGCAGTGTTGAGGCGTCACGATATCGGAGGTCATGCAATTTGGACCTTGGCACTGGCCAGTGGGTTACCTGAGGAGTGAAATTATGCAGTTACGATTGCACAAATTGCTTGCGTAAAAATTTGTGGGCTACAAATTTTAGAGCTAAAGTGGTAGAGATCTGTAGGCTGAAAGGTCAAACGAGTTCAAGAGTGAACGGGACACTTTTTTGAACCATTTTCTAAGTTCATTCACGAGACGAGTAGCGTCGCATCTTATAGAGTCATTTCGAATGCCGCAATGTCATTGCAAGGGTGGTTTGTACACCTGGGCGAGCTTTTCGACGCGCATCCAACGCCCGCACAAATAGCAGCATTCTCAAAACAGCAATTTTTGCACGAGGTTGCCACGCACCGTTGTGAACTGACCGACAACAGAGGTTTGGGTTGGCCTCTTAGCGGTGGTGGTGGCTACAGTTTGCACAAAGAGTGGTTTTGACGTTCTGTCGGCCTCTCTCTCCTCTCTGCCCCCACCACTGGCGCAGGTGCCAACAAGCTTCGACAGTTCAGCGTTGACGAGGACGACGAGCTCCTCCAGTACGCCATCGAACAGTCGCTCGTGGAGGCAGGCAGCGAGGAGGATCAGGTGAGCCCCTTTCTTGTTTGTCCAGTCTTTTGTGGGGCACTTTCGTATCCGTGCGTGGGGTGCAGCCACAACGGACTAGAGGGAGCCTCGGCGAGGCGTCGCACTGAATTCAGGGTACGGCGATCACGTGGCCCCACGACGTTGTGTGACACTGCGACTTCACGAGACAAGACCTGACGTCGTGTCACGTGATAGCGTAAGATGACTTGATGTGACACCGTGACGTCGGAGAGCACCTTGACGTCGGAGAGCACCTTGACGTCGTGGAGCACCCACAAATGCCGCGCATTTAGTAGGCGCATGCAAATAATGGATTTCGAGCTCGGAAGCAAATTTGATGCGAATAGTGGTTTTGGTCGAACATTTTCTAATCAAATGTCGAATCGGTCTTGAGAGCCTTTCACTACTGCATCACGCTCGTACGAAAACCGGTTAAATCTGTGAAGGCCGTTCTCAAGCTTCCACGTGTCCATTTCTAAACTAAGTTAATGTTAATTGAATTATTTACGGACTGTATTCTCGGAAAGTCCAGTGCTTACATTAGAATGGCAAGTAAATGACGCATTTGACATGACATTATGCCCACAAAGATGCCAAGCTGTGCCTTATCAAAAGGGAAAGGGTCTCAAATTTAAAAAAAAGAAAAGTAAAGACGATTAATAATGATGAATGCAGGTTCTTAGGGCATCCCTTTACAATTTATAATTACACCAGGTGTGTGTTTCGATCATCCCGCTTTGAAAGTGTGGTTTTTTTCCTAAGTGCGCAACTGCAATATTCATACTTTTCGAAGTGTTGATCGTGGCGAGCTTCGTGGATGTCGCTTCACGCCGGCACCGGTGCTGGATAAAAAGCGCGCTTCACAGGGCTAATTTGCCACGATCAACACTTCGAAATATATGAATGCTATTGCAGTTCATCTGGAAGTAAAAATCGAATAGCGTATTATTGGAAGCTACTATTAGAATATTCCCACAATCCTAGCATTTAGAGTGCCTTTGGAAGTTGCCAGAGGGAGGGAGTTTTTTTAACTGAAACTGCTCACTTCATCAGTGCCATAGCCGGAGTGGTAGGCATACACACAACAGACAAGAAACTGAAATGCCATCATACATGTTCGAAAATCTCGGTGGCACTCTGCTGCACTACGATGGAGACAAAAGATTTTCAGTGTGGTATCTATAGTAACCCTGAGACGTAGGAAAAAAAAAAAAACGGACAGTACAATGAAGTCTCTGTAGAGACTTCGTTGTACTGTTCGTTTTTTTATTTTCCTATGTCTCAGGGTTACTATGGATATCATTCACCAGCTTGCCTGTGTTTTTTACCTTTTTTCAATGTGGTACTTTCAACGCCCGGAAAACAATGGCATAACACACGATGACGAGATTAATTGACAGTCACAACAAATAAGAAAAAAAAAGCAAAAGACAGTCTTTGGCACTCTTGAGTTACAGAGAACTCCCAGTGCTTCGCTAGTGTCTGTTCATTGCCCTTCCTGAGAAAGACCTGGGTACGAGACAATGGCTCAGTTTTTTCAGGACTGGCCAGATGGGTCACTTCTTTCTCCTTGTTTGTCATGGCTGTGAAGGACAAAGAACATTAATCGGCCGTGTCTATTTCTTGTGAATAAAAGCAAACATACTTTACTTGGCACAGACAGGATTTGCATAGTTTGAATGGCTGGATGCACCGCAGCCTTGTGGCTTTCCCATCAAATTGGTAGGGCTGGCCGTTGTCATGTGTTATGGGCTTCTCGAGTGCCAGTCGATGCAGTTGAGACATCTCTCTTCATGTGTTCTTTCAAACTCAAGACGTCCCGCCGCTAAGGGTGGATTTGGTGCTGTAGGGAACGCATTTTCCCGAGTAAAGTTTTGGATAAAAGTAAAGGCAAGACACTCTCCTCGCCACATAGAAGGAGCTGAGACTATGTCAGGTGTGAAGCAGAAGTGACCAGACACCATGGCAAGCATTAGACTTGAGGGGACAGACCTTTCTGCTCAGCTGAAAAAATAAATACATATGTAAAAGAAAGCAGGTACCAACGGGTCTTTGTAAATGAAAGTCTCAGCACATTTTTTCTGAATGAACAGTGTCTCTTGTTGCTGCACTTGTTTTTTTCTGATCTTGACCTTGATTCGTTATTATGGACAATTTTTCTGGGGAATGGAAGTGTCCATATTAACGAGACAGGACTGCAGTATAAGCAATACTGGTATAGTGGTGTAACCTCTCATGTTGAAAGGAACCCGCTTGAGCCCCCCCCCTTTCCCCCTTTTTTTTTATTCCCAATACCTTACAGGTTTATTAAAAGCATTGCATAAGGGGGGACATTTAGACAGATACAGAAATATAGAATGCAACACGTGCCACTCAATTTTATACATGAAAGTCAGTTGAACTATTCACAATGAATACATAATTGAATATCTGACAGAAATCGACAGTAAGTTACCATAATAAACGAAGTAAGTGTATTTAGGAAACGAACGCTGTAGACTGAAAAAACAAGATAATTTTTTTCTCGAAACAGTGGTGTCAGTAATGGTGATAATGGATTGGGGAAGGTCGTTCCATGTGCGGATGCCTCGTGGTAGTACAGCTGAATTAATGAATGCACTTGTTGAACCAGTGAGACGTTGAAAACTTTTGCTTCTTGTGGTGCGATGTGATGACCTATTAGGTGACTTACGGAAAGAAATGTTTGCATAGCAATCACTTTAATAGAACTTATTGAATATGCACAAGAGAGAGACGGTATGACACACTTCAAGCAAAGGTAATGAGCACCAACATTTGAGGGGAGAATCACTTACCTATGTTAAAAGAATAAAATTATGTTATGAAGCGTGCTGCACGATTTTGAACTGCTTCGATGCGAGTGGTCAGGTATTTCTGACAAGGGTTCTGATAGCCCATGCAAATTCTAGTTTGGGGAGGACATAGGTTTCGTAAGCCAGTTTTTAGAGATGATCAGGGGCTGTTTTAAGGTTATGTTTTGTATAGTAGAGAGTTGCATCAGATGTTACCGTGTTAATATGGGCGATCCACGAAAGGTGAGATGTGAAATAAATGCCAAGATACTTGTACGATGAACATATAGTACTTAGAAATAACGTGCCTAAACAGTACGTAAACTGTGAAAGAGAATGTTGGCAAGTGAAATTCATCACCTGATAATTTGATTTATTTAGTAGCATTAGCCAGTCATCACACTAGTTACCAGTGCGTTCCTAATTACGCTGAAATAGTAAATGGCCATCAGGCCGTTTTAGTTTGGCTATATCGAGTGTCCCCGCCATGGGAGTTCATACAGAAAAACAACGCTCCTGTAGTATTACATGTGATTTTCAAGGGGATGTTTGGACTGTTCGATATAAACAATAATTCGAAATACCCGGGTGAAATATAACCAGGCTCGACTGTACCTTGCAGGAAAAACCCTTACGAAGGCAGTACTGATATTTCTAGAAAAAGTTTTCAGATTCCAAATGTGATGCAGCTTGTGAAAAAAAAATTATATGTTCAAGTATCATGCACACACCACCGGTTAGAGAAACGAGATGATAGTTTTCTGCAAGGTGGCAATCTCTACTTTTTCAGAGTATAAACTTAACATAAAAAGTGTGAAGGAAGGTTATTTCAAGCGACTTAATGACAGGACGAAAACTAGCCCTAAACTTTTTTTGGCAGTTTATAAAAGAATGCGGATCGCATTACCTGGGAATCGTACATAAGCACCACATCCTTTTAGACGACACCGAAAAGGCATCGTGCCTGAATGATTACTTTTGATCTATCTTCCTACCTAAAGTTAGCAACTGTCCTCCACCACATGCAAGTCGTTCATGGAACCAGTTGAACTAAGCGCGAGAGGTATCGAGGCGCTCTTGGAAAACATTGACGACGTATACTAAAGCGTTGTGCCAGACCAATATCGCTGTATCTTTATTTAATCTACGATAAATCTCTGTCCAACCAGACGACTGGAAAATCGCCCACGTTGTCCCTATTCACAAAGGCGGTTCAAAAAAAGAAGTTTCACAAAGGCGGTTCAAAAAAAGAAGTTTCGAACTACACGCAAATATCACTAACTGCTATCTCATGTAAAATCATTGAACATATACAGAAATAATGGGGCATATAATAACCACAGCATACTAATTAATGAACAACACGGGTTTCGTAAAGGACTATCTTGCACGACACAGCTTTCAGAATTTTATCATGAACTGGCTTCTAATGTTGATAATGAAGGGCAAACTGATTGTGTTTTTCTAAATTTCCTTAAGGCATTTGACACTGTGTCGCACCCGTTCCTTCTTTGTAAACTTAAAGGGCAACTCCGCTCAATTCCGAAGATTTCAGGATAATGAGTGATTTCGAATTAAAAAGCCCTAGTAAAAGACACTAAGTCGTTTGCTTCGCGAAAAATGGGATATATATTTTTAAATTAATTTTAAACACAAGCGGAAATCGAAACTGAAACTTCGGCTCCGTCCGGCAACGTTGGCCTCGAGCCGCCAAGTACATGGCCATCACGTGGTACGAGATGTCACATGATCCTCGGCCCAACAACGGGCGGGAGGGGGGCGGGCGTGCCGCGTGCGGCAGGCGCGAGTGTCGTCTGCACCGCACTCTTCGCCACGTTTTGGTGTCTACGGCATTCGACGATGTCTGCACAACTGCGGCATAAGTCTGCGACTCTGCGCACGTGGTGTCCATAGTGTGGACGAAACTCCGAGAGGCTATAATCACAAACGGTGAGACGACGACGGTGGTTGTGACGCGGAAGACGGCGGTAACGGCGGGACCACGGCGGGCGGTTGGTCTGCTACAAGAAGCGGGCTGTGCAGGCGCGTACGCCAATCACGTGGACACCGCTGAGCACCAAGAGGCAGTGTTGCTGACGTCATGCGCTACGGTCGATCGAAGAAGTAAAAACAAGCAAAAGAGGGCCATGGTGATGACGTTTAGCTCAATGTTGGCTCCGCCCATGCCGTAGCCTTGACTGCGCTGTTGGTTGCGCCTCAATTCGCCCGCTCGAGTCAGCCGATTTCGGCAACTTGGCGAGTTGCAAAGTTTGCCGGACCGTTTAAGAAACATTTAGACAGAACTGCGTCGTAATATTTGACGTGTGGTCTTCCTAGGCGATACTGAAGAGGACTGCATTGTTTTTTTCAAAACCAAAAATGAAGCAGAGTTGCCCTTTAAGCTGTTAAACTTGGATTTTAGTGTGTTCCGATGGATTGAAAATTACTTATTTCAGCGTCGCCAATGTGTTGTCTTGAACGGAAAGAGTCTGGGGTACGTTGATGTCACGTCAGGAGCCCCACAGGGCTGTGTTCTAGGTCCACTTTTGTTTTTAATTTATGTAAACAATATTTCCATGGGAATTTTCGCGTGTATACGGTTGTTTGCCGACGACTGCGTTGCTTATAGAAAAATTAAGAATGAACAAGATGCTGCTCTTTTGCAAGGAGATCTGGAGTGTATTAATACTTGGTGCTCCACGTGGCAGATTAATTTAAATCCAAAAAAGTGTGTACACCTGTGTTTTACAAAGAAAAAGAAAAAAAAAATTGAAAGTCACTACCGGATAGAAGACAACCCAAAAAGTAACGAATCTATGTATAAGTACCTTGGTGTCACTCTATCTTCCGACTATTCTTGGAACGCTCACGTTGATGACGTGATCGTGAAAGCTTGCAGGGCACTCAATTTTATTCAGAGGAACTTGAAATGTGAAATGCTCACAACCTTATTTGAAAAAAATTAAAAACAAACGCACACTTATCTTGTGTCAGACCAATTTTAGAATATGCCTGTGCCGTCTGGGACCCTTCGCAAATTACCTTGATTGATAAATTGGAAAGAATTCAGAACAGAGCTGCTAGGTTTGTCCTGGATCAATACGAGCAAAGGGAGAGCTGCACTAAAATGAAAAGTTAATTGAATTGGGAACTACTTTCCTCCCGACGAAAAAAAGTTGAGATCGAAGTTTTTATTTTTTATATACAATAATAAAACCGGTATTAATAGAGAAATATATTTAAAACACCCACATTATGTTTCTAGGCGGACTGATCACGTTTTCAAAATCCGAGAGTACCAGGCCAGGACAAACATGTATGCGATTTCTTTTTTTCTTAAAACCATTGCAGAGTGGAATATGTTGACTGAAGTCCAAGTGTGCTCAACAAATGAAGATACTTTTTTTTTTCAAAACTGTAACCCCCCTGCAATAACGCCTCTGGGCGATGTGGGGTAATCTTTGAATAAAGAAAAAGAGGAACAACCTTTCCGATCTTCCACTCCTCTGGGATTGCGTTGCAGGTCACTGTTTGGGAAGCCCTGACTGCGAGCCGGCCAGCCGTCACCCCAGAGCTCGACGAAGATCACGCACTGCAGAGGTTGGTCTCTCTCTCTCTCTCTCTCTCTCTCTCTCTCTCTCTCTCTCTCTCTCCCTTTGCCCCTCATCCTTTTTGGAGGACATACTTTTGCACCACATTCACAACATTCTGCATACCACATGCTTGTGCTCCACGTGAGCTTGGCACATAGCCTTCAACGCAGGAGAATGTGGTTTTCCGGTTCGTAGCGGGCCAATGAGTCAGTGGAACGTTCGGGCAGCCTCTTGGCAGGATGTCTGCGGCCCATTCATTGCTTTCCTGGTGTTCTGTTCTCGAGCACTCCTGCCTACAACGTGTTCTATTTTCGAGCACTGCTGTCTACAACAGCAGCGTTTTGTGTGCCTTCCCTTTATACAACACTGCATGTATGTGTAAACGGTGTACCTTTATATAGGCCCCCGGGCTGTTTAGGGGCAACGAAAAGTACAAATAACTAAATAAATAAATAAAATATAAATAAACATTGTCTTATGGAGCGAAAGACGGTACGTCAATGTGGCATGTGACCTCGGCATGTCCCTGTTGCGTGGCGTCCGGTCAAAGTGCTCTGAACTTTTTGGCCCAGTTAATGCGACTTCATATCTTGCGTGAGAAGAATGGCGCGTGATTTTGCGTAAACTGGGATTTTACTGCTTGAATAGGATTTACTTTGCCTTCGAGAACTCGAAAAGCTGCGCGATTCGCACGGCTTGTCTGTTTTTTTGTAAGTCTAACACAGAAGGAGAAAAGATGCTTTCAAAAGGTTCCTGGAAGCTTCAATTGTCACTATAGGGAAACCCCGATTTATATTACTTTCATTGGACCGTTCAAAAACATACAATTCGTAAGTGATACAGTCGGGGAAATTATGATTATGTCTACGATATTGCAGCCCTGTGCACAACAGTAGTGCACCTAGGTATCCTCCCGAAAGAATTTATCTCGAGCCTGTAGCCTCAGCTCCGCTGTAAGTTTAAGGATAACTGGAGTTATGCTGAACTCTAAAGAAGCTAAAAACAAACAACAACAAAGTTCTTCGATTCAGATAAAACATGTGACTTGGGTATCCAATTTAAAATTTAGTTGTATAAAGACATACCGTAATATCCCGAGTCATCGCCCACCCCCCTACCGCCTGAAATTCATTAAAAAAGTGGGGTGGGCCATGTCTTGGTGGGTGAACACAAACACTTGAAATAAAGCGGAAAAAACCGCCTATTTTTCTCTGCGTATCTAGCGCTGATGCACAAGAGATACATCAAACTCAAAACTTGATTTAGTTTCATTGTTTTATCGAAACAAAAATGCTCACGAAAGAATATTTTACTATAGCGAAGTCCGTTGCTTGCATACGCGCTAGAAACACCGCCGATCTGCATATAGCGCGAACGTTTGTTCCGTGAAAGAATGTCACCACTATGTTCTCCTAGTTAGTAAAAAAAAGAAAAGTCTACAAGAAAATAGAAAAACCGACCAGGCGCAACGAGCGAGCGAGCGAGCAGACCAAAGGAGCGGCCAAGAGCAATGCTGGGAAAGCGGGAAAGCCGGCGGTCGCGTTGGCAAATATTTTCGCGTCGGGCCAAGTCGGGCGCCTTGTCAATCGCGAGCTCTTGCGCAACTTTCTTGTTTGGCGCGTACATACGTGCGTCCGTGCACGGCGGGCTATCAATGCACGGTTGGGACGCTCTGCAAACGTCTGTGTAGGGCGTTCCAGCAAAGCTTTATTTACACGTTGGCTTTGCCTAAAATATTGCACAACCGCGGTCGCGACGGGCGGGAAGAAGGAGTGGGTTCGCGGTGACCTTACTTCGGCGGAGACAGACTTTGACCTAACACTCCGCGGTTACATTAACAAACTCTTATTTTGTTATCTCCATCGTTTTCTTTTCGCAGGGATACACGACCACTTTGGGGTCGCTCACGGAGGAAATGCGTAAACAAAAAGAAGTGTCTTTTCCTCCTTCGTTTTACTTTGTCACGGATGTCCTCCAACTGTAAGGTCCGCGGCCGCGTCATTCGGGTAGGATGAGTGTTCGCGGATCGCAGAGTCCGCGCTGGGGTATTTGAAGGGGTGGGCGATGGCTCGGTGTTTTTTCGGAAATTGATATTGGCCCAAAAAATGGGGTGGGCGATGGCTCGGGGATGGGCGATGACTCGGGATATTACGGTAGTTTTCATTCTAACTTAGTTTCTAGACCAATGCGTCTATCGTAAAATACCGCGGAAGTGCCCCTTTTTGTTCAAGCCCCCGCTGTTAACATTTCCCAAACTGATGAATTCTGTAAATCATATGTTAAGCGCCGATTTGACCGGAGAAGCTTTTCAGTTTTCAGTGAAAGTGGGGTGGGCTCCTCCGGTATTTTACAGTAAGTAGAAAAAAGCAATTTCTTGTTTTTTTTAATTGAAAATAAAACTGCAGTGCACAAACAATAAAAAAGACTACTTATTTCACTGTGGAAGCAGTGCCTATGAGGGCTGGGCAATTTGATTAACCTTCCATTTAATCGATTCATGCTGTAATCGCGATCAATTTTCTTAACCGGTCAATCGGTTAAATTTCGACGAGCCAAAACAAGACAAAGAAAAAAACATTCAATACAAACGACTGGATATTCGCAGGGCCGATTTTGTAACTTCTGCTGACAGGTGAGCCGCGCGTCCCTTCAGAATAATTAGAACACAAGGGAGGAGGAGAATGCGTCGACATCTTCAGCGGGGTTGAGCCGGCGGCTACCGCAGGGCCTGGCATGGCCCTGCGGTAGCCGCCGCAGGGCCATGCTAAGTGCCATAAGAAAATTGCCAAGCTCCCTCCGATAGCTGCAGAGCACACAGTAGTCACAACTGCTTGCTGCAACGGCGGTGGATTAGTTTAAAAGTTTCAAAAGCCCGAAATAAGCCATTTTCTTTTTTTTATTCTATTCTACTTCGAAATTTAGAGAAAAGCAATTAATAGGCACCTTGTACACATCGCGACACTGTTAGCACGAACACGACATCGGCACCTTTTCGCATTTTATTCGGAAAGAGCATTAGCAGTATGAAGGACAAGGTTTAGGAGAAATTTTGATTTTATGTAAGTTGCAGGGACTTGGTCTTCAACCGGCAGGACACGAAGATTAAATATGACCTGGCCACTTCAACGGGAAAGCGAGCGTCTTTCTAGCACAGCAGTGACTATTGTGGACAAGCAAAAGAGCTTGTTCCTGCCGGAGGATACCAACAAACTTATTTGCTTCCACAAGGGGAGGAATAAGCCTCAAGTCTTCTCAAATGCACATTAAAGTTGAACCTTAATTGAAGATATATACATTGCGCGGTTTATCACGTAGTAAAATAAAGCAGCGAAGGAAAGAAGTGTAGTTTCGCCCTCTTTAAATTAAAATAATATGCCTGGAATTGAGCAAAACCGAATAATTATTCCATAAATGGTGCCGATTAATGGGGTTAAATTTTGTAATCGACGCCCAGCCCTAGTGGTTATTGCCAAAAAGGGCTATAAATATGTCAAGTTTTTAGCAGTTCAAACCGGTTTGAACCCTCATTTTTGCTTTCTGAAGCTGAAACTGGGCTGAACCAAAAGCCACGAACCCGAACCGAACTGACATAAATTTCGGTTTGACACTCTGGGTGCTGCTTTTATGTCCTTGGGGAAGCACAGTTGTGTTCGCACCTGTGGTCACCTTGCTAAGCTACACGTAGATCTGAAATTAGATGCTCCGTGGACGTGATGGATGCTCACTTGGTCCGTCTGCTCTTCTGGCGGCAGTGGCAATCGGGCTCTTCCAATTCACACTCCCAACGCTTCTCGGAATTGAATCGACAGGATGAGAGCTCATCGTCGGACGGAGAGACTTTATAAAATACCTCCGGTACAGAGTCTGAGACCACTAGAATGTTATGGAAGCGGATGTGCCGTAATGAAACCGAATGGGAAAAGGGCGACATCCTTTCAGCCTATTATTTTCACTCAACCATTCCCTCGTAATATTCGTATCTAACTCTAGAACGGGACGGACAAAAAAGTGCATCCGCAAATTTCTCTAAGAGGCTTCTGGCTGTCGTCCCTTTGTTTGGCCAAATATACGTTACCGTCGAATTTACAGAATTTCTTATTGGTCGCGCTCGTCGTTTGGCGCCGTCCACCAAAACCGTCTTTGGTTACGTTGCAGGGCCATCCAGGAGAGCATCGCGAGCTACCAGCGTTCGTGCGGCAGCGCGGAGGAGGTGGCCGGCGGGAAGGCGGCGAGGGACTACGCGCCGCCCGCGGCCAAGGCCGCCACAGGGAACGGGGGCGAGGAGGATCTGGAGGTTGCGCTGCGTCTTTCCCAGCAGGCCAAGGAGGAAGAGGACCGGCGGCGCCAGGAAGAGGAGGACACCATGGAGCGCATCCTCAGGCTCTCTATGACGGAAAAGTAGCGGGGGCCCCGCAGGAGCGTCGAAGCACAAAGAGGAAGACGAGCCCGGCGGTCGTAGACGCAACATTTTTTGGGAAATTCTCGCTCCCGGTGCTGCCGCAGCCCCCTTGCGCGCGTCTCTTCGACGGACCGGGTCGTCGAACCCCGCTGCCGCGGGCCCTGGAGCGCGTTTCCGACCGAGGCGCTTACCGTGCGTTCAAAAGTGGTCTCTCGATTTCCGCCCGACGACGTCGCGGAGATGCTGTGTTGTTGCGTGCTGCGATCTTAATGATGGCACGACAGCGGGGTGGATGCAGCAAAAGCCCGTTGCCCCGCAGGTTGCCCTGCAGCTTGACAGTCCACCAAAGCTGTGGCAGCCGATAATCGTGACATTCGACGTCGCAACGCTCCGGCTTTCGCGACGTCATTTGTTGCCGGGACCACTTTGGACGCACGAGCGAAATGGGACGCCAAACGCACCGACCGGAGATGCCTTGTGGGCACCACGCCGTCGCCTTCGTTTGCCGGGACTGCCGACCGCAGCAACGGCAACGGACGACGAGACTTAAAACTGCACGCGAAAGTGGGTTGTGGCAGCGCCGACGCCACGTTGGGTCGAGGCATTTCTTTACTCCGTCTCGAAAGTCACAAACAACTCTGAACTTTGGCCGGTCAAGTTCGAGACGCTGCACAGCCGAATTCCTCGGGGTTTCGGAGCGCTTCGTCCCTGGATCCCTTCTCGCCACGTCGGAGTTCCGACTCAACTTTCTGGAGCCACCGTTAAATCATACTTGGCAGACCTTTTTTTTTTTTTTAACGCTTGCGCGCGCCCTTCCTTTTCGAGCGACGATGATGCGGCTGTGTGTATCTTGTTGATTGCAGGTAGATGGTGGCATATCGTTACACGACCTCGGCAATCGCGTTTTTTTAGTTGTTTTTCGGCGACTTCGTGTCGCTTCTTTCTCTTTGTCTGGAAACTGCGAGCGTGCAAAGAGGCATTTCGTCCCAAAAGGGAGTGGAGGAGGCTTCGAATCCGAGCATTGTATGACTTGGGTGTTAACGAGATGCGTGCCGATTAAACTGTGCTGCTGCTTATGCGCTTTGCGCGAATGAAGTTGGTCCTTTGTAGCCCTGGCGGGTTTGTCGTGAGAGGTTAAGGGGGCTGAGGTGCTTTAACTTTTTTTGTTGTTTATTCACCCATCATCTTGAAATAGGGTTTGCTGGTATATTTTTCAGTGGCACTTTCAAATGTCCACTTAGTTTTCTTATAGCGGTACTATATCCTGAATTATCTATGAATTTGGAATTTTAATTAGGTCCTCCTTAAAGGTCTTTAGCATATAATTCTTCACAAAATAGGATTAACTTGTATGGATTTGCTATTACCAAGACAAGCTTTGTGCGGTGATGCTATTTTAAGCCTATAATTTATTTATATTGGTAAAGACATTTATGACCAAGTTGCACAAAATGGCGAGTTATATTTTTCAGACTAATGGAATGAGATTATTGTATAACAAAAAGCAAACAAGAATAGCCTCGCCGCACAAAGAATGTCTTCTTGAATGCAAATATTTAAAAAATTCTGATATATTCTGACGAATCACTACACCCAGAGCTAATTAAAATTGCAAATTTATTGATAAGTCGGAAGTACAGCACTATGAAAACTAATTGCTCATTGAAATCACCTTTGAGAAATGCATCGGTATAGTACTCAATTTCAACACAATAGATGAATAAACAAAATAAAGCTGAAAAAAGTCTGACCCCTTTTTGCTCCCTAAAGGCCGACAACCAGACTCGAGAGTCTGCAAGGCAGAATATCCTGCTCACCATGGGGGAGGAGGCAACAGGCAACGGTGGGCAGGGAAGAATCGGGGAGGGAAGGAAGCGAGGGAGAAGTGGAAAGTGCGAACTGGGGGGGGGGGTCGTCGGTCTTTAAGCAATGAGAATCTGTGTGCAACTTCTTTTTTATGGACACTGTGGTAGCAGCAGTGCGCTTTCAAACACCCATTACCAAATGACCTGGAGTGGTACCCCGTTGGATTGTTTTACCTTGTGTACCTGGAAAGGAGAGTCTCGACCCTGCAAAGTGCCCGTAGCAAGATCGTGTTGGTTTGCAGTGATGCATTTCTATATACCTAGTGCCATTGAAGACTGGCTAAATTGTGACTAGGGGAATCTGTGGGAATTTCATGCAAGAGTTGAGAGATGTTAAAAATTTAGGTGCTGGCATAGTTCAGCTAATGCGAGAAGCATATAGTAACAAATTATTGTACCTAGGCTCGAGGCCACCGTTGTGTAAGCCTTCAAAATTGGACAGATTCAGACAGATGCTGTTTACACAACCGCCATGTTGGTGGATGAAACCAGACTCCATTACTGCATGTCAACTCTGCAAGTACCATCAACCCTGCTAACCCTGCTATATGATAGCGAATTTAATGATGTACTGCTCTATGCTTGCACTTATACTGCGAAGTCTAAGTCTCTTTTCTACTCTCGTCCTTGACGTGAACATGACGACATTCAATTCTAATCGCCTGATCATTGTTGTGCAGAAGTTGCCTTTTCTCATCTGTCTGTATATGTGACAAAGCTTGCCGCAAAGGTTGGACCAAAGTAACTTGTAACAGCCCCTTTGTCAAGATGCTGCGATTCTATTATCCACGTTTTTCTATTAATCCTGTCGGGCAGTGCAGAGCAATATTGTGACTAAGTGGAGAATGAATCACTACTTCAGCTACCCTGCTTGCTTGGTTTCTTGGTTGTGGTCATCTGCCTTTTGTTTCTGAACAGTGCACTTGACAGGAACGTCTGTTGCGACAATGCCCAGTGCACTTCCAGGGACAGGGGGTCACCTTGAGAACCTGGCAGTAACATTGCCAGTTTCGTTGTTTGCAAGAGTTGGTTAATCTATTCCAGCCATAACTGCATTTGGTCACCAACCATTGAGATGAATGCTGTGGCAATTCCTAAGCAGATGTGATGACTCGGTCAACTTGGATCAAGGAATTGTAGCACTGTTTTGGTTCTTATACAATAGCATGGTTGTGGTAGTAAAAAAAAAAAAACAGTTTGTGAGTCTCCTGTGAGGAGATGCCCCGAACTGACGGGATGAAAACAGACTACGGCTTTTGTACATCTTTGACTATGTTTCACTGGAGCAGTGGCCTAGTCGATCTATGCTCGTTTTAGTTGGATTAAAACAGCAATTATATACTTTCACCTTCCATGCATATGCTTTGGATAAGTAGAAGGGCACAGGTGTACGCTTTTCAGGGTATCTGATTCATGTCTGGAGAGTTTGGTTCTCAATTTGTTGTTAGTTTTTTGTTGAGAGTATTTATATAATATTTATTAGCATGCTCGGTACCCTTCGCACAACTCTTCTAGGATTCTTTTCTTGACCCTGTGTGCATTGTCCACCTTTTGTCGTGAGCAGGTATGACTCTATGATGTAAATGCAGAGGAAGTGTTGCCAAGTGTATCGACCTGTCCGAGTCAATCCCGTACAGCCGTAAGAAATGAATGGCACAGGCTTTGTTTGGTTTTGTTGGTCATTGGCCGATGCTGTCAGGCCAAATTTATATCCGCTTTATATCTTCCTGCATATATTGTACAAATACAAATAAATGCAGATTCCGACCACACTCCCTGCGTGTATGTTTATTTGGCTGATGTGATTGGCCTCGAATGCCTCGGTGAATAATGTGGATGTGATTTCCTGCCCGTTGCAGTATACAGCAGGCAAAGGTTGGACATCCACACATTACTTCGATTGACCACAGGAAAGGCTAGAAATTGAAAGCAGTGGCCTTGGAAGCTTTGCACGAGACTACTCAGAACCAGCGTTTTCAAAGTAGTCGCCTGAACAAAGGGGCATTTTTCACTGTGCTGTGCATTTCATGGCATACTAGGTTTTGTTGTTGTTGATTTTTAATTTGAAATAAGCCAGTAGATAGAACAAGAATGTCTTGGGCAGTAACACACTACTATATCCTTGTTACTTTTCTGGTAGTTTACATGTAACGTGTTACTTTCTAAAAAAAAGGAAGCTTGTTTTCGACTCGCTGTTGGCTTACATCAGAACGGCTGGCTGGCCTCGTATAGTTCTTCCTCCTCTTCCCCTCCGCCCCCTCCCCTTCCCCTTTGCGGCAAGGCATGCAACTGGCCGCATCGTACCCTCCTATACCTAAATAAAACGTTTTAAACAACTACTTCCTAAAAATCAAATTTTATGTGGAGCGCAAGTTCGTCTGCTTCTTGCACGGCGGTTGCGGTGACGTCGGACTGCCGAACTCCGATTGGCTCCGGTTGGAAAAATGGTGGGTAGACCGCAATGCTAGCTGCCTCAAGCTCTACCCCCTGTCCATCCAATCTGAGCCCGGGGTCCTGACGTCACCGCAACCTCCGTGCAAATAGCCGATGAACTTGTGCTCTACATTACTTTTTTTGAAATGATGAAAGTAGCAACATATCACTTTTCAGTTTCTTGAGGATTAACATATCATTGAACAAGTACAATTCTAGCCGTCTCTTGTACTTTCTAAATGATGTTTTTAACATTTTGAGTGCCGTGTTTTGCCTTGATCCAACTTGTGCTTTGTGCAATAAACTGGGAAAGGCGGGGGGGAGGGGTTGGCGTTGTGGATGCCATGTCAACTGCCACCAGTTATAGACCATTCCATTTAGTGCTCTCTGGGCGGCACCATTTTGTTCGACCGCAGCGCCCTCTCCACACATCCGGGAAGTTCAGCGGGGTAAAACGAGAGAGAGGGCACGCGCCCGACTCCGCTAGCAGACGACAAACCGGGAGGTTGCCGTTCTCCATCTTTGGGCTGTATCGGTGGGCTCTACCGAACATCGAACTCTCGCTCGTGGCTGCCGTTGTGAAGTGGTTCGCGTTCTTAGAATAGTTGTGGCTACTCCAAAATCAGCCTATAGCTCTCTGTTGTTCTATTTTGCTAAATGATCAACTAGCATATCTTTTTTCTGTTACTTAAAGGGATACTTCAACGAAATTTGAAATATTCCCGTCGTGTTCAAAAATAGGTTGAATATGATCCACAATATCCGTAAATGACAATCGCACTTTGTATTTTGAGCGTGGTGGCTGTATTTTTCGTTATAAACGGCCCACTCTGGCAAGCGCTCAGAGAAGGCCCAGCGGAGACCACCTGACATCCAACGCAATCGTGACGTAGGTCGTCTCAGGACGAGCAAAGCTACGGCAAGGCTGACTTCGAGAAGACGGCCTAGTCGTTCCAGCCACCGAAGCGGCTGCTTTTGTACGAATTTTGAGTGACGGGATAATCTTCTGTAATCTTGTAGGGGGACAATAGCGACTTCTGCGACACACAAAAGGCATTCTCGGGAAGAGGGGAGTTCCTCCTGCCCCTCTTCTCTCGTCGTGGCCGGAGGCGAGACAACCTCCGTCACTAGCTGTCAAGGTTCCTAGACGGGCTTTGCAAGTGAGGCGTTAGCGACATCCACCAGGTGCTCTTTGCTAATGGTTTAATTCGTTTTAAAATTCCTTTTCATGACTTTTTTAACAAGATATTGGTATGTTCGATGTGATGCTGCTTTTTTGAACACATATAGACCAAAAAATGAGCGCCGAAATTTCATTGTAGTATCCCTTTAAATAGCAGTTGAGTCAGCCGGCAGTACTACCCTCAACTACTGCTTGTATTGCGGCAGGAGAGCATGTTTCATTTATTATTTCAGACTTCCACTCATGGTCGCTAAAGGCCTACACCATTACAAACTTTTGTATAGTAAAAAAGGTACAGCAACCGGTTTTTCTTTTCGCCAAAGAGACCGGCCAATCTGACAGTTTTCCCTATTTTTGTTTTTTATTTGCACGCAGGTAACAGCGCAATTGGACCCTGTGAGTCTTTTTATCTAGCATAGTATTACACGATAACTGGCATACCAAAATCCGCGCATCTGCGCTTGAAAGTTCCAAAATGACGCGATTTTAAACAGAGTTTGCACGCCAGCCGGACGCTAGCTACAGCCCACTCGGCGGAGCGGACGACACGCGGGGTGAGAGGGGGAGTGCATTTTTTTCTCTTTTACCCTCTCTGCTATGACCCTAATGGAGTGCGTTGAAAGTTTCTAAAACGATCCAACATTATGTGCAGCAACTGGATACTGCCAAATTGGGATTTTGCATAATGCGAGTAACGTTAGATTTGGCGGGAAATTTTGCGAAAATTTCCCGCCAAATGGGAGGAGAGGGGGAGGGTATGGAAGCTTAGGAGGGGCATATCCTTCCCTCCATACCCTCCCCCCCCCCCTCCTCCTCAAGAGCTGCGTTCTACACTCTGCGACAACTTTTCTTGGCATTTCCGGGGAGAGGAGAGCCCGCGCGGCACAGCTTTATTCAGCGCTAAAAATGGGAGAGGGAACGCGTGCCTGTACCTTTCCACTGCATTGCCAAGAAAAATACAAATTTGTAAATGTGTTTTATTTATTTTTTATTTTTAATTTTGTATTTGCCCGATCCCCCAAAGGTCAGCCTGGTGGCTCCTTTCCCCGGCCCAGTAATAATTACAGGGATGTAAAAAAAAAAAAAAAAATTGGATGTCAAAAAAAAATTTTTTTAGGCTAGGTGGCGCATGCTACCGCTCATTAAAAAGGGCATAGCCATTATCATCCATCCATCCATCCATCTTTCCGGCGGCGGCAAACGCGAATGATCGACGTGATCGACAGGGCGGGCTTGGAGCCGCTTGTTCCTCGTTTTTGCGATCTTTCTTACCCACGCCTAACCAGTTCACCTGTCATGCGTTAGGCACGCGGGAGTTCACCGAACTATGAGTTTCTCGCGCGTATTCAAAAGTTACTATTTGCACAGCAAGTTTTCGCCAGATGGACGATTCTTGGTAAGTGCGCCCGCGGACCCTAGCCCCTAGCCGCTACAACGAGCGCGCTGTCGATCTGAGTGCGTTCTTTTTTTCAGGCAGTGCCTTACGCCTCTAAAGTTATCGTCTACAACCCGAGCCCGTTTCAAGAGGTAACGGCGTTTTCCAATGCCGAGAACGTTGACCGCGTCGAGGTAAGAACGAAGTACACGTCCGCCCCAGCCGATTCAGACGACGGACTGATCCGCGGACGGATTGATCACGTGACGACATGTCCGCGGTTCGTCCGTCTTCCAGGCTCATCCAGGTCCAGATCACTACATATCACATTAGCGAATAATGGGGGCTCGTGTCAAGCCCCCCCCCCCCCCCTTCCCCCCCCCCCCCCCCCCCCCCACCCACCCCTAAACCCCGCTTCACGGCGGCCGACTATTCGCTAAAGCTGGCTAAAGTGTCATTCGATGAAAAGTCGGCGTTTGCTAAAACGCCATTCGATCAAGCGAGTGCCTTCCGGCTCATCCACACGAGGGAGACGACGAGCAGACGCCAGCGCGGACGAACCTAACTTGTTCGCCTCCCTACAGTGATGCGAAACTCGAACATCGCACTGTGGCACCGTTCTCCAAGAGAGAAATCGACGTTTGCTACTGCGATGAAGAATCGTACGCCCTGCGTACAGAGCAAGAGAGAACACCGTGATAGGCTTTGCGTGAAGCGCCACTAGCTTGGCACGACATTCTGACAGTGACACAGGCATGGTCCTGCTCAAGAAGGCTTCGGCGTTGAAGCGACAATGTTCCAGGCTCGCGGAGGGGCGTTTGGAGATACCTTCACGCACTCTGTGCTCGCTCACAACAGTGAAGTACACCACAGCCACAAGAAAGGTCTTGCTCAGTGAAAGACTGATTGGATGTACAAGGAATTAGTGCAGTGTGCTAGACGAGATTTTGATGGAAGCTTCTTGACATAGACCCGGAGGAGTACCGGAACCTGCGTCGCGTCAGCTGGGCAAAGTTTCTGCAGTTTCTTTCCCGCGTGGAACCAAGAATCGCGAGACAAAATGAACCAATGAATGCACAAAACACAATGATGCACCATTTTTGTTTTAATCGCCCCACCCAAAAAAGGCAACATTTTACTATTGCCAGACTGAACGCTTTTCAAGTCATTCTCCCGCCAAAATTCCGCAAGTGAAAAGGCGCTCAACTTTATCAGTCCTCGTGGCCGCGGACGAGGCGCGGCGGTCACGTGATACACGGTCCGCGGACGAAAATTGCAATTCGATCTGTCGTGTGAATCGGTTATTCAACGCGTGACCTTCAAGAAGATTGTGGTCCAACGTTCAGAACAGGCCGTCGAGCCCATTCGTCGAATAGTCCAATTCATCGTAGAGAAACTCGTCGAAGGAAAACTCGTTGCAGAGGCTAACTGGTTGCCACTTTTTTAATGCCAAAATATGTAATATTTTTTTACAGAATTTTTAAGAGCAAAGCTATACACATGACGTCGTGCGACTCGACCGGAAATGGCTGTACGCACGACGCGGAGAGCTCATTCCGTTTGGGTCACCCTTTTCGGACGGCCTGTGTATCAGTGGGAAGCGTGTTAACCCACCCCCCCCACCTGCGATCATGCCGCTTTGCAGCGACAGGCTTTGGCTGCTCATTACAAAACTATTCACCCACTTAACGCCCTCCAAACATGTTGCTTTGCGGCGTCCAGCCGACAGCCCAAACCCTGCTATTCCCTAAAAAGAAAGTGCCTACACTCTGAATTGAATCTGGGTCTGCTGCGTATGAAGCTGACACCTTCCCACTAAGCTACGTTACAGCTCGAGAAGCTCGTTTTGACAATCCGTTTTATACGAGACCCAAAACGTTTCGCGTCGTGCGTATAGCCATTTCCTGTCGACGTGCATAACATCGTTCGTATAGCTTTACTTGTATTTTAAAGCAAATACTGCGCTATATAGTTATCCGTAAAAATCACCGCATGAATTGACCTCCAGTGTGCTTTTTCTTGTCAAAGATAACAACTTCACTACGTCGTGCGTATCACCGGGGCGCGTGTTAACCCACCTGGCCCACCCGTTCACGCCGCTTCACAGCGAGTCTGCAGCGGCTCATTACAAAAAGTAAGAAAGAAAATGAACAAAAGGACAATCCTGAGACAACGCATTTTTTAACTTGTCTCAACGTTCTTTCTTGTCTTTGCCCTCCTGTGATTTTTTTTTCTTTGTTTTGTAATTTAACAAGGGCGCTGTGCTTAGTCCAGACACAGATAAAAATTTAAGTAAAAAAGGTGAGAAACCACGAAACTTTACCTCGAACCGTCATTCGACTTGTTTGTTGAATTGCCCTTCAACAGATTGCCCCTTGCGACTAGTTGCCCTTCGACGAATAGACCATTTACGTGTTGGTCATTGACCAGTCGGCTTTCGACGAGTTGGCCGGATCCCGCCATCAAGAGGGTCGATTGTCCTTTACCAAAAGTTTGCTTTTTCAGTGGTCCCCAGATTCCATCTTGCTGATGTGCGTGTCGTTGAAACGCAAGTTCCTTCAGGTAGGTTCAGTGTGGTACCTCATCCCTCTAAAGAAAACAGGGACTGAATTTATTCATGAAAACAAGACAAATCCAGCAGTTAGTATGAAGTCTGCCAAAATTCCAGCATATTGACTGCAATGATGATCTCGGCAGTCGATTGGTCTGAGCATTAGAAAGCTCCGGTTCGTTTACTGTTTTTGTTTATATATCCCGCAGATGATCTTACTTTTTAAATAAATTTATATTGTGGTGGTCATATAACTGGTTCTAATTCTCCTATAATTTTATTATATTGCTATGACGTGCACCCATTTATTTATTGGTAATACATGGCTTGCATTGATGTCATATTAGCCGCCATTGCACCGCACCATGCTCCTGCACCTGTACCTTCTGCAACATACGTTTGGCACCATCGAATTGGTTCTTGGCAAAGCTTGCCGAGAAGAGCAAATTTGATGGTGCCAAATGTATGCTACGGGCACAGGAGCACGAGACGGAGAAACGGCGGCTGGTACGATGCCATGACATCACGTGCGAGGCATGTATTGACTGCCCTGCCCTAACGACTGGCAGGTTTGGTCACTGGAAGATCCGCAGTGGAAATGCAAGATCTCCGAAGGGCCTTTTGGGATTACCGGAGCCTACTGGAGCCCAGACAGTCGCCACATTTTGACGGTTGCAGACTTCCAGGTGAAAATGCCGCCTCAGTCTAGGAAATTTGGGCCGTCCTGCATTCTTACGTTGGAACCATTTTACCCTTCCAGATTCGCATAACTATATGGTCTCTCATTGACAAATCGGTGCATTACCTGGAGCATGCCAAACTACCTTTACCCTGCCTTTCGTTTAGTTCGTATGGCAGACTGCTTGCTGTTGCCGAGCGAAGAGACTCGAAAGACTATGTCAGCATCGTCACCTGCGACACATGGAGCCTCGCAACGGTACGTGTGCCCTCTATACGTAAGGACCGGTCAAAGCTGGTGTCAAGAATGAGTACTTCACTTATGGTGACCACCATTGCCCCTCCTAGCTTCAGTTCGAACAATGCAGTGTCTGCAACAGATCACAACCAACCACGAGGGACATCAGGATCTAAGGATTAACTCCCGTAAACAGATTAAGACAAATTAAAAATGAAAGCTGGCTTTCTTTGAAGGAAACTCGAGGCATAGTTAGAGAAGATTCGCTATAACCCTTTGGGGTCCAACACAGATGATGTCTTGGTTTACAAGCGGACTACCATCTTGTACATATGGTTTTGCTCCAGCACCTCAAAGTCACAATCTAGTTCTATGCGGAGCGCAAATGCACCTGCTTCTTGCACAGGGTCACGATGATATCAGAACGCCGAGCTCTTACTGGCCGATTGAAAAAAGTAGTGGGTAGACCTCAAAGCATCTAGCATTGAGGTCTACCCACTATCCTCTCAATCAAAGCCAATCAGAGCTCAATGTTGTTCTGACGTAGCCGCAACTCCTGCGCAAGAAACAGACGACTTGCTCTCCGCATTCTACATTTGTAACTGGGACTTTCTCTCAGGTTCATTTTTTTTTTCCTGGTTCTGGGAACAAAATGAACGCTTTGCCAGGAAACTCTACTTCTCCGACTTAATTTCAATATAATATATTCTCTTTCACTGTCTCAGTAATATTAGGCTCGTTCAATTTACCTACACCTCCTGCACCAGCAACATTTGGTGCACACCGCTTTATTCGATTTACGAGAGCAGCGTACCTTATAACAAATACCGGAAGCCCATTGCCCTGCATTGTTCTGCACAAGCGTAGCAAGTGAATTGAATGAGCCCACTATCTGATTGACTTCTACACTGTTTGCTTACATTAGCTTTCATAGCTGCCTAACTAATGCACTAAGAGAAAAGCTATCTTTCTTTCAGAATTTTGTTGTCGGCACGGAGGACTTGGCTGGGGTTTCGTGGGCTCCCAATGCTGACATTTTCTGCGTTTGGGAGAATCCAACTGTCGCTGTAGGTCTTCCGCAAATCACTCGCTAGTAGAGTTGACCGCAGATTGAGATTAAACATTGTGCGTTAATGCCCGTGTGACTTTTGCAAATTTCAGTTCCGACTGCTGCTGTATAGCAGCGAAGGCCTCAAGCTCGCCTCTTACAGTCTCGAAGACGAACTGGTCGGCATCAAGTCATTTTCTTGGTCCAGCTGTGGACAGATTGTGTTGTTGGAAGACCACAACGACAAGGTCACTCGAGAGTTTTTATCTTGGTTCTACTTTTCTCGTGCCACCGACTGAAATAACCTTTCTGATCTTATTAATGCGGAATTACATTGTTGTGGTAGCCAACTCAGATTTTGTGTTAGTCTGTGGTGCGTGTGACATGTTACGTGACCCACAATGCGAAGTCGTGGTGTCACGCAATATACCGGCATCATCAACGTCATTGTGTCTAAATATTGGCTGTCAAATCGCAGTGCAATGTAACCACGTCATGCGGCACGAGGCATGCGTCACATTGCCACACGATATTGTGCCACGTCGCACGACCATGTCACGTGGCATTGTGCTACATTGCGCCGTGTGACGCGACGTCGTGCGATCCGACAATAATAAAAGTAATGAAAACTTGCCGTTTCTCGTACATTCGTTTTTACGTACAAAGATTTGGTCGATAGATGGAAATGCTGTTGCCACTTTTTTGACAGTTGATACTTCTGGAGACGGTCACATGGAGTCAAATATGGGAACACAGCTTGCCCGACGTCATGGCAGACGACTCTGTTGTAAGGTCACCCGTTGCATTTGTTTGGTATGGCCTGCACGAAATCACTTTATCGAGCTTTATTTTATTTTATCCAGGCGGTTCACCGAGAGATAAAACAAAAACAGAAACTGGATCAGAGGCCAAGCAGTATGAAGGCCCAATGTGAGTAATGACGTGGAATTTCCTTCTTTTGGTGACTCTGGGCGTTTTAGAGCGCAGCTCTTAAGCGCTTGTCTCCGCGTATAGCGTCGTCGTCGTCACCGTCGGCGTAACTCCGCTAAATATAGCGGTAAAACTGATGTCGCATGACCTTAGGAGGAGGGGGGGGGGGTGTAACATGACTTTGGGGGGGGGTGACCTCAGGGGGGGTCACATGACCTCACGGTTACGGCAACGCCGCTCAAGCTGGAAACGGGCGACTAAGAGCTGCTCTCTAAAGCTTAATTTGTTCATGGGTGACGCGACACGAAGTCATGCGACGTCATTTTCCCCGCTATATTTAACAGGGAAACTGAATTGGTGTGTCAGTCACGTGGCATGAATTTTCCAGCTAAATTTAGCGGGACAAGTGTGGGAAAGGAGAGGGTATGGAGGAGGATGAGGGTACTCAGGACGAGGAAGAGAGGGTCCTCCCCTCCTCCTCCTGCATATCCTCCCATCACAATATATCTCAAAATCAATATATTTATTTATTTATTTATTCAAGTACCTTAAACGCCCATTGCTTGGCGTTACAAGAGCTGCACTCTAATTTCGCATTACAGATTTGTAAATGTCTCAATTTTTTAATGTGACTTTTTAAAACTCGCATTTAATTTGGCATGCTCCTTTCAGACAAGTTGCTGTCGGAGTTGCCAGTGCGTCTGTCAAAGCTCACCGACCAGACTAGTACCGGAAGTCTGCAAATAATGAGCAGACCAACTTTTGCCAAAATCAGCTCCAGCGGCGCCTACATTGCACGCACAAGTGGCAAGTCTCGATTTTATTGGTTTTATTTTGTGCTGCATACTCCACAGAAGGCATATTACATTGTAGGTACTGTAAGGTAATTGTGAAGTACTATGTACGAGATAAAGTAGTTCGTACAACAATTTACCTACCATGCTCCTGCCTAGCCTCTGAACTTGTCTCATGGTTGTGGGAGCAATCTTTTTAGCAGGCGAGATGTTTGTTATATATGTAGCAGTCTTGCCAGTCATTCGTAAAATACATTATTTGTTCGGAATACTCAATCTTAAATGTGCAGAATTCGTAAGCTTCACACTTGCCAAATCTAATGTCCACAGCCCACCACGAACCAAAAATTCAGACTATCATCAGTGACAGGCTAAAAGCTCAAGGTCAAACAACGAGCCAGCAGCCGCTGGTGTGCGCAAGCACACGCAACAAAATTAATGTCATATTCCTCCGTTCACGCTTAAGATGTCAGGGAAATGTATGGGCTCCGGGGAAGAGGAGAATAAAGACAGGCTTTTCATCTCCATAGTGGGGTCTGGTGTAAGAGGTAGGCAATTAACTGGTCTAACAAGCACATAGCTTTCACTTGTGGAGATGAAAAGCCTGTCTTTGTTCTCCTTTGGCCCAGAGCCCATACATTTCACTGTCATCTTAAGCATAATAGAGGACTATGACGTCAATTTCGTTGCGCGAGCTCGCGCACACCGGCGGCTGCTGGCTTGTGGAAGAAAGATTGTGCGCCACTTGTTATGGACAGTGAAATGTTTGGTTCGGTATCCCTTTAACCTGTCACTGACTAAAGTACTCCAAAATTTAAAAACATATGTGAAACATACTTTCTTGCGCTGTTTTGCTAATTTTTGTCTCACTTTTGTGGGCCTTTTTTTTGTTTTTTAACAGCAACTTTTCCGAGCGTTGTTTATGTTCTCGACGTCAAGAACTTGGCACTTGTTGCAGTCTTGATCCACTCCAATGCAGTCAGCTGTAAGTATGTGTTCACCACATCAACACTCCTTGCACCTGTGGTAGATGCGTTCTTGGTTATGTGGACTCGCGTCTTACTCCATCTCTATAACATCTGTGTGCAGGGATCTCGTGGGACCATCTGTCGGACAGCCTCGCGATTTGCACCGGGTCCAAACACCTCCACTTATGGTCCCCTTCGAGCTGCACTATATTGGACGTTCCCTTCAAAGGCACGTCTTCCCCAATTTCTCGTCCTCAACAATTGACGCCAGCGGGAAGTTCACAAATCCTGGCATTGGGGTTTTATTGGGGACTGGTTGGCATAAGCATTTTAGGGTCTATTCTGAACTATTGCTTTGAACTCTCTTCGGTTTTGGTTTTGTGTCCGTCTGTTCCACAGCGCGTTTAAATTTTCTTTACGTGTGTTGTTATGCCGCTGTAGTTGAAAGGGTGGCATGGCCTCGTCAGGTATTTATTACCTTTCACCACGTCTTTTAAGACAATGTGTCGTCTGGAATAAATTGTCTCGTACATACGTATCATGAAACTGGTAAGCCAGAGGTGTACAATCTTTCCATGAGCCTGGTGGTATAACTTTCCATTTAATTTGTAGTAAATACCTAAATTTGTTTGCTGTAAATTATTTTTTGTTTTCCAGAAGCGTAGAAAAATGTATGGCAAATTACTAGGCAATTGTTTTGCATACGTGAACTGTTCTAGTAACACAAAACGTTTATATCACTGTTTAGCAGCACGTCTAGCCTGTTCAGCCAGACGGCTACGTTCACAGCACTCTTCTTCGGATAATTTAAAGTCTGGCATGTGTGCACTTACAATGATAAACCTCGCCTACCTTTCCTCCTCACTCCACCCCAGTGTTGCCGAATCGTGGGAAATTTCTTACATTGTGGGAAAAAGCATGACAGCTAGGAAAAAAGGGAAACCAGAATTTAAACACATGTAAAACGTGGGAAATATTTTTGAATAAAGAAACTAACCCGAAATTTCGTAATTTCCTTATCTACATCGAACTAGAGAAAGGGAGTGGCACTAGCTACTCAGACAGTTTGCTGTCTTGAAGAGCCAATCTAATTCATCACGACTTACATCATGTAAGTGCTGCAAGCCTGCCGGTACAGTACTGCCGCTTCGCGCGCTTTCCTTGCCGCTAGCTACGCACACACGTCCTCTGTCAGTGCGATACATCATGGATCGCACAGCGGGTGTGGTTCCTTTCACATCACAAAAGCGAGCAGGCGATTTCAGTTTAGTTTAGTTAATAGCCCTCTTGCCTTCATTTAGTTCCCCGGGTTCATTCAACCAATGTATACTGCGGAAAAGAAGGGGGGGGGGGGGGGGGGGGGACCAGTTTGCCGAATGTCAACATCTACATTTCGTAATTTATGCGATGCAAACTTCTACAAAACAAAAACATAGCGAGGCGTTGCTGCATTTAAATATACTTGGCGTCATGCGTGTCCTAAAAACGACTTCTGTCACCAAAATGGTGTTGTGGGAAAAGAAAAGGGAATTTTCGCCGCTCGGCGAGGGAAAAACCGAAGTGGCAGCGCGGCAACACTGCTCCACCCCCGGTCCCACAACCTCCCCGTCAACCAATCAGTGTCCAGCCTCGCAGCCACGCTTTTATCCAGGCATCTTGAGGTAAACTCAAAACTGCGCAACTGGACAACAATGAAGAACAAGAACAGACGGGACTCAGCGCCGAGTCCCGTCTGTTCTTGTTCTTCGTCCTTGTTCAGTTGCACTGTTTTTACCTCAAGATGTCAGATCACTAACTAGCCCAAACAAACCTTTAGCCAATCTTATCCAGCTTCACAAAATGCCGAACACCTAACCAAAGAATGTTTCTTGTTAAAAGGCAGGAAAGTTTGAAATTTAACCTGATTACGTGACCTGGCTTCATAGTGACTCGAAACACTACCGTAATACTTACTTAAAGAGAGAGAGCAGAAAGTGCCTTGCAATTCCCACAGTTCAAATCTTGAATTTTAAGAAGAAACTAGATTTGTGCGAAAAGAAAGATGATTTTCATCTTACAGTGGAACGCAAAAATACTTCCCTTCTTCATTTACCTACTTTCTTCATGTTGAATTGCCAAAAACTGTTTGGTTCTAATTTATGGTCATTTCCTTTTTGTGTAGGTATGTGCCAAGAACCTCTCAAAATTAGTGGCATTTTGCTGAAGAAAAAAAGAAGAATCCACGCACTAAAAGTGATAGATGCATGTATGCCTGTAGCACCACAGTAAATTGACTAAAGCTCCATTGCGGTCTTCGACATAATAATTCCCACTTTATGCCAGTTTTTTTTATGTCGAAACAACAGTTAGCTCTTTGATAACTTGAGATTAATGAAGAGTAAGAGCGCAGAACCCCAGTGCATGTCACCCTTGTTTTCCGCGCCCTTTAGCCAGTTACTTGATGATCCATCTCCAAGTCCTCCGTGGTAGATTCGTATGATACAATTTGCACCTTTTCCTCCAGCTTTACTCGCACATTTTTCTTCGTTAGGATCATTTCCAGTCAAGTCGTGTCAGTGGAACCCACAGAAGAGCTGCCTCGTGATCCATAGCGAGGAAATGGCGGTGCTGTGCACTCCAGTTTGAAGAAAGCTGTCCACCTAGCATCATCCATTCACTGTTGTGCGAGTCTGCATTTGTATTAAAGTATTTGACCCATACCCATAGCATGCCATTAAAAACATGGTCTCACCAAACCCTGCATGGTCGAGTGCCACTGCATAAAAGTTTTGACTACATTCTTTGCGTGGTAGAGCCGGAGAAGTATGGTATGGCTGGCGACAGGTGAAGAATGTGGCAGACGCCCCACCTCGAGTGCGAGCTTTCTGCCTCTGACACTAAAGCGTACACACATGCAAAGCCGAGAGGAAGTCAGCACCCACATGCTGGAGGGAAAGCTTCTACTGCATTCTTAACCAATGCTTAAATGTTTGTCTTTGACCAATGTCACTCATACCCAATATACTTTTGTATGTTTTATGTCTGTAATCGAGTGAGTGCCTGTTTTGTGAGACGTTTATGCAATAGGAAGTTGTAGATGGAAAACGAACTAGCCCAAGCTGCAGTGTTCACGAACAATATATTTGCCTCATACCTAATTTAGTGGAAAAGAACAAATTGATTTGTGCATTAATCTTACCTGCCCATTCTCTAGTGCAATTTTAACAGGTGGAGGTGTGCTAAAGAAAGGTTATGACAGGTAATGGACCTCTTGGCGAATATGTGCTGCCACCTAGACACGCGACTGGGTTCGAGGCTAATTGGCCAGAAAACAACGCGCGCGCAAGGCCTCTCCCGCCCGTTCCACACCGAAAACGTCGGCTACATCCTGTTCACCCATTGAGGCACTGTGACCTAGATACGGCTCCCTCGAACTCGCCTTTGTCCCCATCGTGCGTAATCTTTCGCCCCGAAGTCGAGACAACGAAACCATCTTCCCTCTCTGCTTGGCCAGAAGGAAGAGAGAGGGGGTACTTGAACCATTTACTCTCAAACCGATGTTTCTACAAAAGGTCCATTAACAGGCTATTAGCTTGATGTACCCTGAAGACTGGTTCAGACACTTGAGCGAGTGCCCTCCCATCCTATGCAACTTTCTATCACAATGCACTTGAAATGATCCTGACAATGTTATAAGTAGGCTGTATACTTTCCGGTTTTAACCGAAAAATATTTGCCGGTTTCGAAAATACAAAATCGGGTTAACCGGAAAAACACTGTTTTTTTATGTTTTCGAACAAGCACTGTTTTTTTCACCGAAAAAGTCCTGTATATTTCCCAGTTTTAACTGAAAAACACTAATAAACATCCGCCGGTGACGCCAATAAAAATTGTTCAAAACAAAAAAAACACAGATTTCTAAATATTTTTTTTTCCAGCCATGTTTTTTTGTTTTTTTTTTTTTCCACTGAAAAAGTTCTACACAAACGTTATCTTACCCGGAATCACGCACTTTCCTTGCCTTTCTTGTGACCTACGTTGTCTTGGACTCTTGGAGGACAGTAGCTTTGTCCCCCTGTTCTCCACGGTCAGGGGTCCTCCAGGGCCGCCGAGCTCGAAGATCCCTATCAGTGGCCCGAGAGGCCAGTCACAGCTGGCCAGTACTGTCCCAAGCCTCACGTTTTTGGGGCTTCCATGTCCAGCGCAAATTTTGAGCGAGCATTCTCGAAATTGCGCGTAGTCAACAGGAAGGAACAAGCGTCGGTGGCAGCCTAGGAATGTGTGCATGCATATAGTACATTATTCAGGTGTGAAAGAGATTGCATAAAAGATGAAAATAAATTTTGGACTGTTTTTCATCTTCAGTGATAGTTTACATTCGCAATCCCCCCCCCCTACTCACCGTTTTTAGCGTCTGGACAAGAGAATTCACCAAAAAGCACCGACATTGGTGAAATAAATAAACATCCGCCGATTTTTGCCATAAATAAACACCGGAAAGTATACACCCTAGTTATAAGTAGGGTTCCGTGTTTCCGGAGTTTATTTTTCTTAAACTCTGAGGGTGTTTTTCGGAATTCCTTTTTGCTAAATTATGTATTCTCTAAAATTCTGACTAATTTTTTGCTGTGCTCCCCATTTCACAAAATTCAAAGTATAAATAAATAATATCTGTGACAAAAACATGCAATAAAAGAAAAAGAAAGCCGTTTACAACTCCCTGTAATGCCGGATTAGAGCGCAGCTCTTGAGGAGGAGGAGGGGAAGGGTACTGAGGGGAAGGTATAAACCTTTTTCACAAGGGTGCCGCCATCTTGAAATATTGTCACTTCCAGTATGCGCGAAAACATTGTTTTGCCATCTCCACGCCATTAGAATGCATTTAGGAGATAAGCGTAACCGTCACCCATTCTCGTTTTGTCTCCCCTCTATTTTTTTACAATTTGCAGGTTGAAATGTTTTAATATTTTTCGTCGCCCATACCGGACATGCCTACTTGGCGGTCGGGGGCAAGAGTAAGCGGAAAAGGTATATATCCTTCCTCCCTCCTCCTCACCCCCTCACCCTGTGCGGCATTGCCGCCCCCTCACGATGGTCCTGTGACCTCAAGGGGGCCACGTGACCCCTATGAGGTCAGATGATGACGTCATGAGTGACGTCAGTGACGATGCCGATCACGTCATCAGTGACGCATGACGATGCGGATGCCGATGACGTCATCAGGGACGACGCGGATGCCGATGACGTCATCAGTGACGTCACGCATTCCATAATGCACCGCGCGGTTATGCCGACGCCGACCAAGCCGGAAACGGGCGCCTAAGAGCTGCGCTCCAAAATGCCTGTACCGAACGATAATACCTCAGCTGGAATTGTCAATGATGCCCTAGCTACTGATATGAACTGCCCCTCGACAAAACATACAAGCGAGTGTCACTTGAATAAACGTCAATATTTTGAAGCCACTAAAGCCTGAAGCCCTGAAAATAATTGCTGGCAAGTAGAAAAACCTCCGCTGTGCCCCCCCCCCCCCCCCCCTTTTACCTCATATGAAATGCACAGGTTCATAGCTTTTGCACACGTTCAAACTGAAAGAGTAGTTTGTCATGACTAGGGCTGGACAATTGATAGATTAACCTACCGATTAATTGACTAGTTACTTAATCGCAATAATTTTAACCGTCTGTAAAGTTTTGACAAACCAAAATGAAAGCTTTCACCACGCAAGCATGGATGAGTACACCTGTATGAAGGGCAAACTTTCAGCAAAGTGTTAACCTAAAGTGAACTGTAGGGCGAGATTTGTAACTCCAGACAAGTTCAGAAGGTTACACACGTCCCAGCCATTTCAATACCGTGTGACTGTCCGTTTAGTTCAGCAGAGACTTTCGTGAAAAATCAAAGGATGTCCCTCTTGCAGGATAATATCAACGAACTTCTTTGCCTCATGGAGCCGAAATAATAATCAGTGATTGTGAGTGTCTTTGAACTGTTCACAGCAGTACATTCAGGTTATTCATAATCGAAGTTCTCCATTGTGCCGTTTCCCACATCATTTGCAAAAAAAAAAAGAAAAAAAATTAAAGTATTATAATTGGAAATAAACGAGACCGATTAATTAATCGATTAAAGCAGGGGTTCTCAAACTGGGTTCCGGGGAACACAGGGGCTCCACGAGCTGGTCTCATGGGTTCCGCAAACACCCAAATTGCAACCCTCCCTCCCCCACCCCCCCCCCCCATGCCGCAGGCTGCGCGGCAGGACCGTGCAAAGCACCTTCATCTCACTTTCTACCGACATTGCGATTGATATGGTGGGGATATATGGGAAGCAACTCAAGCAAAATTGCCTACAATTGTGCACTTGTTGCTTCTCGGTCGGCAAATATGAAAAGAGGGGGGGGGGGGGGGGGTTCCGCGGCAGTTTTTGAGGCTTCCTGGGGTTCCGTAAGGCCAAAACGTTTGAGAACACCTGGATTAAAGAATGGCGATTAATCGGTTTAAAAATTTTAATCGACGCCCAGCCCTAGTCGTGACCCGGAAGTAATGACGTTCGTCCTGAACGAACTTGGGCGACGTGGACGGTAAACTCACTTGAGTCAATAGTCCCGAGATTTTAAGACACTGATGTGCCCCATCCTCGGGATCACGGACACTGTGCTTTGACCAAACTTATTCGTTGAAGCTTGGTCTCCTAACGAAACATTGGCACTCCAATCCGAGTTTTACCAGAAGGTTCCTCTTTATGTTCTTCTGCCACAGCTTTGCTTCCCTTGGTGTCTTGTTCAAACTATTGATAGGATGCATTTTTTTTTTGTGTTTGTGTGTCACTGACTATAGTCATATGTTGATCCACGACCTCGAAGATTTTTTTTTTCACGCACTGGCTGCACTCCTTAGGCTGTTGCATTCGCCGGTACAGACTGCTACTGTGGGATGCCTGGTGGCATTGGCAACCAAACCAAATGATACAAAGAAATAACCGCGAATTATCACCATTATCATCGGTCTACAGAACTTAGGAGCAGCGCAAAATGTGCTCCCCGCATCTCCCAGCCTCTTGCTGCAGCACGCAGACTTCGGCAAGGTAGAAGTTGATAGAAATTCGAAGGTTCATCTTTTCAAAGCACGAAAGGTTGTGGGTGGGTGTCCACTTTAGCCACCACCCAAACAGTCCCCGCCTCGACTGCGCCAAAGGAAATTGCACGATGCAAGGTATGAAGGATCTACTGTCTCACAGTTGGACAATCTGAAGGCAGTGCCTTGTCCTTTACACTTCCGTCGCCAACCATCCGTGTGCTCGCTGTCTGAGCTCTGCCCAGTGCTGTTCTTTTCTTCTCACTTGTCCCAGACATTGAATTCCAGCTGACAATGACTCTTACTGCCACGTGCCGCCTGCTCTATCCTCGTAATGCCAATGATGTTGTGGACGACCACCTCCCACAGCTAGCGACTCGCCACTGGCTGCATTGAACCCGGAGGCTTCCCGCCTCTAGGCTTTGCTTTCTGGCAAACTGGGCACGTACGAGCGTACCGGAATATGTCCGCCCTCATCTCCGGCCAGGTCGCGGCACGGCATAACATATAAGTAGTCTCGCTGCCACTACCATGACTAGCCGAAGCGGAGTCGTGAAAGCATCCGATACACCCTTTCCATAGCCTGCTGGGACTCACAACCTTGAAGGGAGAGTCGTCCTTCTGCTCTTCGTCGATCGTTGGGATGATGCGAAGTGACAAACCATCTAGGCCCAGCAGATACGAATCGCAGTGCCCGTCAACTCGCCCGCCAGCGCTCCCCGCGCAAACTGCAACCTCCGCAACCTTTCCCACACCCGCTGACAAACTCGTCCGCCAGCGCTCCCTGTGCAAACTGCAACCTCCGCAACCTTTCCCACACCCACTGACAAACTCGTCCGCCAGCGCTCCCCGTGCGAACTGCAACCTCCGCAACCTTTCCCACACCCGCTGACAAACTCGTCCGTCAGCACTTCTGGTGTCAGCTGCTCTTCCCGCAATCTTTCCGACGCCCGCCGACAAAAACCCATCTGCTCCTTGGGCCTTGACAAGCCCTTTCTTGCTCACCACTTCACCCCAAAAAGTCACGATACCCTGCTCTCTCGTGCAGCGTCCTAATACCGCTACGATACCCAATCTAGGAGTTTGCGACCTGTCCTGTCCAGCAGCCGGGCTCCAACGTGTCCTCGGCTGGCGGAGGGGGGCTATGCATGCGTCCAGGTGCTGTAAGAAATCATAGATTGATTTCTCATCGGGGTCTCCCGATTAAATCGACGTCGGGACGTTCCACCACGGTCGGGCACACACGTAGGCCCAGCACTCCCAACACCTGCGAAAGCGTCTCGAACACAACCATCGTGGCTCGCACGAACTCACCAACGTCTTCCATGTCTGCTATTGGAGCTGGAGTCCCAGGCTCAGACAGCGTTCAAGAGCCCACGACTCCGCTCACCGAGCCTCGCTAGAACAAAGCGTCCCTATTCGCAGCTACGCTCAACCTCGTATTGACGGGCACAAGATGTAGAACAAATGCCCCCTACGTTGTTTTCAAACTGTGTATCTAGTTTCAGTGGAAAAAAAAACAATGGTAAGGCAAGTCAAACTGTAGATTCGCACCAAATCTTGCATTCTAAGGTATTGCCCCACGAAACAGTGCAAAGACCGGAGCAGCAAATAAGAATTATGAGTCAACAGAGGCGATTCAGTTTCCATTTCTGGTTTGGTTCCACGCACTGTAAGCGGAGATCTGGAGAACCGGCTCGGCTCGCTCTCTCCGCAGGGCAGCCAAGGCCGGAACGAAGGGAAAAATCTCGGAGGCCACGGTCGATCAGAACCGCTGACTAGCAGACTTTCGGTGCCGACACGTTTCCTCATAGTAAGCAGCCACGAGCTGTTGCAATGCATTAGGCGATGCTCAAATGCAAATGTGCACGCCAGCTGCGAGAGCACCCACTGCTTTTCGAGATCTGTGCACAGGGTGTCTCAAGGAACTGACTAGACTAAGGCACCTTACCCACCTTTCTTCTTTACTCCCATCTATAAATGTCGAAATCAAAGCACACAACAGTCAAATTTCCATCGGACTCTCCTTGCTCCTTAAAAATACAACTCAAGTGTAGGTTTCTTAACAAACCTGCACACTTGCTGTAAGAGTTCCTGCATATAACAAAACTGGTAGTGTAATGTTGATTAAAAGCTGGTTCGGTTTTCAGCGAGTCTTGTTCAAAATGTACAGCTTGCAAAAATACTGAAAACAATGATAGAAACAACCGGAACGCTGTTTCACCGATCATTCCATTATTTGCTTTTGTACCCATCGTGCCCAAAAGTCCACGGAAGAGGCTTCTCCCCTCTCCCACCAATGAATGCAAAGGGAGAGAGAAAGGGAACGATTTTCAGCCCCGCCGATAATCTCTCGTACATTCCGGGCAACCTTTGAAGACAACAAAGAGTTTTAACGGAAAAGCCTGCCAAAATCGAACGGCGAAAGTAGCGCGCATGGATTGTTTTGTATTAAAGTATGAAATGGTGTCTTGACCATCAAAATAGCACCAGCAGAAGCGTTTCGAAGATGGCAGCTGACTCGGAGTTGGCTGCTTAGCCGATTTCGCCTCTCCATCCAGCTGCATAGCGGCGTCTTACAAAGGTCACACTTCTACGTCCTCTGCCAACTCTCCCCTCTCTCCAGCTGCCTTGCCCCCCCCCCCTTTCCGATTAGTTTGGCTCGTCTGCGACGTCTTTCGCTTTCGGCCTGAACTCCGTTTCCAACAAAGTGTTGTGCATTTTTTTCAAGCTAGGGCAAGTTGTAGATTCGTTACAGCCAGCAACAGCGCAAAAAGACCGAGACGACATAGGCGTTGTAGCTGTCTATAAAGAATTTCCGAAGATGTGTGTACAACCAAAAAAAGAAACCACTCCAGTCTCCTCCGATCTTTTTTTAAGAATATAAGCTTTTTATTGTAACATTTGGATCTTTTTTATTTATTTACTTTTTAATATGCACCTTTCCACTCCGTAAATGTACAGCTCTTCGTTCTGCTCGTCGGCGCGAACGAGAGAATCACCAGACCGGCCACCAAAAAGTGTTAGGCTCAACAAGTAGTCCGTCGTAACAAAACAGAAAGCGTGCGCGTCATTGGGAGTGGGCGAGGGACCACCCCCTTACAGGACGAAGCTGACGTCGGTACAATGCGACGAGTATAAAAACGGAAGTTCCGACGGCCGTTTCTCCTGTCATCGGGTTTGGGTACTGTTGTTCCAACGATTTCAAAAGCAGCCCCATAGACAAAAATAAAAACGACGGGAGACGACTGCCGCGACAATAAATTAATGTTTGCGTCTGTGCCATCATTGACGGCGGGGAAAAGAAACAGCTTGGGTGGTTCGACAAAAGCCAGGCAGTGCTACCAGAAAGCGCGCCCCGGAAACCAGAAGGTCGTCTTTGAAGTGCGGGGACTTCTTGGCCAACGTAAATTTCTCAACAAATTTTTTTGGATTTCATGCCACTGCACGCAGTGCGTGTGCACATTCTCGTACAAAAAGTCTTCCGTGTCGCAAACGTCTAAGTGCGGCCCCACCAATTCCCAGATAAACACATCAACACCACTAAAATAGAAAAGTTTGAAACAACAACGAAAGCGAGGCTATGATCAATGGCAATTACAAACAATGGTCGTTTCCATTTGACGAGAAAAAAAAAAAGGAAGAATCACCTCCTGGACACATCTTTCTTTTGTTTTCTTTCTAAAATAAGAAAAATGAATGAAAATTGCAAAACCTTGGCAAATGAAATGGTGCATTTCCGTGGACGCCAACGCAAACGAACCCCACTTGCCTTTCGTGTCCTTGACACAGACGAGACTGACAGCAATAAGAGGCAAAAAAAAGTGCTACGCAAGACTTCGGGCATACTTTGCGTCTCCCGCGAGGCGGTGCAAAGTCGCCTCCCTAGACCCGTCCGCCGGGAAGCGGTTGTTCCCCTCCGCCACGTCATATCCGTTCTAAACCGAGCGCGTCAGTCTCTTTCCCCCCGACACAGGCGGGCCGCCCTCCGCCGCTTCGGCGGGCGGGCCGCCCTCGGCGTCTGCGTTCATTAGCTCTCCTGCTTTGCTTGGTGGCGGCTGCGCAGCGCCTGGGCAAGGTCGTTCCTCAGCGCATCCTGCTGCTTGCGGTCCTGCAGCGGCTGGACCGAGCGCAGCCCGTTGACGATGTCCTTCGTCTTGCCGAAGTAGATCTCGTTCAGCGTGGTGCGGATCTTGTTCTCCATGTCCTGTTCGCACGAGACGGAGGAGACGAAACTGAACGACCATCTTGGCGCCGAAGGAGAACTGTGTTTCTCTCGTCATAAAAATAAACTGCGCGTCGCCAAACGTTTCGCGTCGGTTCACGCACTTGCGTTTGACCGTGCTCGGGTACGTTGCATTTCGTCGTAGGCGCTTACCACACGGTTGGGGTCTGCTAAATAGTCCCGGAACCATCTCAGTCGGTGTCTATATTCTTTGTTCTTACGCATCATTCTTTCGCCGTGGACTGGAAATAATTCCGACAATGTTCTAAGTGGCCGTTTGTCTTAGATGGTCCGTAGATTTGATTTCGCAACGAGTGCAAAAGGTCCAGTCTACAGCATGTAAACTAATGCATCTAAGGCACTTTAGACGGTCCGCGAAAATCAGTTTCTCAACCGTATTGCGCTGCAATTTACTAGAGGTGCAAGCACGGGGTGAAAATATCAACGGATGAGCTTACCTCATTCAAAAAAGAAAGAAGAAAACCTGTTTTGGGCTATTTGCCGCGGTATTCACAGACAATGTCATGACCGGACTTGTCTAGTTAAACCTGCCGCCGTGGTTGCACCTCCGTAGTAAATCGCGGCACGATCCGTTGAAAAACTGATTTTTGCGGGCCGCCTAAGTGCCTTAGAAGCATTAGCTTACGTGCTCTACTTGTGCGCAGTTCCAGGGCTATCTGACAGACCAGTGTGTGTTCTCTCGTTGCAAGCAATTAGAAGAGGGCGCAATGCACTCGAGCAGAGACGAGACACAAATGTTAAAGCGGCTTTCAGTCTCCTCCCAAAAGACACTAGACGGCATCTCGAGAGATGCCACCAACACGCAGTTGTTGCCCTCCACCGCGCCTGCAAGCTCAAGGCGCCCGTGCTGGAGGCAGGGCAACCCAACAACCTCCCCGTCACTCTCACTCCGTCGGTTTGGACCAGACGACCGGGTTTCCCAACTTGCCATAATCCCACTGAAAAGTTACCAGCCACGTTTGGAAATTTCTGACGAGAAAATGAAAAGAAAAACAAAAACTTGACGAGCGCACTGTTCCAAGAGGCGTTATTCCGGGCACCGTACTGTGGTTCCCAGGCTCACCTCGACCATCTTGCCGATGTTGGCGATGTGCGGCACGGCTTCGCTGACGGCGCTGTCCTGCTCCATCTGCCTCGTGAGGCTGCCCCCCAGGTTCATGGTCCCCGAGCCGGGCTTCTTGGTCTGGAGCCACAGCATGGCCGTGGAGGTCAGCTTGTAGTGCGCACTCCGCCCCGTAGACTTCTCCTGCGTGATAGGGCGGCTCCCGTCGAGAGAGCGTCTCCGGGGACGGCACGCGGCATCTATACCGAAATGCTAACGAGCCGTCTTTTCACATAAAATTTGTTTTTTTCAGTTCACCCAGTTTATATTTAAAATGGCTCGATTTGTGTTTAACTAAGGCGGTTCAATTAAGCGCAATTTGTTTTTACTAATCGTGCAACAAAAAATATACGAGTGGCCACCCGCTACGAGCATGTTACGTGGTTTAGAATGGAAAAAAAGCAAAGAAACAATAACAGTACTTCAAAAGTTAATACGTCATACCCCGGTCTTTCAACATATTTTGGTAATTTCTGATCTAGTTTATAGTAAATGTTTACATCTACTATAACTTTAGGACATACATAAGCTAAATTTTTTCTATCTATTCTAGTTTTCAAGAAGACCTCAACTTTATCAAAAATGTTTCAGCCTAACTTTCTTACAATACCTCCACAAGACAATATGGCACAGAGTATGTCAGCATGTTCTACAAACAGCAGAAAGTTCAACAAAACCATCGTTATGATTTATCAATACTCTAAAAAAGTTATCACGAGCTGAAATTTGTTAGCTGATAATTATGAATGACACGCAATGAGAAAATTTTGTAGTTACCATTTTCTAGAAATAGTAGTTTCGTTGCAATCTACGATTTATGAAGTATTAAACCCCTAAAAAAAGTATTCAGGACCATTTTCTAGGTCCCAAGATAGAATAGCCAAAACTTTGCGTCGTGACAAAAAAAAAATAATTCCCAGAAAGCGCAGAAAGCTTTTAAAAACATGCTTACAAACAGCCTCGATATGAATCTTTGAATTGATGTAACTATATCAATGTGCACTTCCTGAGTTTAGTACTCACAATACATGTTTGTGACCATAGCTAGAAAAAATATTTTTAAAGATGACTTTTTATTTTCTAGGTTTTAAGATTATTGCCTCCTCTTTAACGCATACACTCGTTTCATACGTTTACAAGTAATAAGAGTTTTTCTAGTTTGGGTTTTTGTTTCACATACTTATGCGGCGAGTGTATTTGAAGGCAGACTGCCCAACGAAACCTTACCGGTTGCACAAAATTTTACTCCATCACCGGGCATCTCCTTTCCCCCCTGCAGTAACACCTAACCTGTTATACCTCGTGTGGCATAGGTTGGAAAGAACTTTATTCTTCAATTTTGTTTAGACTCTCTTCACTTGGAATTCTGCAGTAACACCTCTGGCACCGCGGGGTAATTGAGGAATAAATAAATAAATGTCAGGACTGCAAAATTCCGCCAATACCTTCCCTCGAGAAGATTAGAACATCAATAAGAGAGGAAACAAGAGGGACAGAACTGGCTAGATCCGTCCCAAATCCAATCCAGTCCAAGTAACCCTTGGACTGGATTGGATTTCGGTAACAATCCAGTTCCGTCAAAAGTATGATCGAACGCTGTTGAAACTTTTCTGGGCCGTCAAGCCAAAGAGTGACCAACGACGAGTCGCTTTTAGGATGTCGTCAGGCAGCAATCAAGGGACCGCTTTCGCGGATGCGCCGGCCCCGGACGCGTTCTGGTTGTACCCGAAAGGGCGAAATGGGGCGGCCCGCGCACCTGCACTTCCACGACATGAATGGAGTCCCAGCTGCCCATGATCTTCCTGGAGCCGTCCCCGCCCTTCTTGATGAGCACGACGCCCGCAAACCCGTGGTCCAGGTCCCACAGGTAGACCGAGGACACTCCACCCTCGAAGTACATCTCCCGGTACTGGTCGAAGGCCTGGTTGGCGTCCACTTCCAGCTTGCGCAGACGCTCCGACGGGAGTGCCCCGTCCTCCAGCGGCGGGTCATAGCTGTTGCTCCAGGGGGACCTGAGTAGTAGTAAAAGTGTACAGGAGTAATCCGGAAGATGTGTGTGAGCTGCTTGAAAGGACCGTCCAAAAGAGATCCTTCGCTGTTTTTGACGCAAACACATTTTAATGTTACCCAAGGACTCGCACCGCGCGGTCACGGCACAAGTTAGCGGGCTAACTCGCCGCAAAAAAGAAAGTAAATTAGACACTCGCATTTAGACGGCGTCAAGTTGGTCCGCCTTCGAGGTGCGGCGACTCCGGTTTAAAAAGGCACTGACACCCCCAAAGATTTTTTTTTTGTCTAAAACGACAAGTTATAGTCATGGACATGCAAAAAAATACCAGAAAGCAAAAACACCTTCCCCTCTTGCATGCGCTCCTTTTTATTTTTGGCGCTTTCCTCTCCCACTTCTCACCCCTTGCCTCTTTTGATATGTGACGTCAAACATGAAATTCAGAAGCCCTGTAAGCGACATTTCTATAATGTTTAATAACGGCATCCCTAAAACATGTTTTTTAACGCAACGCAATGGCAAATGCACTACAGCCTTTCTTCCTGAAATACCGAAAATCGGAGTCCAATGTGATGTCGCCTCCTGGCTTTTCATCCTATTTCGGAAAATATGGTTGCGCTCGACACGTGTAGCACTTCGTCCGATTCCCCGGCTCACTGATCATTCATTTATTTGTTTAAATAAATAAATAAATGATCAGCGAGCTGGGGAATCGGACGAAGTGGTCTTTTAGTTGTGCAACCTCTTAGAATTCGAAAAAAAAAGAAAAATCGTCAAACGGTCAAAACAATTAGGTTTGGTGTCTGTGTGTCGTAGCTTCAGTTGTGACTCCGCCAAGGCAGCTTTTTACGCGGAACCGGAGCGATGTAGCCCCTCACGTCGCTCACAAAGGTCCACTGTGTGTTCTCTTCGACCTCACACCGTTTTAAAGAATTTGAGATCTCTGAAAGGGCCTTAAAGAACTTCAAACTCGACAGTCAAGCGTCGTCTGCTCGCAGCGATAAGCGATAAGCACGGAGGAAACTGACTGTTTGCAGGACACCGGCGAACACGACACTTCGGGGTGGCTGCGGCTCGCAGGCGTCAGAGAAACTCGACTCGCGGGACGGCTCAATATTTGACGCCACTGCACTGACGCGGATCGCGCGGGAACTTCAAACTCGGCATTTGGGAATCGTTTTTTTACTTCACAAATGCTGAATTCCCCAAGTTTTGAATTTTGAGGGTAATGTCCACGCATCATTTTCAATCGTATCGGATAATAAAAAAAAAAAAAGAAAAGATTTTGACGTGTCAATGCCCTTTTAAGTCGCAGATGAGAAATTTAGCCGGTGCAGCGCAACTGCTGGCCCGGGGTCTACACCCGCAACATCCAGGTTGGAACAAGCAGGGATGGATTTCAGAGTTTCAAGACGCATTCTTTTGCTCCGCAAGCTCAGAGGGGCAGCGTGCCGCTCGCCCACCGATCCCCGCAGCTTCCGCAAAATATAGCAAGATGCCACTACAGGTCGCGGGTCGGGACACTACGCCAAAGGGAGGACGCCATCATCCATCCTCTGCTTTTTGTTTACTTCAGAGTCTGCTTTTCATATAAAGACTGTTTCACACATTCGCATTTAAGCATTGCGCCTGCTTGTGACAAGAGAATGCACTGGTGCCACCTGTCGGATTGCCCTGCTTCCATCTGCATTGATATCTTTTGTATGTCACTCTTTCACCATGGGGCTCGAAATATTTCTGACAATGTTAGAAAAGACCACTTCTTGTAAGTATACATCTCATCTCGCAAATACTGCAAAACCTGTCATACTACTTGACACCTCCGTTTTCCCTCAAAATGGTCCATAATGCGAGTTGCCCATGATAAGAATACCATTAACCTCATCTGGTGGACTGGTCAGTTGTACATACGGAGATATGAAAGCTCAAAACGACGGGGGAGAGAGGACATAGCCCTAATTGAGAAGCAATGTTGCTAAAACACTCAGTTGGGAAACTCCCCCTTGAAACCCGGACCACTTGCATCCACCGAGACTAAACTAAGTATAATAACCGCGCCGCTTTTTAGCGACAAGTCTAAACATGAAAGTTCCTTCATATAGCTACTGCAGAAAGGCACTGCGAGATGACGCCATCGGCCCTTGCGCGACTCGACCTGAATGAATACGTGCAACAGTGCAGTTCCTGGAGTGGCCACTCTGGGAGAAATGGCAGAATATAGTACCGCAATATCCCGAGATATGCCCCACCCCCGAAAGATAACCTGCCCCTATTTTTGGCACGATTTACTATGTTTTTTCTAAACGCCAAAATATAGTTTATCTTTAGTAATTGCAGGGCCCTGGCCAATGGTGGCCTCGGCAGAAATGGTGTTGTTCAGCCAAGACGGGAGGTAAGCAAACATTGCTGACTGGGAAGGGCAGTCGTCTTTGGTTCATGGCACCTCCCTGCAATCGCAACTTTTGCAGGTAACAAAATCTAGAACTAGCACTTTTTCAACATCTTTTGACCGCACACCGAAAGTTAGCTTACTCTTTATTTTCCCCTGATTTGCTTTCGATTTTAGTGGACTATCTCTCGGGACATTACGGTAGGTTCGGGAATTTGTAAGCTAATGTGGATTTTCTTGTTGACTTACCTGTAAGAGTCTCCATCTCTGTTGTAGTCGCAGAGGAGGTAGTACTTGCCACATTTCTTGTCTGTAGCAATCTTGAGGGGTTGATCAACCGAAGATAGTAGCTCCTCGCACAAACCGGGTACCTTCCCCAACAAACAGCAGTAAAGAAGTGTCAAGACTGGGAACATTGCATTCGACAAACACTTCACACATCAAACGGAATGTTACAACCTCTTAAGGCCTGTTCACACACTTGCCACCTCTTAGAACCGAGTGCTTGGAACCTCTTAATATCTCTTACGAGAGGACACACTGGCGCCATCTATTGGATAGCGTGGAAACTTGGCGGCCCAGCGTATTTCCTATTTCTCTCGAGCATTACCGTATTTACTCGAGTAATAGCCACACTATTTCCATTGCGTCTACTTTCCCACAAAACAAGTATACAGCCAATCATTGCATTGTGCATAAATAACATAGCGAATAACCAGATCGAGAACACAATGGTCCATACAAATGCAATCTTCACAGATGGCATCTCCGCACGAACACGTTATCTCTGTCCTGTAAACAGCTGTAATCATGCTGTCAATCGCGGTGATTAGCAATCTGCGTGTTCCGCAGAAAAGCGAACCCTCAGGTTTTTTTCATAAACAGTGTGACTATTACTCGAGTAAATACATTATCCATTCTTTCTTGGCTCGAAAATCTTTTGTCAACGTTATAAACGAGCCTTTCTCATAGGTATTACACACATTTGACCTCCAAATCATGCAAAACCTTTGCTTCTGTGAAATGCAGTTCCAGGGTAACCGCATAGATGGCGTCAGCGTGCCGATGCGTTCTCTTGTCCTAAGAAACTTTAAGAGCTTTCAACAGGTCTAGTCTCCCTTGGTCGTTCTTGGCTGCGTGTGAACGGGGCCTTTCGACGTTTCCGGTGATATTACCATTAAAAAGTTGGAGCAAAACACATCAGGTCAGCCCAAGTTTATATTAAAATTAGGGTTCCACATTTGTGGGGTCCATTTTTCTTGAAATTGGGGGTGTTTTTTCAGTGTCTACTTTTCCCCACCGGTTCAGTGTATTCCGGCGTCCATTTTCGACGTCATACAAAAAAATGGGCATTTATCGGGCCACATATCGAAAAAAACGGGGCATGGCTGTGTGATTCCCCAAACCTTCAGGGAGCCTGCATGCGATCCAAATAAGGGCGAGGTTCCTGATAAAGCCCCTCCATCACATTCACACATTTCTTACAAGTACCGCCAACCATTGTTGTGCGAATGCGCAAGACACGTGTCACGAGCCTCCGTTTGCATCCGAGAGCCGCTCATTTGAGGACGCAAATGCATCGAGGGGCTTTACTTCCCGAGGAAAGCAGCAGCCTTTGGCTCGGCGGTTACTTTTCGTGGTTTATCGGCACATACCGAAAACATTGAACCCCAATTATAACTGATCCCACCCACAGCAGATGTGCTCTAGTGTTAAAACCAGGTGTTAAGTTTTAAATTACTTCACCCGGGAAACGACAGGTTCGAACCTGCAAACTGAGCATAAATTGGAACCTTGCACTGTTTATGAGTTGCATGCCAGCACTTCTGCCATTTGTGTCGCTGCAGACAAATTGTAAGAAAGTGTGATATGCAAAATTTGTCTTTACACTCAACGGTGACCTTTGGTTCTGTACTAACTTCATGAAGTGCGCCTTAAAAGTGAAATGATTAGACGAGTTCAAAGTGCATACCAAGTCTATGAGGTCGCTCAAGTTTTTCTCAATTTTCTGGGGCGGCAGGCGCCGCATGAGGTCCAGCGCAGAGTCGAGCTGTTGGTCTGTCTGCAAGAGAACGAGGAACACACGGCGCTGCGAATACGAGCCACGCAAGGTTGCACGGCGCAATCGCGGCTACTACCTATGCATGCATACACAAGCATGCCGTGCGCAGTAGGCGAGTCGCTACGCGTTCTGGTGCCCTTTCGGCGCACTATCCTCGATGCTAGTTTCGGGGCACAACGTTCGCTGCGTCGTTCAACGAACAAAAGCTGCCGAAAAATAAATTGCGATTGACCGAGTTTCATGCCTCCGATGCAGCATCAACATTTCGGAGAACCACCCAAGTTGTTCAAGAACCTGCGTTTCCTTCGGTCTCTTTACCGAGGTTATTGATGATTACGACGCCCGAACGCCCCGGGGATTTCTCTGGTAATTCTGGCGAGATGTTACCCGAATTCGAGTTACATTGCAACGTTTGTTAATCGGGGAAACACACACTTGGATCAGCACCGGTGCTGGGGACTTAGGCTTAAACCCTAGCTTCTTCCTGCGTTTCATTTTCCCGCAGCGTGCCGAGACCACACCGGCGGCGAATTTTCATTCTACGGTGCGGCTCAGGTGAGCGTGCACTGCTCGTGATTGTTCGAAAACAAACAAACATACCGTCATTGCGATGATTGCGAGCCGAAAAATAATTTGCCAACGCCCTCTGAAAGCAAACGGAAGTGTATCACAGAAGTGACCACAAGCCACAGCAGGCAGCAGAAGGCAGAAGCGGACAAGTTTTGGCTGGACCGCGGAAGTTAGCCTCACGCAAAGTTTTCGCACTAGATGTTTACTTTATCGGCTGGAAATAACTTGTTAGCGGAAAAATATAAAATAAGGGAGAACTTCTTAAGAAATACAATTTATCGGGGGTGCTACAACTCTGGGATGAACTTTGTTTACTATTTATCGCTTTCAAATCGAGTATTGTTGCTTAAAACTCTGCGTAAACAATTTAGTTAAGGCAATGAAAAAGTTTTGTTTTTGTTTCATTGTTTATTTATAATAAAACAAAGGACAAAAATAAAGAATCACGATTGACCTAATTTAATCGACATTTGTAAAATCTCGTCCAAAACGGCGGGAAATGAGCGAACGGTTGGTAACACTTATCTTTTCTCCGTGACGCTCCGTCTTCAATGGCGCCTACTGTGTCGTATCGGTGCGGTGACTTCAGTACGGCGTAATTTGGCAAAACAAATAAGCCCCCCACTTTTTGGTAATGATATAGATGCTTTGAGTGACGGCGCAGTGACTACTGACGATTGTGTGGAAAGAGCCGATGTGTTCGCTCTCTTACTACGGACACTAAGTTCTCGGCAGAATGAGCCGTAGCTCAAACGATTCCGAAGAGGATGGCGAGATTGATCGCGAAGAAACTCGATACAACATGTACCCCAACACAGTCTCACCCGGAAAAGAGTATCTCGAGCAACCTGAAGATAGGTAAGACGTAAGACCACGTACTAATGAATCTTTTTTTTTTTGGTAAGCTAACTTTCGCGATCGGCAACCACTCGTCCTCCTGGCGTTACTGGCACGGTTCTCACTTGCGCGCTTCTTTTATTCACCAGCGAGAGTTACGACACGGAAGACGGTGGCGAGGACACGCTGAACATTCAGCCGCCGCAGGCCACGATCATCCCGCCCAAGCGAGACAGAAGAGACCGAAAGAGAGACAAGCACTCCAGGAAACACGAATGTGAGTCGCGGGTTTGCAGTCTTGCTCTGGCTATACGAATGGCATCGGGAATCAAAATCCAATTTACGCTACAAGCCTCGTATTTCCGCGGAACCTGCAAGGTGGATTTGCCGTTGCCCTGATAAGATACAAGTGACAAATAGTAAAGCAATTTTTTCGGCCCAACATATCGCATGCAATCGAATGTCATCTTGAGCAGGGGTTCTCAAATTGGGTTCTAAAGAACGCAGGAGCTTCCCAGAGTACTTTCAGGTGTTCTCTGATCCTTCAATCCTCCCCCAAAGAAAGCACTTTGCCGCTTCCAGGACTATTTTAGCAAACCCGAACCACCTGTTGATGCATAACCACAACAAGCCAAACACTCCTTGGTGTGTGCATTATTGTTTACAGCGTCTGTAAGCTAGTGCCAAGGTCGAGAAGAGTTCCTCGGTTATAAGTCTTGGCAAGCAGCTGTTCCTCGAGATAGAAAGTACACCTGGGGCGGTTTGCTCGTGAACCGTAAAACCTTAAAACTACTGCCACAACACCTATGACTCTTATTATGACAGAATGCGGCGAGCTACCTTGCCAAACATTGCGACATAGCCCTGTCACGTGATGTTGTTGTTCAAAGTCAGTTCCTATTCGCGTCTCCAGCTCGTTGCTCGCCCTCCCGTGGCGGAAACGGGAAGCGCACTAGTGAGGGTCCCCCGATTTCCCTGCTCAGTGGGCACGGCGTAACTGCCTGTGATCAGGGCTCGCGAAATTTAATTTCCAAATGCAAACAACACTCTTTACTGTCACAACGTAGTGCTGGAGCCGGTATGGGATTGTATTTTATTAGAGAGTTTTAGTATTGCGTATAGAAGCAAGCGCTGTGCGTTTGCTTTAGAGTTCCGTGCTCCACGTTGCACATGCGCGTCATCGCTATGCGCCAATCCAACACCGCAATTCCAGGCCATGTGCATGCGCAGTGTAGGACACTCAACGCAAACACATAGCACTTGCGTTCGCTTGTATACACAATACTAAAACTCGCTACTATTTCACCAGCTCCAACGCCAATGGAATGTGCTGCAGTAAGCAGACGTGCAAGCAGGTAGGCATTCTTTCGAACTGGAAAGGCTAAGATTAACAAAATGACTGTGCATAAAAATGAAAGTTGTATCAATGTTTATTCTTACGACATCATTATCAGTTCGATGTTATAGAGCACTGTGACCAGCGTGTGTCCTTTCAGTCCAAAAGCTCCGAACAATGTTCCGGGCGCTCGCGTTGGTAGCGCGAGCACTTCTTCGCTTCACCGCGTGGTTATCTTGTATAGCGCGATACAATACAAAAGTAACTAAATGTAATAAAAAAATTGGTAATTAAAAAAAATCTGTTTTTTTATTTTATATATACCGTAAGATCCTCAGAGATGCCCCTCCACCGAAAGGTAGCCCAGCCCTATTTTTGGCCTGATTTGCTATATTTTTTAAACATTGAAAGATAGCCCACTCCTTTTAATAGTAGTGTGGAAATCAGTGATGGCTTTAGCATAAATGCGGCTGTTTAGCTATGGCGGGATAGAAGCAAATGTTGCTCACTGGGAAGTACAGTCATCTTTGCTTCGTTGCCCCTCGCTACAATAACAAGCTTGGAAGGAAGACGACCTAAAAATAGCAATTTTTAAAACTTTTCTTGATTGTGCACCGAAACTTAGCCCCCTCCATATTTTCACCCGATTTGCTCTTCACGTTAGGTGGGCTATCTCTCGGGATTTCACGGTATATATTTTTTTATTTTGGTACATTTGGTCTGGAAGGATATACGTGGCTTGCACATGACGTCATTTCCAATGGCCTCCAGAGAAAAGGGGAAGAAGGAGCTTCCCTCTTATCAGGATCCTCCTTTGTGCCTCCCGGATATGCACAGACGTCGCATCCTCCCAGAAGATTGTAGAAGATTTACCTGTCACTCGAAATTCTTACAAAAGCAGCTTCTCTCTCCTCCTTTTACATATGGTGGTCAAAAGTATGCAATGTGACGTCAGTGACAGGAGCCAATTGGCGGCGACTTTGGAAGTTTTGCCGATTGTCAAAAGTGGCGACTTTGATATCACCATATGCTTTACCCAGAATACATAAATTTCTCGCATCAGCTAGAATGTTTCCATTTATTTTAGACTATTTTTTATAACTTAGTAATTAAAAATACTGCGAGTGGCACCAGTGACGATAATTAGCACACTTTTGAATGTTATACTTGTTCGCGCATTTGAAATTACATCATAAGTAGGATTCGGAGTTTTCGGTTTAACCGATAAAAGTATGCCGAATCTATTTTCGGAAATTCAGTTTTAACCGAAAAAGGTCAGTTTGTAGGTTTGGCGTTTTCGATTTAAACCGATAAAAGTATGTCTAATCCATTTTCTAAAATTCAGTTTTAACCGAAAAAGGTCAGTTTTTTAGGGCCGCGTCGAGGTGGGTGGGGGAGGGGGGGGAGAGAGAGAGTGTAAGAGAGAGAGAGAGAGGGGAGACTTTGCAAGGTTCGACATTGTGTGACGTCTTCAAGATTACCCTCTCCCAAGGTTCAACATGCAACAAAAGAGGTCTTCGATTGGCCTTTGCGGTACATCTGTGTCCTTTCTGTGATCGGGTTCAGTGTGTCAAGTTCCCGGTCCTAATGCACTTCAGAGGGCATCAAGGAAAGCCGTAAATACCTTTCTTAACACCGCCGCTTTGAAACATTCTTTCACAGCGCTCGCTCTAAAAGTGCTTGTCTCAAAGGCAGGAGCGCGGGCTGGATTACACTTGTAGCCTTGGCTGCAGTCTGAGCTTAAACGGAGTACAAGCATAGCTCACTTGGGGGCCCGGAGGCCGACCACTCCCGCCAATTTCCGTCCCCCGCCTGCAGCGTCGTCTCGCAGCCGTGCCAAGGAGCGCCAGCACAGCAGTCGGGACCGGGGAGGCGGTTCCAGCCACCGGGAGGGCAGCAGGCGGAACCAGGAGAGCGTCGTCAGTAGCCGGGGCGGCAACAGCAGGGGAGCTCGCGAGCCCAGAGAGCCCCCTCCGCGAGAGTCCGTGCTCAGGGAACCCAGGGAGTACGAGGCCAGCAGCCGGCACCGCCAACACAGGTGAGGCCATTTATTGATTTCATCAATAACAGTCCTCCTTTCGAAGGTTGCGGCAGGAGGGATGAGTACATTTTAGTATGCAAGAAGTTAAACAAAAGTATAACGAAATGTAGTAAAAACACAATAAAAATATGGAAATGCAGCAACAACAAAAAATATAAACAATACAAACTTATAGTTTACTTTTCACAGTCAGCTTTCTGTTTCTAGGAACAATTTCATTTAATTTATTTCATTTATTGACGTCAAGGGCGTCTTTTGAGGACGCATTACATGAGGGGGGTGGCAATAAATGGAAATACAATATAAAAAAGAACGTAAGAACTCTAACACAACCACATCTTGTCTAACCACAAAGAAAACAAGATTTGTATACACAAAGAGACTTTTCCTACTCATTGAACAAAAGCACACACATTTCTTGAAATGCTGTAATATCTAAGTTGGTTACAAAATGATCTGGCAAGTTATTCCATTTTGTAATACACAATAATAAAGGGAGAAAACATGAATGAGTTATTATGGGAATGGTATTGAAGGAGTTTACATGTGTTGTCGTTTCGAGACGAAATATAATGGGGCTTTTTGACAATAAATATTTGTGAACTTTGAGTTACTATGGTAAACTTGATGGAAGAAACACATGCGGTTAATTTTGCGTCGTGTGGCTAATGAAGCGAGACCAAGTCTTGATTTTAAGGCGGAGACACTACTTTCTGGAGAATAATCGTTTAGGATGTACCAGGTGGCTTTGTTTTGAATTGATTCTAGGTTTGATATTAGATCATTTTGATGTGGATTCCACACAACGCTTGCGTATTCAAGTTTGGGTCGAGTTTTGTTTTATAGGCGAGTAATTTTGTCACAGCAGGGGCCAGATAGAGGTTCCGCCTCAAAAAAGCTAATGATCTCGTTGAGTTGGTGATTATGTTGTCGATGTGTTCATTCCACGATAATGTTTTAGAAATATTTACACCAAAGTATTTGTATAATGAGACATTTTCTAATTGTTGTCACAGTAATGAATATTTGCGAGATGATTTGATTGAGTTGGTGGTAGCGGTCATTTGTTTGCATTTTCCGGGGTTAATATTCATTTGCCAATGGGTACACCAGGAGCTTATGGTGTCAAGATCGTTTTGAAGAATGATCTGTTGGGTCAGTAATTTTTCTGTATACAACACAGTCATCGGCAAATAGCCGGATAGTCGAGTTAATTGAGGAAGGAAGGGGGCCGAGGACGCTGCCTTGGGGAATACCGGAAGTTACTGGGACTGATGCTGATGAAGAACCATTGACTGGAACTGACTGCTCTTTGTCTGCTATCCAACTGATGACTGAAGAATGGATGTAGAGGAGAGAAAGTTTAAGAAGTAGTCATTGGTGCGGAGCGGTATCAAAAGCTTTCGCCAAAGCAATGAAAATAATGTTGGTTTCTGATTAGGAATGATTATTAAAGTGAAGATCCGGGGTAAATCCCAAATAGTTGGCTGATACATGAATAATGTTTCCTAAAACCATGCTGGTTGGGGAAAAAAAAGTTGCGATGGTCCAGGTATGAAATGATGTGAGTGTAAAGTGCATGTTCCATGAGCTTGCAGGGTACACTAGTCAACAAGATGGGACGGTAGTTAGATGGATTTGATTTGCTGCCCGATTTGAAGCTGGGTCTAACTTGGGAGAAACGCCAATCGTATGGTACCTCACCAGAATTCAAATTTTGTTGAAAAAGTGTGCTGAGTATGTTAAATGCTGGATGATCAATTAGTTTAAGAAATTTGGCCGATATCCCATCGTTTCCAGGAGCGCTATTGGAGGACAAGTTTGAGATTGTTTTAAGGATTCCTTCAGGAGTGAAAATAATTGGAGGCATCAATGCTTCATGATAAGGTGGGCAGTATGGGGGGAGTGGAAAGATTTTGTGCGTAAAAATGCTGGTGAAGAATGATTTCAACGAATGGGCTGCCTGGTCATCACGGAGTGTTTCACCTTGGTCATTTATGAACACTGGGCTATCTCTAGATTCTTTTGGATTTATTATCTTCCAGAATCGCTTGGGGTCTGTAGATAAGATCTGCGGCAAAGTCACCGAAAGGAAAACCTTTTTCACTTTCTTTACTTTGCTTTTACACAATTTTGTGAAGGAGTGGTATGATGACCAAACATCAAAATTATTTGTTTTCTCTGCATTTGCGAATAATCTTTTCTTTTTATTTAACATAAGTTTTAAATTGTTGTTAAACCACGGAGATGTACGGTCACATCGAACTGAAGTTTTGGAAACAAATTTTTCGGATCTTCTTCGACGTATTTTCGGGGCGCGTTACTCTTAATGATGTTTCGATTTGAACCAAAGCATGATCACTTATATGCTCCATGATGGTGACGGACGTCACACATTCGGGTTTATTAGTGAAAAAGAGATCTAATATTGCATCACAACGGGTTGCCGAGGTGATAATTTGTTGGAGACCATACACACCAGTTATAGAAAGGAACTCCGTACACTGTCGAGAGTTTGCACAGTCAGAGAGCGACATTAGCTTTGACCAGTTTATTTCGGGATAGTTAAAATCGCCACAAAGAAAGAAGTGATCAGTGGGAAATGCTTTGGTGACAGTTCCAAGGGCATAGTATAATGAAATGTTGAAATCTGAGCGATTAAAATGGGATAGACGATAACAAACACCTACTATGACACAGCGAAAATCCAGTTTAATACAAATCCACAAAATCTCGACATCAGAACAACATTCTACTTGCGAGCATGACAGATATTTTTTGACAGCGATGATTACGCCACCGCCTCTTGCCAGCAGTCTATCTTTACGAAAAATATTGTATGATCTGTTTAAAATGAGCTTATAATTTTTTATATCGGTATTTAACCTCGTTTCCGTTCCAAGAATGACGTCTGGCTGGCTAGAGCAAGTGATGTTCTCAAGTTCATCCTGTTTTGACAAAATGCTTCAGAAATTTGCGACAAAAAAAAAAGAAAGAAAAAAAGAGGAAGTGCGATTTGGACGTTGTTGATTTACATTGAGTCAGTTGTTTGATACTCTGTCTTGGTGGGGCACACGAAGCAGAACAACTGAGTCACTAGCTGCATCATAAACATATGTCGCTGTTCTGGAATGTAGTTTATTGTAACTAATCTTATATTTTGCACCACTATTTCTAATTTGTTCAGCGAATTCCCACAACTTCTGCCTCGCATTGCGCACGTTTTTAGAAAAGTCCTCCAATATCCTGATTTGTGGAGTCACATTCTTCAGCTTAAAACCATTTTTAAGAACTTCCTCTTTACTTTGATAGCACAGGAATTTTACGATTATCGGTCGACTGGATCCTGGTCGTTTTCTAGCCAGTCGGTGAGCTCTTTCAATTTTGCCCATTTCTATGCCAAGCATTTCTCGGGCGAAGCCAGTGACGATGGTTTTAGCGTCGTTCCATGACTCATTTTCTATTTCGGGTAAGCCTTTGAATATTAGATTGTTTCGTCTCATTCTGTTCTCCGTGCCGTCGACAGCACTACTTATTTCAGACAGGTGGTCCCGAAAAGAAACCGAATCGCATTTAATACTATGTACCGTTGCTTTAACCGTGCTCAAATTCTCCTGCATATTTGTGATTTCATGCGCTTTGAGTTCAAGATTTGTCACCCGGACTCCAAGAGCAGCGATGCCACTGTTGACTTGGTCCAACTTAACAGAATTTTCAAGCTGATTCTGGGTGGACGCCGTAACCAAACTCTCAACAGTTCTTTGCAACTTTGCAGTTGTTTGGCTAGTTTTGGTCCATTTTAATTACGTATTAGGACAGTTGCAATTGCAGGCTTGTTAGGTATATTCCTCCGCACTGACACCAGCCGTGACAATGTTTTCTGACCTTTTAGAAACTAGCAAGAGTGCGCGTGCATGGCTTTGACAGGCGCTGTAGATGCACGAGAGCGGAGACTCCGAAAACTCCTAGTATGACGTCACGCCCCGGGAAGGAGGGGCTTCGACTGTAGTTTGAAAATTATTTTCTGCAGCTTCTGTGCACTATATTGAAAACTAATCTCCATATTCGTGATCCTGGAAGCCGAATGAAGGCAATTGAAGTGTTTTTCTTCAAACATAGAACTGCTTCAATTTCCCTTTAAGCTTATACCTTGCTTTTTACGAACACCATTAAACTTGCGTTTTGAAACTGATGATAAGCAGGGAGGATCACAACTCAGGACGACGCTAATTCTAGTCGTGACGTCACAGATAGGAACCATAAGGGGGTGCCGCTGAAACATATTGGCACTAAGTAGACACTGTACTGACTTTGTGCTCTACCAGAACTGTTTACACACAATGTGCATGCTAACTCGGTGCTGGCAGTGGCAGTCATGTGTTTTCTCAGCACTGCACTGCAAGTGCAGACTGACCTTAATGACTTGGTTCCAATCCCATCCACCTTGAACCCTTTGGATTTCGGACATTCTTTTTGCAGGACAGCCTGTTAAGTGTTTAAGAGTGTGGTGGAACAAGTGTATGCATTATTGAGGGAACTAGATTAAGAGATAGCGGCTAAAGCACCGTTCACACTCTTGCGACTGAGTAAGACCGAGAGAGACCAGACCGATTTTTAAGCCTTTTGCGACTTCTTAGGACCGGATGCGCGGCAGCGGAGCTGGTCCTAAGAGATCGCAAGGGGCTTAAAAACCGGTCTGGTCTCTCTCGGTCGTACTCGGTTGCAAGAGTGTGAACGGGCCTTAAATTGCCAGCATAGGGGAGGCCTCCTATCACTGAACACTGTTTGGAGGTTAACTACGTTTGGGTTTCAACCTATTCCTACTGAAGGGTGGCTAAGGAATCCTTTTTTGTGGTGGTCTGTTGGCTCTTCAAGTATTTAATTTTTATTTCAAGGTATTATCAGTCCCTCATGGGACTAATGGCTGCAGTAAACTGCATGCATTACTGAGGACAGTGCAGCTGGAATTAAAAATGTCAAGCAGGTGAGCTGGTGGGCGACCGTGCTGAAAGAAATGCAGATACAAGGGAACAAAAAAGGAAATCAAAGGGGTACAAAAAGAGGCATGTGCATTTAAGATGGTATTGGGTATTTCTCCTTTTTTCTTTCTTTGCCTCTGGGTTTTATCAGTGTGAGTATGGCGTCTTGCTTCAAACTGTCATTCACCACGGCCTCAATCACTTTTGAAAGAGCCATGGAACAATATATTGGGGTTAGAATTTTACTATAGCCATGAAATATTGTATATTGGAACACAAGAAAACTAGCATGGTAGGGTATGGAGCCAAAAGCATGAAAAAATGCCACGAAATATAAGAAATTAAACATAGCTATTAGGGAGTTTTAGAATAGTGTACGCAAAGAATAGCATTGTCGCCACTGGGCATGCGATGAACACTATGCAGTTTGCACTTTGCGTGCTCTATTTTAGTGTGTGCTATATTTTGGAAGTTGCGCGCGTAGACATTGAGTCTTTGCGCGCCCCCGAGGAGGATTTGTGAGGCGCGAGAAGTTCGCTAAAGCCAAGACGAGCACAGTCACAAAATGGCGGCTCCCAGGACCACAGCTGCAGTTGCTTTGGCGAAAGAATTGTTATTGTACCTCAATGGCGTTGCAAGCGCTAAATGCTCCGGCTTTTGCGTTGCGGCAGAGATGCGCTATTCTAAAACTCTCTCGTGCAGCGTGCGCTAACGCAAGCGCTACATTTAGTACTAGAACGCTAAAATTTTGTATGTTTTCTTAAACACCCTATTTCATTCCCGTTTTCTTCGGAAGTTTTCCAACTGTCGTGATTCTGCCGGGTTCGTATGGCTGCGAGTATACTGGGGCCAAACAATGCACGACGACGCGGGTTCGAGGTGCCGGAAGTCCAAAGCAGTCACGTCCCTCGCTCCGCTTGGTCGCATCTTCTTGGCCAGCCCGTGGCCTTCGTCTTTCGCGCCGTTATTGACGAATGGAGCGTAGTCGGCATGCAATTATGACGCATCGCGAAGGCTACGACGTTATTGTAAACGACCTTGGATCTCGCTCTGCCAACTTCAGTCGGTGCCCCCCTCGACAACAAGGCCTCTGCATTTCATCATCGGATCCCCGACCCATCCTGAGCAGCAAATACGCCGAAGCTCGACGAGAGCGTGCAGCAAAACACTGGCGCATCTCGACTGCACCAGTGTGCTGGCGACGCACTCGTTGCGAGATGCCGCAAAACGCGCTCGCGGCGGCACGGTCGCGAGCTGGACTACACTGCGGCACTCGGAACGCGTCTCCGACCGGCGTGTTTTGCGTCCCATTCCTTCCACGCATCGAGTGTGGTCCCGAAGTGGCGATAAACGACAACCCAGAGGTCGGAGTGTCGCGTTGCAAGCACCGTAGCAGCGCCGTGTGAATCCGGTGGTTTAGAGGAGGAAAGGTGCAAACCCCACGTTCCAGGTGGTCTCGGGAGACGACGGAGGCCTCGCTAAGCCCGATTTCGACCCGCAGGCAGGAGGAGAAGCCCTCGCGCGGCACGGACTCACGGGCACGGGGAGATGCGGGCAAGGAGCAGCAGCCGGCGAGGACCGCCGCCTCGGGCAGGGGAGACCAGCCGACGGGGCGCGGCGGAGGAGGCGGCGGCGGATCGTCGAGGGAGGCCAAGGAGTCCGCGTCGAGCCGGGCGGACGTCAAGGACGCGAGGGAGAAGATCCGGGAGGCCAAGGAGGCCAGGGAGGCTAGAGAGGCATGGGAGAGGGAGCAGCAGCGCGAGCGGGAGGAGCGGGAGCAGTGAGTTGGCCTTTCTCTCTTTGGCACTTCGAGGCCCATTCCTGCGGGGGCGTTTGCCCGTGTTACGTTGCGGTGCGACCGCGAGTGGTCGAGACGTCCTTGGTTTGTACGTTGCGCATGAGGCCGATCCTCAAATTGGTTGCCGCGCTTTCTACGAAACGCGGATGCCTCGACAACTCGCAGTCGTAGCTCGGCGTAAGAAGTCGAAGCTCCCGTATTGCAAGAAAATGGAAGGAAATGGTACCGCGTAAATGGACCCTTAACCCTACAATGGTGATGTGTACCTGTACTTTGCTTTTATTTGTCCTGCTTTTATGTGTCCTGTACGGTTGCACGGAGTTATGGTCTATTGCGAGTTAAGGAGAGTGGGACAAGCCCCCTTCTGCAAAGCTCCCTGCTCGCTGCAATTGCTGGTTTTTCCCTCTCCAGCGTTCGCTCGGCTATAGAGGAAAGAGTTGAGGGCTTTCTGGGTGGAACTTGCCCAGCTTTTCTTAACCTGCAGCAGACTATAGGTGCTTTATTTTTATTCTATTTCGCTCGTCAAAGACACTGTGCTTGCTTGACATCCTCATTTGAAGTGGAAATGCTGGCTTGCTTGGTGGTTGGTGTGGCTTATGCTTCTAAAGTTCTATATGGTGTCAATGGCCCTTCCATGTTTTTTTTTTAATGCGAACGGGGCAAATTGCCACAATGCGATGTGCAATGCTTTGAGATCTTTTAATTATTTTTTCTCATCTCGAAATGTTACGGCTAACAGTTTTTTCGGTTCTAATTTGCGATTGATTTCGTCCGAAACTCTGAATTATGCTGCGTGGAGTTACCGAATGCTCTTAATATATTTTGTTGCTTTTGGTTTTGGTTTGTGTCGGGACGCCCAGGCTTACGCCCTTTTTGAACAGCTCGATCATGCATCTATCTCGAACATTGAAATGGTCTCAAGACAGACTTGATTTTGCCTGCTTCCTGTTCCTTCTCTTTGACTCAGCATTGCACCCCGCGTCACACAGATTTTTGTCTCTCCTGCTTCCTTTCTCCTTCTGCAGCATGCATTAAATTGTCCTGCCAGAAATATGAGAAAAATTTGGTTAAGAGAAGTTATAAATTCCCCCCAGACTGAGTGCAAAACTCGTGTTGTCGGACGTGGCGAAAGGTAGCAATGCATTCTATTTGCGCAGTAACCTTGTTTTTTGTAAACAGGCGAGCCAAGCCATTCTACTTGGATCTGCACGGCTCTGAATGTCACACAGAGCAGTTTTTACTAATCAAGGAAGACAAAAGAGGGATGAAAAGGTGATGAGATAATCGGACACTTTGTTTATACGGGCTATTTATGAAGTTCAGCTAGGTTGAGTTGGTTTCTCTTGTTTTTGTGTTTTTTGTCATCCTTGGTTTGTTTTTAGTTTCAGAGCTGAGGGCAACAGTTTGAGGTGTGTTTGCAATCGTTTTACATACTGTCAAAACTGCAGCTTGGGCGAGTTGGTTGAACATATTGCTGACTTCCCAGCGCAGAAATATCACACACATACTTGTATTTTGGATAAACACACAACACACATACCGTGCTAAACTCGCAACTCTATTTTGTATTTCATCTTTGTCTTCTTTGTCTGTTAAACCAATACTATACACAAATTATCTACAATGATCTCCTTTGGCCAATGCAGAAAAACCAGTACACAAAGGTTTTGCAATTATCTTCGTGTGGCCTAGTAAAGCTAACTCTTTTTCGGACAACGTGAGAGATGGAACAGTGACACATTTATCGTCAAGCCTGGCAATATGTTCGGCCTCAATGATTTCCCTGGTCATCTGATTACCATGCCTGCTAAGGATGGTGCAACTTTGTTGACTGGCCGTACACTTACGATTCCGGCAGTGTATACCTGGATGATCCGAGTTTGCAGTGGCAATATTGTTATGTTCACGGATTCGATCGTTGAGACACCATGCAGTCTGCCCAATGTATATTTTTCCGGAAAGAGAAAAGGAGAACTGTCCAGACCGGTTATAACGAAGTCATTGGGAATTCGAAATCACTTCGCTACATCCGCTATTTCGTTATAACCGACTTCGGTTAACGATGTGCAAAAGGGAATGGGAAATCGTGATTGCTTCGCTGTAGCCACTATTTCGTTATAACCGGTCTCAACAGTACACCACTTTTTTTTTGCACTGAACGAAGCTGGTGCGGTGTTCTTAAAGCTAGTTGCCCCAGTTCCGTGTCCGTGGACAAACAAATCTCGACACAAAACTCTGGACAGCTACCGCCACCTATGAGCAATGGCGGCAACCAGACAACCGGCTTGCCAGTTGTCTGGTTGCCGCCTTCCCTCATAGATGGCGGCAACCTTTCCACCCTCATTTCCACCAGAGTGGAAAGGCTGAATTTCTCTAGGTGTCGTCCTAGAAGTCGTGCTTGAGATCGTCCTAGACGTCGTCCTTGAGGTCGTCCTAGACGTCGTCCTCGAGGGCATTGAAGTCCTCCTTGAGGTCATCCTAGACGTTGTCCTCGAGGTCGTCCTAGAAGTTGTCCTTGAGGTCGTCCTAAACGTCGTCCCAGAGGTCGTCCTAGGCGTCATCCTTAAGGTCGTCCTAGATGTCATCCCTGAGGTTGTCCTCGGCGTCGCCCTTGAGGTTGTCATAGAAGTCGTCCTCGAGGTCGTCCTAGAAGTCATCCTTCAGGTCTTTCTGGACGTCATCCTTGACGTTTTCCTCTAGGCGTTGTTCTTTAGGTCGTCTAAGAAGTCGTCCTTGAGGTTGTCCCACCATAGTGCAGCTTTGCTGGTCTTCTTTCTTCACCGGAGTGGAAAGGCTGAAAGTTTTTTTTTGTGCAGTTCATATGTTTGTGCAATGCATTGTTCACTTTTTTTTGTAAAGTCTAGACATCTTGTTCTTAACAGTGGAGATCACTTTATTGTTGACCACATTGACTACCTTTTGAGGCTATGAGAGAACTTGTAGATGTAGGGTACAACTACAGGTCTAGTTGTCCTGTCTTTAGGTTTTGTCTTAATACTAGTTGGGGAGGCTATCGGCGACGCACACATCTCTAGATTAACACCTGCAGGGTACCCTAGTCAATTACTAGCATTGATTGCCAAGAGCCTCTTCAAAGCAATGAAAAAGCATAAAGCTTTTAAGACAAAACCCAAAGACAGGACTAGTAGACCTACCCTACATCCAGACGCTCTCCCATGGTATCAGAAAAGTAGCCAATAGGGTCAACAATGAAGCGGTCTTCATTGCTCTGAACAAGCACTTCAGCCTTTGCAAAAAAGTGAACAATCCATCGCATAGACATGTGAACTGCACAAAAAAACTCCGCACCAGCTTCATTCAGTGCACAGAAAAAGGGTTGTACAGACTGGACGGTGTCTCAAGAATCGACTCCGTGAACATAGCAGCAATATTGCCACTGCAAACTTGGATCATCTGAGTACTCACTGCCGGAATTGCGGGTATGCATCAAGTCTACAAAGTTGCACCATTCTGAGCAGGCATGGTAATCAGACGACCAAGGAAATCATTGAGGCCAAGCATATTGCTAGGCTTGATGACAAATGTACGAGTGCTTCATCTCTCACGTTGTTAGAAAAAGAGTTTACCTGGCCACGCAAAGGTAATTGCGAAAGCTTTGTGTACTTAATGGTTTTTTCGTATTGGACTCAAGGAGATAATTGCGGGCTGTTTATGTATATTGTTGGTTTAGCAGACGAAGAAGAAAACAAAGGTGAAATACAAAATAGAGTTGTGAGTTCAGCACGGTGTGTATGCTGTGTGTTTGTCCAAAATGCTAGTGTGTGTGTGTGACATTTCTGCACTGGGAAGTCAGCAATATGTTTTATATATCATCTCAATCTCTTCTGTCTGAAAAAGAGAATTGTAAGTTGCCTTTACTTTCAGCATACTTGTTGCCTAGAGACTTTTAGAAATTCTTTGTTTTTGAAGGAATGAAAAATCAGTCCCTTGTACTCACTAACAACATTTTTTGTAAAATTAACTGCCATGTACTTTGAGTTTAAGTTTCAAACTTGCATGCAGTTAAAGGTGGATTTATCCGGGTTGAACACTGCGCGAAAAGTGATATTTTGTTTGTTGATCCTTGCCTAGACTTTTAACGAACAAGCTAATTTCTTCAACGTAGCAAGTCTGTCGTATTTGCTACGTTGCAGAAATTAGCTTTCGAAATTTTGCACATACTACTTGTGCGCATGTTTCCTTTTCAAATGAGAAACCTGTTAGAGAAGTGAGGTAACTCCCCCATTAGCAGACACTCAAACGCCCTTCCACCGATTTAGGCCTCTTAGATATTCTGCTGCACATCTAAACCTCTTGCTATATCAGTTGTCATCTGTAGCCACCTCAAGAAATTGGCGACCAGGTGTTAACACACAGCAGCTCAGAGCACATGGAGGGAAAACTCACACTGCAGAACCCAGGGATCCTGGGCTCAATCCCCACTTCTGCCCGGTTCGATCCGAACGAGCATTGTACGGCATGCGGTCGTGCGTCACTACTGCGTAGTGCACGTTAAAGGGGTACTCCGGCGATTTTTTTCAGCTACCTAAGCTACTGCAGTCTAAGCTCGTTATAACAGACCTTGATTTTGACCAAGATTTCGGTCTGTTGTAGAAGGAGTATGTTGTATGCAGATGTAAAATCAATTCAATGGTATGTAGAGGAAAACCAACCAAACTTCACAAATCGGTATGTTTTATCCAAATGTCTGTTGTAACCAGGTCTGTTGTAATGAGCTTAGACTGTATAACTATATTTTCAGAATCACCGGCCTTTGCCCTTTCCAATAGGCTAATTAGTATCACAAAACTCGGAATAGCTATTGTGAAATTGGCAAGTGAAAGTGATGCCAAACCAAACATTCAAGTATACCCGCACTTTTCAGTGGCATGACGTCACTGGAAAGGAAACTTGCAGGTCAGGTGGGCTGTCTAAAGATGGACTGTGCCGAGCATTTGTTTCGTGCTGCTGCGCGGGTGCTGGAACGAGCTTCCAAAGCATTCATTTGACACCACGAAGCTGCTTGTAATCAGTTGGGAGCAAAATCTAGACCAAAGAATGATCCCCTGCCTTCCACTGACGTCACTTTTTTATTGTTGCCAGTAGAGACTTTCACCTTGAAAAACACCATGAGGACCAAAATTGTATTCAATAACTTTGCAAAAAGTAATTCTTTTGGCCCAATATTTCGGTTCAAATTTCAGCGATGTTTGTTGGTGTGTTTAGCAAGTTTCGAGGCAAATTGGGGACTATGAAGAAAATGACGGAGTATTCCTTTAAAGATCCCAGACTAGCTGTTGTTCTGCGCTGGCAAAATTTCTCATCGACAGCGAAGACACCAGACACTCATTAAGGTTGACTAACCTAAACATGCACACTACAGTATTTTGCAGCTATCTTACCTTATCTGCTGTCATTTTTCATCCTGTTCTTCATTGAATTCTTTCCTTTTTTTTTTTTTGCAAAGTGTTTATACAAGCATTGCTGTTAGAGCTATAAATAGTTAAAAACTTTGATTTATATATACAATATTCTATAGTTTTAGCACAAGATAGTGAGGCAAGATTTATTCAACTAAGTGCACATGCATTTTATCACTGAGTGTTTAAATATCTATTGTAATTGGGGGCACACTGACGACAAAGTGTTATTAGTTAAATGCATGGTTGCCTTCATGCAAACATACTGTCCACTTACGGCGAACACTGAAAGCTGATTTAAGGAAATTTGATTATCCTATTTTAATGTTTCCTGTGTCGAATTCAACAGGATTCAAAAATATGTTAGCTATATCCGTGTTTCATTATATCCAAACCTTGCAAAACGCAATTATAATTTTCATTCCATGAAAGCATCTGTTCTAGTGCAAATAAATTACAATTACAATTATGAGCATGGCACGTCATAGTTGCATAGTCTTGTGTAATGGTAGCTGCCCTTCTTTAATTATCAGTTCATAGAAGCTACAATCAAGCTACTCATGCATTTGTTACAATACCTGGTGTGCATGCTTGTGTGGTATTGCACCTGTACGTGGGCTTTTCCTATGCATATATTTGTGACACATAATACGATGCATAACCTTCGCCTCAGTGTTGTGCGAACATTTGAATTTTCAGGTAGTTTTGAGTAGTTTCCAGTTTCAAATAGTATTTGTTTTGAGGTATTAACTGCAGTATTCATAATTTTCGAAGTGTTGACCATGGCGGGTTGGCCCCCTTGAGTGCGCTTCTTACCAAGCACTAGTGCACTGCCAGGAAGCAATACCTGCC